TGAGCGGCTCACTAAACTTTATCCGATAAAGCTCGAAAGGAAAGCCAAGGTGTTGGAAAAGTAGGGCCTTACGTTGGGCGAACACTCACTTCTCCAACACATCGTTGATAATTTCTGTTCATTCATTTTGTACTGTTCATTCAATCGTGAAAATCCAACGTTCGCTGAGTAAGTAGGGCCCTCCTGTTGTGTGCAAACCCTTTCTTTTCCGCGTCTTGTTGAGAAAAATCAGGGTATTGGAAAAATGAGTACGGTGATGGGAAAAAAAAGGACGTTTGCAGGCACTTCCTCAAGAATGTTGGGAACGTCGTTATTTGAAAAGATCATTCACCCTGGGTGAATGATCATGAGTCTGGTTTGGGTTCGGGTCTTGGACACTCTGCTCACCATGCTTTGGATCACACTGACAATAGTCCAGACCCTCGCGGAAGCGCATAACACATGGGTGATTCACCCATGCCTTAAGGCCATTGCCTAAGTCTTAGGCCCTAAGACAATGGCTGCACGATAATCGACGATAATCAGTTTGATTACCGAATTCTTGGCGACTTGTCTTGGGTTAGCTAAGCCAACTTGGCTTCATTCGGGTGTGTTGGTAGTTCGGCGGCTCTACAAGTTATTCTAACGCCACCTACCACATTGAATATTATTCTGTGTTGGCGAAGCATCCAGAAGATTATACAACGTGATGGTGTCGCCCGGGGCGACTCGCCCCGCGTCGTTTGGAACCTCCTGCAGGTCAAGGAGCTCTACGATAGGCGCGGTTTTGCTAGCCCGACGAGACTAAGATTGAGAAGTGTCTGATTCAGCTTCAGCACCATAAATTGACCCACAAATGTCTCCCGACCGCAATATGGTAGAAGATGTCCATGAAGAAGCTAGAACCGAACAGTAATGCGGATATGGACGATAACACGCCGTGGGGTGAGCTATATTTATATAACTTGTATATTATACATCATACTTATGTATTTATATATATAGGATCCGTGAGGATCCAATCATCGGATCCCGATGTTCCACTCTGTGGAGATCGACGGTGTTCGGCCCATTGATAGACTTTGGGGAGTTGCGTTTCCGCTACGCGACACTTCAATTGTCACACTCGCCAAGTTCTCTGAAAAGAGTGGCCGAAAAGGCTCGTCCACGAGACCTGGGGCCGAAAAACCATTTGCTGGGCTGTCAGTGGTTCTCGTCGGGGATGTCTGTCAAATCGGCTTCGTTCCCTTTTGCGAAGCCTCACCACTATTCCCACCGAATCTCCATCCAACGGGTCCATGCTGGGCGGGACGAACGTAGAAGACGATGAACCCTCATATTGTCTACCTCCAGAAGTTCAAGAGAGGGGACGATACGGACTACCTGAAGTTTTTGGCTGAGATACGGACAGCCGAGCGAGTCAGTGCAGGCATTCCCCGCTTCTCAACCGAATCTCTGAATGTCATAAACACAACAAGGGACAGGGATGGAGGAAGGAACGCACCAAGGTAGGGTATGGGAGGGCGGCTGTTGGAGTAGTGGTAGTACTAGTAATAGTGTGTATGTGTAGTAGTAGTAGTAGTAGGAGAAGGAGGAGGAGGAGGAGTAGTGTAAGTAGTAGTAGTAGGAGTGGTAGTAGTAGTAGGAGTAGCGATAGGAGTGGTAGTAGTGGTAGTACGAGTGGTAGTAGGAGTGGTAGTAGTATCAAAGTCTCTATCAGATTTGCACATACTGTTGTGTGCCTGAAATATTGGTTCAATGTCGTTGTGCTGCACAACGGCCAATAAAAGCTCGTGGAATGCACAAAACGCAAAAAAAGCTCAGAAAAACGAGTCACTCGTTACGAGTGCTACGAGCATGGGCGACGCTCAATTTGCGAAGCAGCTTCGCCGGAGCTTATGGCCATTTATTCGACCGAGGCCAATACCTAGGCTCTCGATTCAAAGGTCATGCCGTACGACTCATGCTCATCTATGGACAAATTAATGCTCAGCTAGAAGTTCTAGCCTTGAAGCAGATCCTCAGGTTACGAGACCAGCGCCTTTTGAATGTCGCACTGAGTGGTCTAGAAATAACGACGACATAGCAGCTGCAGAACTGCTCATCAACGGCATCACAAACGGAGCCATGGATTAGAATAACTGTCGGAGAGCTTCTCCGGTAGAGGTTATGTATCATCTAACGCCGTCAAACTAACGGAAGATTAACTCGAATCAAATCCAACCAAGTTGAAATATAGTTTCAATTGAGTAGACAATGAGTAACTGAACTTCAGAACACTCGCTGCTAAGCACATTCGATGTCCTGAAGAAGGGCCAGAGGGCTTCTAAACATGACGATATGACAACTCAAACCGTGTACTTTGTAAGAGAAACAAAGTGGAATATAGAACAGCACAAGGTCCTGAATGATTAATAGTATTCACACATCGTATAATAGTCTTTATGATCACTGACATCTTGCCATGACGGCCTCCTCTCTTTGAATATCCATAGGACAGGGAGCCTCACCCAACGGGCCACAAGCAGCAGCTAATGCCGGCTTGCAGATGGTGAATGGTATTGTCGGAATTGAGAACAGTTCATCTATATCACACGCCGCACTGGAATGAGCCGCGAATGCCGCCTCAGTAGCTCTACTGGTGGTAGTGACCAGAGATGTCGGAGTTTCGATCAAAGCCCGCTGACCACTAGTGAGGATAGGGCTTTGCGAGCTCGATATCGAGTGAGACGATGTAGGGGTCGCCAACGGGGAGGCATTGCTGCCTGCCGTGGTAGTATCTTCAATGGCCATTAGTGTTGTAGCGGCATTACACGGCTCACTATCATCATCAGTAGTAGAAGCTGCGGCTTGGCTTGCCTTCAGCGTAGATGCTATATAAGTGAGAGCAGTCAACTCCGCGGAGTCAACGCAACCTGACGAGGGAGAGGCGTGGTATCATCGACCACCACATAGATACTAGCAGTATCATACTACTACTTGGAACAGGAACGTAGGTCTCCAATCGAGAGGCCCTAACCTCATCCTCGGTAGCTTCTGGTGTCGGACTTGGCATAACCTTGCCATCTACCCCGTTACCATAAGCAGAGCTATTAGCATAATGACGATGACGGTAACAGAAGCCTAGAAGGCCTCGAGCCGCCACTTGGCAACCCGGGTATTGACATGGCCGACCACCACCGTGTCGAGTGCAGAACCTGCAGTAAGATGAGGGCAACTACAACTGGCCCGCACTACCTGGCTCGGGAAGAATTGGAAGACTTTCGAGGGACTCGGCCACAGCCTGGGACCTCACAGGTGTTGCGAGTGCCTAAATCTTAGGGAAAATGTGAGGACGGAGCGACGCTATTGCTAATGGTATTACTACCGTGTTTTCCGCTGTTGTTGCTACCACTGTGGCTTGCTGATATTACAGACGATGATCCCGCTAGGCTGCTGGGTGAACGATATTTACACATGACAAATTACAAGAACAAGGAAAGGGTGAATAGTCTGTAGAGGGAAGGAATAGGAGGAGACCACAGCATTGAGGAGAGTGACCCAAGGATATCCCGACGACGCCAAGACGGTTACATTCTGACTAACTTTCAAAAAAGGTCAACGAGAATCGAAGAGGCACATGTTTAGTAGAACCACCACAATATCGCGAAGAAAACCCTCAAAAATGCGCAGGTCACCGCCACAATGTAACAGAGGTGGGACAATCTACTAGCATCGCGCGCCATGAAAACACGCGCGCGCCCAGAAAAAGATGTGGATACTGAAGTATTCCATTTGTTCCGTCCCGAAAGGGTTTGTTCTCTGGGCATTGCGGCTTACGGGGGAGGGTGAATCAGATCAGTCGGAGAAGGAATATAGGCGATATGCATTAATGAGTCAATATTCACAACGAGGTATCTTCACGCACAGGGAAGGTTTCAGATTGCCTTTATGAGGGGCTAAGGTGTAAATCTTGGGAGCCTTTTTGAGAACTATAACAAACTCGCTCATGCATGGACTATTGATAGAAACGCAACTCCCAATGATTCACTTCAAGTAACAGGAAATTTTCCACGAAAACGTCCACGAGTGAGGTAAGCGCATCCCAAGCCGAAAAGCAGAGCACTCAAGTCGCTGACAAGGCCAGCACATCTATCGCTAGGCCACCCTCTTCGCGTCGACCACTCACGTCGAAGGGCTCCCAACTGCTCTTCAAGCGATGCCATATCTGACCACAGGCTTTATGAGACAACGCCAGATACTATCCCCGACTAACGTACTGGAGTTCATTTCGCTCGTACTGATAGTAGTGTGGTAGAGCATGTTGTCGGCCTCAGACTCTCTCGCCTGTGCGGTCTCCAACATAGCTAATTGCACGGCAATGCAGCTCATCAGCCTTCGTAGCTCCCTATTGGTTAGATGCTCATACGGCCGTGGCTCCGCCTCTTCAGCATCAGCACACGTCGATCGACTCCCCAACAGTCGCCTGAAGTGCACCAGTGTCAAGTCTCAGGTCGACGTTATCAAGATGCTTACCACGCCCGAGTGGTGAGGCTGACAGTGATAGGAGCCATGAGCCAAAGGCAAGGGATAGGGATGTTGGGTAGACAAGCCCACATCGAGAAAGGCCGGAGCATGCCTAGGTAACCCGCACCAAAGAATACAGCAGGAGACGAGCCAAGGAGGGGGAGCTCTGTCCCACTCAATTGCAGACCAACAAAGTTACTTATAGCCGTTACTGCCGTCACTACGCCGAGGTATCTAACAGGACCTGAGAAGGATATGTCGCGCGCCACGAAATTAATCCTGCTACCATATAGTCGCTCCATGATGGCCCCCGTAGTAAGTAGAAGAGCCCCACTAACGAGTCTGGATGCCCGAGAACTGTCTCCTTCCGGATGCAACAACGAACACGTCACAAGAGACGTGAGCTGAAGACAGGCATAAGAGACCACCCTAGGGCCACTCACCCCTCTACCGCGCCATCGACTACTTTCAAGTTGTCATCCTTCTCTACAGCCATTGTATACACATAATCAACAGCTCTCTCAGCTCTATTCCTTATCGAGGTCATCGTCAGCTCATCGCCTTCCTCACCTTGCTTAGTCATCATGTACGACAACTGCAACGCATCAATGAACCTTCCTCCATAATCGACGTCCTACCTCAGCAGAGACCCCCAACACGGCCAATAGCATTCCCATCGATGCCAGAGGGAAGCGGGTCCATCTACTGCTAGCGGCAGGATATGCGAACAGGCCCCTAAGAAGAATGCTCACCGCAAAGGGGCTTCAATTCCTTCCCTTACATTTCTCCAGCCCTAACATTCGTTTCCTCGAGTGTTTGTTGAACCCAGGGTTCACTTTCCAACTCAACTTCTTCCCTTTGCCCAGCGCTGCCGCCATCATCGCCACGGCTGGCAGGCGAGGAATCCACCGACCGGCGTTTCTTTAACTCTTCTAGCCACTTCAGGTCCACCTGACGACGCCAAATGTTCACAACCATGCACAGGAGAGTGTATTTCCAATACTGTGATAACGACAACTCGACCTGGTACGAGGAGCACGATAGAGGAAAACTCGAACCATGCAGTGGCCCACCGAGACATACGACCATAGAGACGCCTCAACATACTACCTCACAAGCGAGGCAAGCCAGCACTAGTTATGTATATGGCAATGCCCACTGATGATACTACGATGCGTCATTGAAATTCTTTACAGCTAAAGTAGACCCCTCGTAAGCCAGTACCTCTCCAAGCTTCTCTCCCCTCGCCATATTGGTCTCCCCTCGCTGAGGCAATGGATCCATCAGCTGTGTCCAAGCTCCACTAATACCACCCTTCTCCTTACTCACGGCTGTCCGAGCGAACTGCTGCAGGACCGACGAAAACGACGATGTCGATTTCAATGCGACACGGGAGGATATCAGTAGACCCGATGGGAGAGGCATCTCATCTACAACGATTTTCGGCTAGCCCAAAAGCCATCGGCAGCGTCCCGTTACTGTTGAACTCAACACTGTGCATCAGGAGTGGCGCCGGTCATCGTTGCTCATCTAGGAGCACGTAATGATGTAAGAGTTGTTCCTCAATACTGACGGCTTGAAAAAGGATTGTCCGACTTGATTGAACCGGGGGTCTCGGGGTTACCAGCCGTGACATTTACTGCTGTGCACATTGAGCCGCTTGGGAGGGGTCCACATTACTGCTCCCAGGAGCTGGGATGTACTGGCCTCCCTAAGGCAATCAGATGTTGGTTCCATACGACGGCGTGTTCTTGTTGCAGTCTACAGGTGTATGAAGATATACCGGTTAACTTCAGCGAAAAAACACCGTGACGTATATTAAAGTTTCACAACACGTTTTACGTGAAGTGGCGTAATACTCTGCGAAAAACGCGATATTCGTGGTCATACTCAGTAGTCGTGAAATATATTTTTCACTAGCGTTTTTCATATCACTAGAGTGAAGTTCCATTAAAATTCGTATCAGATATCGATATTCAATCTAACGAGATGAACTGAAATGCATCTAAACAGATATCACATATATAAGCCACTAACATACAATAACCGACTGTAGCCCACTTTATCAATATGTTGCTCATATATAGTATTCATTCACATATATCATAGATCCACAAGTACTGCCTCCCTACCTGTTGTGGTTGGAAGCCTCCTCGCTGGCCTCTAGTAGCAGCAGCGGCTGCCGCGGCTGTTGCAGCCATTTGCTGATGTTGCTGACGACGAGCCATCTGGTGCGGGTCGTATCTGAGAACCACATCGCCATCGAATGAAGGGGACATACCACTACTGCTGCTCTTGACGCATCTGTTGTTGCTGTAACTGCTGTAACAACATTTGCATTTCTTCTTGCCGACTCTGCTGAGGTCGATTGAGCATCCCGCCATACACAGGAGGAGCCGGACGGCCGTATACGCCCATCGGCGGAGGGGGTATCACTGCTGCTGATGCTGGCATGTTACCGACTCCTCTGGATCCTGAGCACATGAACAACTTCTTCCGTATCCTTCTCTCAAGAGCCTAAAATACCTTGACTGAGAGCAGCCCTGTGCTGAGCTGCGTAATGAGTGGCTTGATTAGGACCATAAGCACTGTCAGCCGCCCTGCTCATATCACCACTCCCCCTTCTCGGTGACACATGCTGGTTGTTGCCCGAGGAAGTAGGGGAGACTTGACCTTTCGTTCTGACCTGAGCATATCATACCATCCTCCAGCCAACTCACATACTCACCTGAGCTAGTTGCCTCTGTAGACGCTTCATCTGTTCCGCTTTATCAGCATTCTCCCGATGTCCGTGTTGTTGTTGTTGAGACCTCAGTCGCTGCTGCTCCCGCAAGATCCTCAGTGTTTCATCATGCACATTACCCATGCCCGACTGCTCATTAGAGTTATCCTGAAAGCCATGAGCAGCCATTCTTGAGCGTCCGTAACCCACAACATTCCCTACTCTCCCATTGCTGCTAGTCGATACTCCTCCTCCTCCACCACCACCGATCATTGCCAGCAGGGCCCGACCAGCATCATTACTACCGTCCTGATGAGGACGACGATGAAATACGGCTCTCCAATACCTCTGCTGCTGAGCGATAGACCCAACAAGTTACCCCAGAGTCCCTCGCAGCTACAGGCGCAGGCTTGGCACCTCTTTCAAGCTCTTCAAGCGTTACAGCTCCCTTGGGCAAGCCGTCCTTCAACTAAGCACATATCGGGTAATCCAAAGGTCGCCAGTTCGAATCCCAGGAACGGTACTTTTCGCTGCTCCGCTATATCAATTCCAGCAGGCTGCTCTTTTCGCGGCTTCAACCATTCAGACATCCTATTGCTTCCTTTCCCCGTCGAGACTTGATCAAAGATACTATTCATCGCTAGTCCACCCCTCCTGACAGAAGACTGTACACCCTCCTCCAAAGAGGGACATTGTGAGATGAGACAGACCACCATCGTTATTCCCACTCACTTGGCAGGGCTCGCGTCTCCCGATATCTCCCCACGGGCGACCTTCTCTACATACTCCCCAACCGTCATAGAACTCTGTAAGATGAAGGGATTGAACCCACGCCCTCTCGCGAGTGAGACAGGACTACCTTCTCTATAGTCGATTCAGCCTTACGAATATCACCCAATGTGAACTTGTTGAGACCCTCTCCACCCGTTGGCGCAGGAGCATCCCGACGACGACCACTGCCAGTCGACGGGCGTTGATGAGTCCGGTCATCAACAAAATTATCTTTCGTGTAATTTTTATTCCCCGACTGGGAATCGAACCTGCGCGGGAACAGACTCGGAGGGTTCCGACACTCTCCTGATCTCCATACTTTCGATCGAGAGTCGCCGACTTGTCATACTGCTGCTGATGCTGCTTGAAAGGATGATTCCTGTTAGTAGATGTCGATGGGCCGCCAGCCGACGCTCCTCTCCCACGCATACCTCCACGGCGACCTAGAAATACCACTCAAAAGCTCCTCACCAAGAATCGATCCCGGGTCCACCGAACAAAGGCCAAGAAACCCAACCACTCCACCAATCTTACCCGGCGGAGCCTGCAGCAGCTGAGACTCGGCATTGTCCTTGTCAATTAGTTCCGGCATACCTCCAGTCGGCTTGTCCAAGCAATACGGTAAGGCCTGATATTTTCTCAGCTCGTCAATGCTGAAGACCAAGCAACCTCCTCCCCCCGTGTTTCTATGAGGGGTCGGCTCAGGAAAAGTATCAATCGATATCGACATATGCTCTGTATTATTATGGAAATAGCACAGGATATTATAGACGCTAATGTGTCTTAACAGTAGCAACAAGCTCAACTAACATACACCACCTCAGTTCTTCAATCATCTGTCCACCACCACTAAACTCAAACACATGGCGCGAATCGAAACAAATGAAGTATGGCTGCTGGAGAGGAAGAAGATACTCATATTTGCGAGGATTCAGCCTTGGAAGACTCTGAGGAGATGACTGTAGTTCACCATGTACCTGCCAACAAAGGTGTTGAGAACAAGCGTAGCCTATGTTCACCTACTCAACAGAGGAAGAAGATTCCTAGTTCCATGAGTTAAATACTCATCATCATGCGCTTCTCCGATAACAACATGTCAGCCTTTATGACATCCTCCTTCATCTCCTATCACAAACCACCGTCATCAAACCCGCACAGGTTCGAATCCCCCCACCTCCGCTCCAAGTTGATCACTGATATCCACTATACACCTCTTCATCTCAGCCCAGAACTCTAGCGCCACTCCAAGGTCCTTCATTGGGTCCACACAGCATGCAAACTTCCTCCGAAGGTTCTCGTCAAAAGCCGCACGCTTCTCCGCACTACTCATCCTAACCAATCACAAATTCGTACTCCAAATCTTGCAATCTTGCTCTCCCTTACGGTTTCCTAGTTTGAGGGGCTTCCCATGACATGAAGTACTTCATAACAATACCCATACACGTTCTCGGGAGCATAAACACGGGAAGGACGGGAGACGGCCCGACTTCAGCCACACGAGGCTCCCGACGGTGGGGCTGAGAGTTAAGGAAATGCAAGATCTATCAAGATTGCAAGATTGCCCTACCAATCTCTGTCCATTTGCATCTAAATCGCTTGGCAAGGGTCCATTCGGACTGAACGTGTTATTCGGCAGCAACTTGATGAGAGACTTGTTTTCTATGAGGTCTTCAGTGAGACAAGATTCACATAGGACCCTTAACGTCCGTTTGAACAGCCTCACTAATGAATGGAAGGCGGCCAAGTCGAACTCCACTGTCGTATCCCAAAGATCATTCTTCAGCTTCATCGGAATAAGACTTGCAACTCTCGACAGCAGCGTTATGCTTTTCTCCTTATCTGTCACCGTGTCGATATTCGGGTAACGGACCGCTGCAGGGAACTCGCTGCCGTCTACCGGCTCAAAGGGGTCTCCCGTCAATACGCCGAATTTCATCAACTCCAGGGCAAACAGAGTGGGCTCCTGGAAGCGGCTTGGGGTATCCTTCAGCACGTCACCGAGGATGGTCATGCCGCCGTCTTCAGAGAAGTACTCGAGAGACTCGAGCAACTGGAAATGGACCAGAGCCGAGAGGGAGTTCAAATCTTTAGGCTCAGCACGGGGACCAGCAGGGTTCCTCATATTCACCACCAACGGACCATCCCGTTGGAATTCGTTCGCATGCCACTGCAAACAGAATCTAAAGTCGCTCATGCCTATATTCTCATACCACTCCTTCCCCAACTCACCTCAGATCAACAGTATTTACACCTTGTCTACGCATCTCAGCCTCTAGATCCTCCTTCGTGAACTTCCACCTCAAACCCTTCACATGAGGAATCCGAATTCGACGTAGGTTCGGATCCTGACAATAACGACAATAAGATACCATTGCGCACAGCGAAGATTCTCCACCTCCCTATTCAGCGTGTAGAGCAAATGGGCCCTATTTGTCGTCGGAGTAGCACCCATCGGTGGACCGCCGCCTTGAGTCATCATCTGCTGCTGCTGTTGGGACTGAGCCAACTCCCCCACCTCCCAATAAGCAGTGCATATGATAGGCCGATCTCTCAGGGATGGGTTCAGCTTCTCAGCCATTATCCCAAGAGCCTTGGTCCGGTACTCGTTAGTTAAGTCGATAAGCAAAGACCTGTACTCCTTCGAATCAATCAGTGGGCTCTGTCGATCACACCAAACTCCCGTCGCCAAGACCAATGGAAGTCTACTGCTGATGAATCCCATCATAAGGAGCTCATAAACAGTCATTGGCAGTCTTTCACCCAACACTGTTGACATATCACTTGGACATACATGCGTAGGGGGGAATGATATCGGCATAAGAGTAGGAGTCTGTGTGCCATCAGGATTGCTTATGGTCATCTGAGGCGTGTTCTCCCCAGGTGGGCATAGATGAGGATTAGCATGACCCGATCCACAGGACAACGGACGGACCTCCAAGTCGATCGTATTCAACACTGGAGTGTAGCACAAGAGCAGCTTGCATACACAATAGCCTTCAACGTGGTCATTGCGCATATCGTCCGTAGGGAACGTCTGCATCCAGGAGTTCAATGGGACTTGTCTGATGAACTCTATGGCGGTCTCGAAACTAAAGGCCCCCGCATGGTGAGCCGCCGCTGGAGGCTGATTCTCCCCACGGAATTGATCCAAATTGAGATAGGGGTAGGTAAGGCAATACTCAGTACCAGCCAATAGACATGCGTCTATGAACTGCTCTCGATTGATGAACCATTTGCTCAGTACATGGTCCAGAGATACCCATTCAGCCTTGTTCCTGATCGGGGGGAGAAGTGATCGAACTTTGTCGCGCGCCACGAAATTATCCCTACTTTTGGAAGTCCATTTGCAGAACTACACTTTTCACTCCATACAAGAGAAGACCAGGAGGACCATAGACGACTTGACAGAGATTGTTGGCCGCCATATAAGCCAGCTGAGCCGAGGCAAAGTAGCTGAATGGGATAAAATGCAGCATGCCGGGATCGAACCTGCGTCTATAGCCTACGGTGCTCGGATGACCTCGAAACCCTTGGACTTCAAGAAGTGGAAGGCGAAGTGGCAAATGTCGCTATTAATACGACTGGTAGCAACCGCGAACGCCTTCTGGGCTCCGGAGTCATGCCCCTCAGCCGATAGTGTCCACGCCTGAAGAATATCTTTGGGCACGCCGTGTAAGATACAAAATAGGTCCGCTTAAGGCACTCTCAGTATCTACCTGATCCAACTGCTGCTGACTGGATTGTTGAAACATTTGATGCTGTAGTGGAGGCACGATACCATCGAAGACCTACGATAGAGAACACACCGTCACGCGCCGCGAAATTCCCAACTTCATCAGTATCGAGTGAGCAACTTACGAAGATAGGCTTGATATTGTAGTGTGAGAAGAGCTCGAGCTCCTTCGCAATGATACCGAAAAGCCCTAAGTGAGGAATATGAATACAACATCCCAAGGAATAGAACCCGGTTCCTCCAGAGTGGCAGGAACTGTCCTTATCCGCTTGACCATTATCCCTACTACCAGGAGGCATTCCACCAAGAGCATCGGCATACGGGTCCTTCAACATTTGTATACTTCGCAACCAGAAAGTAGCATCCAAAGCCATCTTCATGTCACTCAACTGATCCATCGAGATCTGACAACCACACCATCACCCACACATACGACCTCCTCAGCGACGACGACGACAACCTCATCTACTAGCGAATGACAACACATATTCTTCTATTATCATCCAACTATAACTATCAACAGCCCCCAGTAATCAGACCATGAAGAGATGCATCAAATGCTCCCCCACAGCATTGTATAACACAGAGCTTCGAATTCGCCTACCTGCTGGATCATGCCTTGGTCCTGTAGGGTCGTCTGCAACTGTCTTACACGCATCTTCTTATTCTTTTTACTACTAGCACACTAAATACAACTTTTACCGCTTCAAGTGAACTGCTGCTAATGATCAAAGTGCCGACAATCTCGGGTTAACCTTGTCGACAAGAACTACTCTACACCGCTACCGTGCCCCGGGAGCAGCAGCAGAAGAAGAACAAAAGAGTTAAAACTGATTATAATACCCTATCCCATCCTATGTCACGCAGGGAATCCCATTCGCCCAGGCAACGCAGACCAGAACAGGTTGGGTTAATCTTACAAGTCACCAGACACATGAAACCACTAAATGCCACCAAAAGCAGCCCATGCCTTGCGAATTCTAGCTTCCTCTTGTGCACGCGTGCGCGGTCTGTTCATACCACTCCATGCGCTAATCCCAGAGCTACTACTCGTTGTAGGCCTCTCCAACGGTAGTACCATAGTCCCACTAGATGTACAATACCCCACGCCCTCCACCGAGTACAGCGTCCGACCTGTCTTTGGATCCGTGATGGTGATCGGGCCCCCTTCTTCTGACATACAACACACGCACAGTGTGGGGAAAATGTGCATCATTCGTTCGTGACAATATACTAATTCTCAAAAAAATTTATCCAATTTTTCGTTGATTTTTGAACACTTCCGCTCGAGCTCCCTCGTAGATTCAACCCATCTAGAAGATTTATTGCAAAGCTACACATGCGCTGCTACCGAGTCGCTACTACATACAAACTGACTTCAGACAACTCAGCCTAGGTTACACTCGTATTGAGATAACGATCGTATGGTAGCATACGGCGTACAACCACATGAAGACTCCTTTAAACTTCAGCGTCCACAAATATACGAGAATACCCAGACTGAGTTCCTTACCAGATTCCGACTCGCTGCATCCATCAATAGAACGGTCCAAGTGACTACTGCTTCTATCAGCATTAGCCAAGGCTGTAACTCCACTGTAATCAACGAGTCGACTGCCGCTCTCTTGCGTAGTCGTAGACACTGGCCTAGTCGGAAGAGCCTCATCAGACTTCTCAACATCCATGGGAGTAGATCCGCGGCTCGAGACCACTATAGGAAGCCTTAGACACTGCAGGACGGTCTTGTCACCAGCCAACCGAGCTCCCAACACGAGGCTTCCACCGATACCACCAGGACGATGTACCTGCACTCAAGCCAGTTAGTGGACATAAATGATATCTTCCACAAGCGAACCTAAGATACCCTCACCACACCGGCACCAGCCGCGTTCGTCACCATAAACACGTGGAATTCAAATGATAGTGTGGCGGTAGCATAAATTCCCTCCAATCATACCTTCAACAGGATCCGTTCACCCGCTTCTAACCCCAGCAGTGCACGGGTAAAAGGCGATGGGAGTCCCTCAGGACTGACGACCCCAGGAGGATATATTACTGATATACGTTCGCCTACCGTTGAGGAAATGCAAGATTGCAAGATTACCCCCCACCTACCCTCCTCACAATGATCCTCTTCAACACCCATGAGGACATCAATGCGGTCCTGTCGAGTCCGATTCCGGACGATCACATGTCGAGGTAACTCCATGGGGCGATACTTAGCCGAAGAACCTGAAGAGGCAGCCGGAATAACGAGGGCCAACCAGAATGAACCCTTTACATTGATAATTGATATCAACGTGGACGTAAACGTGAAAACTCATAAGGAGAGCAGGGAGTAACATTACTATGGACAGCAAACTATACACCAGCCTATGTGACCTAGACAGAACATATTATAATACACCACTAATGTTAACGAGGCATGTCATAATATAATACATGAAGGAAGCTGTAGGGCTGTGGGCGGCGAGTACCAAAGAGACTAAGTTAAAGAGAGGTATCCTCAGACGCGACGATACGATATAACACCCACGCCTACGGCTAGCATCCCATCCGACCCCTACCTGTATATTTAACCTCGGTCGGAGTCACCTCTAGCAGTTCCCTCACTATCCCATGCATCAGTAAGAAGGCACTAAGAATAGACAAACGTACCCGCCCACCACAACACAAGCACCAGTAGTCAGGTTGAAATAGTGATGATAAAAACTGCGCCACTTGCGTCCCTACAGCTCCTCGTCACTATATGGGTGCTCCTTGCGAACACTCTTCGTTCTCTTAGATCTGGTAGGCCTAGACCTGTGCTGTTGGCGACCTGAGCCTCCAGACTTGCCCTTTATGTACTCCGAGGGTAGACGATATGGCTCCGATGGTGGTAGAGAATGCTGAGGAGAGACATCATAAAATCCTTTTAAGAGCTTGTTGTTTCACTTGTTTCATCTGTCCTATGATGGGCATAGTCTGATAGTGCAAAGTCAGCGTTATGGTGTTGTCTCTGATATGAATTATAGAAACATGTGAATTATCTAGAACCAACCTCAAAGTCCCTTTGGTGACGTCCCTCAAGGGGTACTCGTTGGTGACACCTTCCAAATGCTGAGAGAAGCGATGCTGATAAGCTCAGGTAGAGACCTTCTATTACAATGAGAGCCTCGTCCTCAGACCGAACTATGTCATCCCAAATAGTGACGGAATTACGAACCTATAGAGTATATCTGGAATAGCCGAACAGTCAGATCGTGGTGTCTTCACCCCGTACACCCCGGTTCGACCCCTCCCAAGCATTATTACCACATTGTCCGTGGCATAATCAGCTGTGACGTAAACAAAGAGCTGATTCATACTCCAATGTCGCATCTCCTGGCGAAGATCTGATACAACAAACACTTCCATACCACATTTCTTTCAACTCATGATCACATATACCCGAAGACCTACCAGCATCAATATTAAGCTGCAGATTGGCCTGATCCGCTCTCAGGAAACCGTTGAGTACTCTGAAGATAAGCATGAACCGCTGATGAGCATCACAACGTACATGTCCTGGACACCAGCTAGAGTCACACTGCCCGACACGACTGGAGTTGGATCGATATAACTCGTGAAGTGGCACAATAAGCCTAGAAAACACAGGACTGAGGTGTAAGTACCTAAGGAGTGGAGCATCATAGGTCCGAGCAAGCAAGATACAAAACAGGTCAGAATGCATCATACAGAATAAGGTGTTCGCCCTGCTGGTGTAGGACTCCATATTCTGAGGTATTATCGCCTTGAGATTATCCATAGAGATGAGGAGCAGAAGAAAACTCAGAAAGCGTCATTCAGGCTCTCCGAACAGTAACACCTATCCGTATGAACATGAGGGGCACGCAGCGTGAAAAACACGTGAAAAATACCCCTCCCGGGTTTCGAACCGGCGGTCTCATCTTCACTCGATATCATTTCGAATCAGTTTGTGGTGACTTTTTCCTCACAAGTCAGAGTGCGGCCATCGTCTTGCCAGATCTACCGTAGCCACGGAGACTAATCAACGGTTTCACTCAGGGTTGAGTGGAATTCTGATTCAGATGTCTTCTGTGGGAAAAGTCCTCGCTTCCCGCTACTCGTTCGGTGTACTGAATCTAGGCAGGCCCAACTGCATGTACACTGCTGCTTGTTTGAAAACAGGTGTGGTATTCAAAATATGTCCTGACATGCGGTGGCGCTGGCGAACACTGGAGGGCCTGAGGGCAGCGCATCTAACCACTACCGATTCCACACACTACGTATCCCACTTGGCTCCACGAAAACGATACCGTTAGGCCAAGATTCGTCTCAAAAAGTTCACCTTCGTGTGAAGTCCAACGACTGTCTTCGAGTGGGATAAGACAGTTGTCGATGCTGAGATCACTTATGATGAACGCTACTACGGGATACCACATTCGCCACGCGTGCGTACAGTATGACATGTGCGCGCGTGCACGTGACGCGGAGTCGGCATCGCGAATGTTGTTGGGGATTCGTCGACATCTACTGCAGTGTGTTGGGCAAATCGTGGAAAAATCAATAGCCACGTTGATTGTGCTCTCCTATAACACACGTCGTTCCTAACGAGGCGACTAAGCTCATTATATATAAGCTGTCTTATGCATATCGCAACGTATAGAAGCTGTCAGCACTTTCGTCTTCGATGGCATCGACCACCTCTCTCAGCATGAATACAGACCAGACTTTCACTCTGGATACCATCCCCGAGGTCGATATTGTCTTTCCTCATCACGAAAGACAAGAATCCCTCGCCACATTGCCTGCTGCGCTCCCATTACCTCCCCGGAAGAGTGAGCCCATCAGCATGACGACTCACTATCATCTGTTATGTAGATCGCGTGGGCATAGGGTCTGCAGATGCCTGGGTGCAGCAGGCTATCGAGGAAAGGTGCCTCTAGCGAGAAGGCGAGGTACAGCTTCCCATTCGCTCCCTACTGATTGTTCTCCATCAGATTCTGCACCCGGCATGGTGGTGGTAGACCTTGTCGGTATCATGGCTGCCGTGTGGCCTCTCGGGGCCTTCTAGGATTTTGTTATAAGCATCGTCATCACAGTGGTCACTGTTTTGACTCAAAGTCGTCATGTGATGGTCTCAACAGCCAAAGCAGATATCGTCCTCCCGCCACGAATAATCAAATGTCTCGACAGTCGAATGGATGGCGGTGCGACCAACCTGGGGAATCGGGACTGACCCTTCCCTTCACAGAAAGTTCATTGATGGATGGTGAGACCGAAGGATCCGAAGCGATCGCAACAATCGCGTACATCAGATTTGCTGCATAATTTCTTTCAGACCTCGGACGGTGTACGAGTATCAGCCTCGGGACCTCCGAAGTGGACAAGACTCCGGAGAAAACTTCTGCTGAGTATATGGCGTTTACATTTGACTCTTCTTACGACCATGCATCATTTCTCAATCTCGACGAGCTTTTCTGTGTTCCCTCGGCGCTTTTGAGTCTCGAAGAATCCCTATGGCTAACGGCAACGACTCCTCTGAAATATTAGCTCTTTAAACCATCTTTCTTCGACAATAACTACATTTCGCCTGGGTACATCAGTGCTATTCTCATGCGCAGCGCTCTTTTGCCTGCCCAGCAGCTATTATCTTATCATTTTGAAGCCTATGTAGTGGTGCACTACGTTTCCCACATCAACGATCTTCTTTCCATATGAGCGATGTTTGCGGCGAGTGGCGAGGCTACCCGAGACTGTTTTTCTATTTCGTGTGTCTCATAACTAATGCTTCACACGCCTATAACAACAATCGAACACTTGCCCTTGAGAAACTTCGTCTCCCGAAGTTTTTACAGGTTTTCAACATCTGTAAGCGCTGCAGAGTTATGAGGAATCGCCATTTCTTATTTCAACGATAATCTCTTAGCCTTTGAGTTTCTCGAGTTCATGAAGGGGTTGCTCTCTGTGAGTACACTGGCAACGTCTTCGTCGGTGGGGCAGCTATGCCATTGCTCCAAGATATGACACAATCGATTGAGCAGTAGCAGGCACAGGAAGATCAACATTGCAGAGCCGTGACCGTAATCAATTGCACTCGTGGGGCAGATATGCCATTATCTAGAGACTCAGCCGACGCGATGTATCATGTTTTGAGTAGGACCACTGTCATGCATTGAAGTGGCACTGAAGGTACACTCCAGGCCAAAGATGGCATACCCGCCCCTCGAGCGGAATTGACTCGACTATGATACGCGTCTGCCAAATCGATTGACATATCATCCTAAGGTGGTGGCATAGCGGCCCCGCTTCACAGTCAATAAGAACTAGGAAATATGCCATTTGATAAATGTTAATGTTGATACCGATCGTTGCCGCCTCCTCACTACTGGATTTAATCCAGCGGTTGATCACCACTGTAAACTTCGCTTGAAGCTTCGTGTAGGTAATAATAAGACGACCACAACTAGAAAGAAACCTCTGTTGATGCTATCCCTGAGCCCCACTCAGAGGCAGCAGCTTGTGGCATTGGCTGATGTTCTTCCATCAAGTGCCGGAATGAAACCTCGTTCTTAGTGCCAGCGGTCAACAGCACCAAACTACGATTCGAAAATCGTAATCGTGAAGGTTTTAGGTAAGAACTCTAACTTCGCGCTTGGATATCTCGCGCAGAATTCCGTGGCTGGCTGTTCGAGGAGCTGTGCCACCAAGTAAAGCAGAGCGGCACTATGGTGGAGAGTACAGCGTTGAATCGTGAGCTTTGTAATGAGACTGATGAACGCATTGGAGACTCTTTGAGGCAATTTATTACAACTTACGACTCATCAAGAATCTTGATTTGAGATTTTCAACAGCAGGGTTAACGGAAGAAAGGCACGGGTGACAGCTGATCAGACGTGCCTGAGATAACTTGCTGGTAGCCACAACAGCTCCTTGCCTTGTCGGAACGAGGAGACATTTTCTACATCGGATTAGCAACTCGTCGGCTTTCCTCCACACTATCCGACATATTCGGGACGACAACAAATTCGCTAACAGTTGCAGAAGGCTTTCTGATTCAAGGTTCCCTTTTCCTCCCCTCCACACGATCGAAATCGATACTGGCATGGCACGAGCACGTGTCTGTAGCTAATCACAAGTCGCAGTTTGTGTCATCATTCTATAGAGTACGGTTCAAGTGCAGTCTCCATCCCGGGTAGCGTTTTCTTATTGCCAGAACACAATCAGTGTATCACCGCCTAGTAGGTCCCTAAGCTCGGTCTCTAGGCCTTCCAGGGGGAGCACCGCTAGTGTGAGTAGACACCACTAAAGTGACTAAATGAGTGACTGTGACTAAATAACACCACTCTGCTTGAATAGAGAGCTCTGATACACCAACAAAGCTAATCATGTTGATCTCAAGGGTGTTCCGTGCTCGCTCTAAAGACGACAGTCTCCTTGTCCTCCCCCTCCACAACTCCATCATCGGCCTAAAAAGACGGTGCTTAGGCTAAAGCGCTCCCATAGCGATCACCGGCAGTGGCTGCTGCAAGACAGATGCCATGCTCCATGAGTGCTCAGGTTGACCCGAACTCCGAGATTGACGCTTGTCTAAGACACAGCTTGAGGGATTCCCCTTCGAATTGGTGATGGTCAGTCGCGCGTGGCTCTCCTGACGACCAACCAATTCCCATGGCGAATGGGCATCTGCAACCTCCACCAAGCCGTGGTGAAGGTCATAAGTACCGCTACTGACTCGAGCCGGCTGGCCCTCGAGCCGTGACCGCAGTCGGATGGAACGAGAGTCCCTGACTAACATCATCGCCATGTAGTCCCCAACAGCCCACGTCTTTTCTCCCTCAGTCATCTCGTTGCTCACAGCCACAGCTCCTCGTGGCTTTGCCTTCTCCTTACCCTCCCCGACCTCCTCATCAAGATACCTCCATTGCCCGATGAGCGAGAGACAGCATCAACGGTACCCACTCTCGTAGAGACTCCTGCAAGGCAGCTTCCATCTGCCTGGCTTCTTCCTCCCGAGCCAGCCTACTGCCGTATGAATGTTCACCATCAGACGGTACCTGTCAATACCAACGACTTAAGGCCCTTCACAAAACCCTACCTTCTCCCAGTCACGCCTCTCTCGTGTGTTGGCGATGACAGGATCAACTCTGGCCTGAGACATGCTGCTGCTGCTCACGAGGACTCGCCAGCTACTTGCCTGTGATGGTCGATCCTTGAGGCCTCCACAGCCCTCCACGGACCATCTCAGCTCGCCTGAGGCAGTCGCCACCTGACTTCAGCAGGTCGATACCAGGACCAGTCATACCTCATACGGCGGCATAGGGAGGCAACTGGGAGCCTGCGATGAACTCGGCAACGTAAACGCGGAAGTACATCGATCCATAGAGGATGCGGATGCTGTCCACACCTGGTTTGGCCACTCCGAACCAGACGACAAGAATGCGGCAGCACTCACCCGGTTGCTCGGCCTTGTACGCAACCCTTTCAGCAATTTCGTGGCGCGTGACGGTGGTTATAGTCACTCTATCCTTGCAGAACTGGTCCTGTGATAACGCAGTGAGGACGTTGAAAGTTCTTCGGGTAACCTGTAAGGCTGCTACTCTTCATCATTCTCACCGTCACCGTAACCCACCTCGAACACATCAGGACGGCCCAGATCACCGTGATAGCATCTATCAGAGGCTATCAGCACCTGCAGATAGTAGTAGTAGTAGTAGTATCTACGTTCCTTCTGAGAAAACTGCAATGTATCACATTGAAGGCGCTGCCTAGTGCGCGAATCTTCGCGGTGAGTCGCAATAGACTGCATTCGGCATCCAAGGCCCCATCATCGATAACAGGCTGAAAGATACCATTTCCTCCCTTCCCCTTATGAGGAGCTTCTACGTTGTACAGAACGTGGTGGGAGCCCACGAGGTTAGGGTACTTCATCAGAAGCTTGAACAAGAGACCAGCGCCTTCGTAACAGGCCAGTACTCGGCACCGATTCACTCCCAACTCAGCCAGGACCTACACCGCATCTGCTGACGATAAGCAGGTTGAGAGCAGAGCCTTGCATGGGAGATGGTGGAAGCATCCAAACGGTCAGGATGGCATCGTATATTCTGGGCAATGCTCGACCTCCCGAAACCTGGTAGGTCTATAAACATGACGTTGAAGCCTTTCTTGTAGAGTCCAATGGCGAACTGAAGGCCAATGGGGCTGTCATATGTTGTCACTCGAAAGAGCTCACCATTACCTTGATCCAAGTCCAAGAGGTTGTGAGATTACCATAGTCGTGTATGGCCAGGACCCACTCCCCTTGTCGCTCCTGATGACCATAACCGCGGCCTCCCAGCACGTCCTCTCCTACTACTACTACCCTCCTTCTCCTCTGTGATCTCTCTCGAGCCTGACTCTCAGTCTTCGTCGTAGGTTGGAGTAGACACCTGTCAGGAACTTCCCATCCCCACACTAGCGGTCGCCGCTCACCGGACGAATATTTGGAAGTTTGTCGCAACGCTGAACTCAGCGACCTCCGTGCGAAGGTGCCCCATAAGGAACTTCCGTTCCTCCTCAGTGAAGGCTGGACCCGCCAACACACTCGATTCCGAAACTTCCGATATAACACTCATGACCTACACCGTATTATCAAGATCGCAGCACCGAGGCAACGGCACTTGAGAGCCGCCCAACTCCTGGAAGCGATGCCTACGGCCCTTCATAATCGGAGTAGCACTAAAGTAAACCCCATGTAGTAGTTGTTGACGAACTTAACAAGAACTGCGTTAGACAATGTTATCACTCGTTCTCGTGTTCACAATGACACCAACAGTCACTGAGATTCTAATAATGGGCTACATATGCAGACTCTGGATGACCGCAAGCTGTGCATGATGCTCTGTTCGGTGCTCCTGAGCCTTTAACGTTCGAGGCGTCACCTACACCGGAACCTCATTAACCCTGGCCAACAACACCAAACTCACTACCGCTAGCTGACACTGTTTCAAATCAGCATCGACCTCAGCTCCCTTCGTGTGCTCCAAAAGGGTTGTCAATGCCTAATATAGAGCATCGCAACAAGCAAGGGCCCAACTCTGCCATTACCTTTGCCTTCTCAATCTCCAGATGCTTCCCACGACGTTGATAACATGCTACAAGCTCTCTTTCCATACGAAGGAGGTCGCTAACTCGATAGTACTCAATCTACCCACGGCCACGACGACAATCATCAACACGGCATCATCTCAAACGCCCCTTCTGGCACTTCACACTCACCAAGATCTGTTTTTGTAGTTGAAGTTTAGCTTCTAACTCCACCTCTAGTGCGATGAGCTCGGGATTGTTGGAACTAGCTTCCGCTACAGCATCGGCCGTCACCGTTGTGAAAGGCCTCGTCGACTGCCGGTGACCACCATCGTAGGCCTCTGAAGAAGCTTGCCAAGTCCAGAGCCAATTTCGTGGCGCGTGACGTACCCATACCTGCCGTCATATCGTGTCCATCAACCTCTTCCTCCGGCGAACTCGGAGTGTCTGGTGCCTCCCCGACCACAGCGGCTGCTTTCTGCACAACACACAACCATCACCATCCATGATCAACTTTCAATGACCTACTGTTTTCTCCATTAATGCTGCTACCGCTCGAGAGACAGCCAGATTAGGTCTACTAGTAGCGGTAGCCTAATACAGCCACAACCCTGTCCAACATCGCTGTCTAGAACCTCACTTGTTGATGCTTGGTCGCTTCCCTCAATTGTTCCTTCAACGCTGCGAGCTGCTCCTCCAACACTAACCGCCGACCGTATGCCTCTGCCCTTGCCGAACTAACCACGGCTAACAACAAAGCCTTGTCTTGAGTCCTTCCTCACCAGCTGTCCCCAGGATCCACTCTAGCCTTCTTCCTCTTGCTGCTGCCGCCACCGTCGGTGACCATAGCCTCATCGAGGTTCTCCTCCACAGGGCACCACATGTCGCTTCGCACCAGGGATTCGACCATTGATCGCCCTACGATGATTCTCCATATACAGTGTACTATGAACCAGCCATCGTACCGGTGAGGTAGGCCAGTAGGAGCTGCCGCTCGCGAGTGCTGTCTAATACGTCGATGCTAAACCTGTAGAAAATGCGGGTTGTGCGGATCGAACCCGGGACCTGTGATACTTGTTCGCAACGTCCTTAACTAGCTCTTGACTCCTCTGTACATCCGTACTAGCCCCAATCGGTAACGATCGAGATGCCATCAGCAGCCACAGAGAACCAATCGTCACCTACGCCACCCAAAAACGTCAAGCCCAGGATTCGTACCCAGGACCTCCGCTAGCACAGTCGAGGACACTCCCTGCTACCCTGCAACTTTCTCCCTTCATATTGATGGCTCGCAAAGGCATAGGAAGCTCCAACGGCATGTCGACGTGACGAGATCCTCGACAACAGCGATCATATCACTCCGAAGCCCTATCCCTCCCTACTTGTAATCACCATTCTAACAGCAACTGCACCGTCACCACGAGCGACCAACTGCTGCCCAGTAGCGTTGCATATGCAGAAGCCTCGGTACAGCTGTAGCGCTCGTACAGATTCCAAAGTCTGTGGACTCAGAGACTTCCACAAGGCCGTCGTTGTGAACATCCGAACCCCTAAAAAGGGAGCAATAGACAACATCGTCATCTAATAGCATCTTGCCTGACTCCTCCATACCATCATCCTTCCTACTCTCCTCAAGCTGAAGGGTTGGGGGTGTTGGAGTCTTCGGACTATGTGTTCGAATCCCCGGCTGCCAGTCTAGTTCAGTATCAAGCGCTGCTATTGCTGGCCGCCGCCGCCGCTGGCGAGACGGTCTATCACCGTCCACCTAGCAAATAATATTGCACGCATGCACACGATGATGCCTTCCTACTTCACGTGTTGCCAACGACTCTGCCTCCTCCCCATCCCGCTGCAGTTGCTTGCGTTTCTTCAAGGTGTGGTATTCTTGCGCAGAGGGCAGCAACAACGATATCAAGTTTTTGTACGTGACGGCTGTCGGACGAGCGCTGCCTTGTGAAGACCTAAGGCGCGTATTCCATTTTCCTACAACCACATACTTACCCTTGTTGTTGATGATGATCAGCCTCTTGCAGCGGGTCAATAATCTGTTTGTTAATCATATTCCGCAACTTGACGTAGTCCTCTTGGCTGACTGCTCCCTCACCCTCACCACCCGACAGACAAGAGGAAGAGTCCTCATCAACAGGTCCAGGTCTTGTCGACATTACGATGTACTGATGGAGTGGTATCATACCATTGGTATGCACGCATGTGCATTCGATCATACTATAACACAAGACCTATCGTGAAGAAATGTCCCTCTTCATGGGGGGGGGTACTCACGCGGAAGAATTTGGTAAGGATGATATGTAATTCTGCAATGCAGTGAGACGATCTTCTTCTACCTAAAAATGCATCTGCCGGGAATCGATCCTGGGACCTATCTACCATAGTCGCTGCAGCCCGCAGCGCATCCGAGTTGATGCTGGTAGACGTCCGCTCAGCAATGCGGGAATCCTGAGGTCGTGAGAGTCCGAATGCTTCCGAGTTTCTCAGCCAGTGACCGAATTTCGTGGCGCGCGACATCGTACTTCGGCACAGAGTTCGTACAGCTCCTTCCTCAGAGAGTTCACCGCCGCCGTGTAATTCAAAACCAAACTTGACAACTTCTGATCAGCATCGAGAATCGAACCAACTATCCTTCGAATGACAAACTACACCAACAACCTACTCAACAACTTGACACACAAATTTCTACAGCCCCTCCCCCCCATACCACCTCGGAAACGTCATTGAGCTGCCCCGTTATCCGAGGCTCCTCCTCCGCCGCCGATGAGGACGACGATGACGCTGTTGAATCAGCCGTTACCGCATCGCTTCCCTCGATCAACTAAACGACAACCATACTATCCATATACACATACCACATATACATACATATACAACTACATACATAACAACTATATATACCATATATATACTATAGCAGCACACACGTGCGTTGGGGGTAAATCTCCTGAGTTGTCTCACAATTTCAGAGTGAAGCTCAAGAGGGTATTCTTTCACAGCTCACTACAGCTGAGGAATTCCTATATCACCAATCACCAATGCTGTTCCGATAAGTTCTTCTAATAACGCACGACACCCTCTTCATGTTTACATGTATTACCACTTCGTGTAGCCGATCAATGAGAGTTGCCAAGGTCCGCAGCCGAGTGTCTATTTGGCTGAGTAGAAGGTCTGCTGAAGATAGCCTGGTGCTGCCTCCTCCTCTTTCCTCAGCAGCAGCAGCAGCAGAGGCGGCCTTCAACGCACCATTACTCGACATCACTGAGGACCCGTTGTCCATACCCCCCAGCCCAGCCCAGCCAACGCATCACCATCGTTATATTAATATTTCTCGACAATAGAATAATGGTGACACAACTGTTCAAGGTATAATCAAAACGACAGCTGCAGCAGCAGCAACAACATCATCACCCGGATCATTAATAATAGGCATAAAACTGCACGCGTGCGCAGACGATGATGTCCTGGTAACCGCTGCTGCTGCTGCCGCCGCTGGCATCACATCGGCAAAGAGCAGAGCTTCTTTACATACCGACCGACTCGCCCTGAGAGTCGATAATTCTTGTAAAACGTTGATACAGCCAACTTACGCTCTTCTACGAAAAGATGAAAGCCTCGACCTTCGGAAAATATCGCCCATACAAAATCGTTCATAGCGGCAATCGAGGGAAAATAGAGCCGGCCAACTTCATTGTACCTAGCAGACAAGCAAATCGATCGCGTAATCGATTTCAACACCCTTCTTACCAATCTTTCAATTTTATCGTTACATCATCATTCCACGCGTGAGCTAAATATGTATAATACACAACTATGTTGAATGCATTGTGCCCGAGTCTGCCCAACTTCTCCAACATTTCCCTCGGGGTTTCCTAAAACACATAACCACCTCCTCCTCAGCCGCCGCCTCCTCCCCCGCTTCACTACTTGTATGTAGATCAATGCTGTCGCAAGGTTAAGAGCAATATCGCACGGGTGTAGTTGATATTTGTAGAATATGTACATCAACGTCACCGATATCAACCTAGTATCCTGGTCGTAGGGAATGAGATCATAAACGCCCAAAGAACATAACTGTGCATGAAAATTATAGCCCAGCAAAGCACCTAGAATACCAATACATCGTATAAAAACTCCAACTGCTTACATTGTTTGGAATATGTGTTCTTCACAAAGTAGATATAGTCAGCTTGAGCTTGTTTACGTCCTTGCAAATCGTCATCATCATCATCATCTACAGCAGCAGCAACCGACACCTACAAGCAGCTATAACAACCAGAGTTACCAGGAGCGTGTACCACTACTACCTGGGGAGCCACAGCCATCGTTGTAGTTTCCTCTTCTGACGATGACACGCTTGCCGGTTGCCGCGGCGGCCGCTGCTGCTCTTCTTGTTGTTGTTGCCGTCGTCCCCTTCCCGACTCCTCCGTGTAATACATGCTTGTCGATGTTTGCTCTCCCGCCGCCGCCACCCCCACCAACGATGATGATGAGGATAATGCTCTACCAGCATCACCGATGTTCTTCTTATCCGTCTTACTGCTGCTGTTGTTGTTAGGGATGATGCTCGATGATGATGATGTGACGGCAGCCGATGCGGCAATGGTGCTCGTGATAATGATGGTGGTAGTAGCGCTAGAAGGAGAAGAGGAGGATGATGCTGTTGTTGATGATGATGATGTCCCAAAGCTGAGTACGAGAGTAGTGCTGCCAGACTGATCTGATGATGATGATATTGGCAATCTCAGTCAAAAAAGACAGTAAACTCTAAAAGCCGCGTAATACCAATCATTAACTCAACATCTACTGCCACTGAGCAAGATACCACACTTCTTACGGAAGTTCGTCGTAAGAGTAGCACATGCAATCCATGTCCACATCGAAACGTTGTATCTGCGTGCAATGATGATGATGATATGAAACTAGTGGTAGGTATAAGTACGGCCAGGAGCATGCTGGGATGCCCGCCTTGGCAGTCCATCTAGAATTAAGCCACTGTACGACTACAGCACAGAGCACAAGCTGAGTGGTAGAAGAGTCGACAGCAGCTTAGCATCACCTCATCGACTGAAAAGGGAGTGACTGGCAACAGGTGTTGTAGCAACGATAGCTTACAGGTCCTAGCCTGAGAGGCTCTAGCATCAAAACAGCCCATAGCCATGCCAAGAAGGGTACCGTTCAAACCGTATATTCCAGACCCTACGAGTGGCTTCAATTCAGGTGGTCCGAATAGTAGAGGGAAACCAGTGGTGTAACAACCTGAAGATATATGATGCAACAGGACCTCATCCGTATCTTGCTCGGTTGAACCTAAGATTCCATCCCCACCAACTCACATCCAATGAATGCACATATGCCGACACACCAATTGCCAACGCATGCACCAGATAAGATACCAAGTCCCGTCCCCGAAAGATACGGATCAGGCCCGATTCATGACCATTCCATCATACATATATTATCGTTCCAAGTAAGCTGAGCCATGCCTCGAATCACCGAACCTACGACCCGAACAAACTGAAACTCCATCGCTAACAGCAGCAACAGCAGTCGTCATTGTAGTACCTCTTTCCAAAAGCCCTTCAATCCTCGACTGTCCTCCTTATTAGGAATAGTTGGTTTGATAGTCTCCGCTTCACAAAAGAACACCGCCAGTCACTTGGAGGAATCCACAAAGGCGGTACGAGCAGCAATAAGACGCACTAACCCCTTTGGTAAAGTATCCATCTTCGAGCCCACTAACGCTTGATCCTGATGTCGACGGCCGTGGGAGAGGCAGACATTCCATCGTACCAGCAAACTGAGTGGTGACACGTAGAAGCAACACTTGACCTGCCCGAATGGGGAGCGTAGTGGCCAATCGCCCAACGCATAACGCTACCGTAAGAATAAGGTGTAATATGAGCCCGGCAGCGTTTCTGTGAGTATACCACAAGGACGAAAGCAAGCGACCATTCAGAAGCACAGTGACGAAATGACAACCTCAATTTACTTCTCGCTGCACGCAAGTCCCAAAGCGACTGTTCACTCGTACGACGTTTTAACGCGCGTTAAAACGCTCAAAGCGGCTAATCGTCGGGAAGTGACTAACTGTCCCCGACCCTTTATCCTTATTCCTGCAACTAATTCTTTCCCTTCTGCCACAATTTTCCCTCTGCTGCCACAAAAAAATTCTCGCTCGCCACAATTTCGCGCCTACGCCTTAGCAACGAACTACGAGAGAAACAGACTATCAGGGACCTATTCGAGCTGGTACGAGTCACTCAGAACTCCAAATAGTTTGCAGGTTGGCTCCACGTGCGCCAGATCGAGAATCGCCCTACACCTTAGGATCGTCGCCGTGAGAGGATAAATTATCGCTCGATGCATCTACGTGGCAAGAAGCAGAGTGAAGAATGAAGATTTTCCATCAGAGGCTCTGATTCAGAGCTGTCTTTATGCATGTTCGTTCGAACATGTAGCTCACTGTGTTTGGGTGTTCAATGGCTTCACTCGCTTTTTCTGCGTCATGGAGCTTAAACCCTCTAGCTGTTCGAGTTCGAATAGTAGTTAGCATCGTTACTGGCAAGGCCAGGAAATCGACATTGCGCTGGTAGAAGAGCATTGTGTGTGTCGGGCTTGATGTTTTTGTGAGAGTAGATTGCGGCCGGGACAGCCCCCGCTGGGCAAGCGTCAACTTGGGCGTCTTCCTTTGCCGCGATTGCGGCAGTATCCATAACCGTCTCGGAGTCAATGTATCCATAGTCCAGAGCCTAGTTTTGGATTCATGGCAGAACACGTACGTAATTGGCGGCCTGAATCTTTCACCGTCGAAGTTTCGCGCGCTTCTCCATCTTGATGGACATCGCTTATACTTCGCAGGTGGATTCTCATCATGACTCACGTTGGAAACAACATAGCGAACAGCTACTATGAACAGAATCTACCTGAGAGCTTTCGGAAGCGGGTCGAACGTAGGCAAAACGCTAGGGGGATAATTAAGGAAGTTGTACGCGAGCCTCCGGCAAGCTTTTTAAATAGGGGTGGATCATTTTTCAGCACTTCAGCAACCTTGCTGAATAGTTAAAAGTGCCGTAATGTGTCTCCACAACAATTTCAGCACTCAAATTTGCGCGCATTTTGTAATAATTCAGCATTTTCAGTTACTTTTCAACACTTTAGAAGACACTATTCATCAATTACTATTGTGCAACATCAAGTTTTCAGCACTCTAGTGCCGGAAGTGTTGAATTGTGAATTTTTAGTGGATGTTCATTAAATGGGCACTCACAACACCCATATGCTGAGTATGGCTAATCATCGTACAATATGGATATTCCAGCAATATATACGAGTGCTCAGGATATGTGCTCAATCATTGAAATACACGATAAATATCCTAATTTCAGCAAGTTTTTGTGATTCGGAAATTCATTAAAAATGCCCAGATGTCAAAACACTCGATAACTTTTCCAAACTCGGTAATCTTAAAATTCCTCACCTCAATAAAAGTGACCAATTATCGGAACACTCGATAATTGTCTGAAACTCAGCAATCTGGGAATTTGTCATCTCAATAAAAGTGCCCAAATGTCGAAATACACGATAATTATCTTAAACTTAGCAATCTTGAAATGACTACTTGTAAGACAGCAGGTAACCAACTTCTGGACCAATTCGTTGAGAAAGATTGTCTCATTCAATGAGAAAGAGAAGAGATTGCTCAACAGTGTGGGCTAAACAGTGGAGTAGAATGAAGCATGGGATGACTGAAACGATGTAGCAATGCTGCAACAGCAAAAAGTTTAGCTATGCTCAAATTGAGCAGCTCAATGCTAACTGCATCGACTCCTTGCCGGCATAGATCTGCTTAAATAAGTAGTGCTTGGTCTCCGTAGGGGGAAATAGCTGGAAAGTGAGTAGGATGACATTGCAGAAAGACCGGACATGATAGTAACAGGTGTTATATTGAGTGTGGTGCATTGTGACATACTCAGGATGTAGAGGATCGGGTGAATGGGAGCACTCCGAGAAGTAGGCGTTACAACATGCACTGATCGGTATGAGCAGAATAGTGTAGGGTACCAGTAGTCATACACCACGATCGAACTACTCCAGAAGTTATATTTTAATTGACACTAGAACCTTTCTAGTGTCAATTAAAATATAGCACTCTGCGTGAAATCCAAACCCGACAGTTGCTTCGACAGCAGCAACCAGGGGCCTATTTCACAAGCGTCCTTAGATTAGGACGTCTTTACGTATAGGATTTTAACCTTAGGACGTCCTCACCTAACTAAGGCTATTTCACAAGATTTTCCTTACCTAACGTTAGGATCCTATACTTAAAGACGTCCTTACCTAACGTAAGGATGTGCTAACTGAGGATATTAGGACTCCTAACGACAATTAAACACAACGTAAAATATTATACAGCTACGAATCGAACCTGGATCGGTCGAACAACAGCCGCAAACTCTACCACCCCACCATTTCATACATGATATAAACTAAATAAGAATCCGACAAAGATAGTGCCACAAGGCGCCATTCAGCAGATTTAACAGATAAAACCTCTTTTATTATCAACTGATACGCGTAATGAATGATCCAGTAATGGACCATTATGGATCTTAACGTCTTAACGTCGTATGGAGGGGTCTTGTAGTAAAAAAAGGCTTGACTCTACCGAAGATTAGCATTTGTAAGGAGTTTCATACGAAGTTTATAAGCTTCAGATAAGTATCGAACTTGGTAAAGAGTTTTGATAATAGTTGTAAGATTTTTGTGCAAGTTACAAATTAATTTAAAAATGTGCTCGCAGAGTTTCGAACCAACGACTGTTTGGCGGAACGTAGCGAGTCGTCTTGTACACCTTTAACGTTAGGATGGTCGGTAAAGTACCCCCCCGAGGTACTTTACCATTAGGATGAAAATTTTCTTAAAAATATAGCTTGTGAAAGCCGAGCGTCCTAACAGGCTGTTTTTCAGGATAAAGGCATCCTAATATCCTGAATCCTAACGGTAAGGATCCTAATGTCCTAAAGTCCTAACCCAACCTAAGGAAAGTGCCCTTGTGAACGCCATTTATCCTTAAATTGCATCCTAATGGGTTAAAATCCTAACATTAGGATGCTTGTGAAATAGGCCCCGGATCTACCTATCAGTAGATATCTGAACTGTGTGTAAGATTGCACGAAAAGTGTTCGGCGACACAAGCGACACTGTGTCGCCTATTCATCTTCGATGGCCCTTGCTACTCGCAAGGTAACGGTTATTGCGGCAATAATATTGCCCTATATTGCATCCACTTACGCCGACACTGTCGGCGGGAGCCTGTCGGCCCGACAGGCTCCCGGTGCGACAGCCTGCGGCAACCGCTATGATCTTGCACTCCAACAGACCTTGCACTCTCTAGCTCTCCAATAGGCTGCTAGCATGGCACTCTCACTGTGGCAGTATAATAGTGTCATCATGATAGTGCCGTGTTATGAAATATCTTACTAAGGTAATTACATCAATTACGCACTTTTCCCTGCGCTTATCATTAACAATTCAACAGCAATTCAAGTTTGAATTTCAAAATGGCCCATAACTATTTCAAACTTTGAAATAGTTGTGGGCCATTTTGACATCTCGGCACTTTTGATGAATTATCGGATCACAAAGTTGCTGAGTTTAGGATAGTTGCCGTGGATTTTGGCATCTGGACACTTTCACAATATTGAGAAGTCGCAGGGTTGCTGAGTTTGAAATAATCATTGAGTCTTTCAACATCTCGGCACTTTTAGCAATTATTCAGAATAGCCTACTCCCATAGATCGTTCCTGCCGTCATGACGTTGCTGTGTTATGGAATTCTCGAAGTAATTACACCAATTCCGCACTTTCTTCCGCGCTCATCAGTAACAGTTCAGCAACAATACACTCCTCAACACCTCAGAGATTTACAATTCAGCACTTTAATTAAAGTGCTGAAAACTTCGAAGGTGCTGTATCATATTATTGCCACGAAAATTTTCACTTTCCAGCACAGTGCTCAATTGTTGAATATTTTACGCTTCCAACACTTTGGCACTAAAGTGCTGAGATTAAAAGTGCTGAATTGTGTTACCTTCTTTAAATAGAAGGGTTCTTATCAACTTTCGGGATACGGCCGTGGCTGGCCATGTTGTAATATTGTCCCTAGAGCTCCTTGACGGTATTCTATTGGACGGCAAGCCGCCAGAGACCCCCCAGTAACAAGGGATGAGGTGGGTGGGTTGAGTTCAAGTTGATCTGGCTTCAAAGGAAGGCCAGAAGGCTGTCGGGAGGTTGGCTCTACGTGCAGCGGATCGGGAATCGCTCTACACTTTATTAATCATCGACGATTGGCCCCGGATTACGAGTCCGAAATCGAAAAGAAACGGACTATCAGTGACCTATTCGAGATGGTACGAGTGACTCAGAGATGAACTTCATCTCTGCCATTGAGGTTGGGAGCATTGAGATCTAGGCTCAACGTCAACTGCCTCACAGGTGACGCGAGGATTGGGACTTTCTAGCGACCGCTCGGGTCGACCGTCGACTCGATCACTTAAGTCCAGAATCAGAGTTTCCCGATCAATTTGGCATTATTAGCGTTATCGCTAGCCCCGTTTGGAAGTTCGTGCTCAGTGTGATGAGAGAGTCCCATGGGCATTTACGTCGTGAAGGTCTCCATCCGATTCATTGCTCGATAGTCAGACGGCTAGAGACAGAACGTGGTGTACTGGTGGTCAGTGCGGTACTGCACTCCGCGTCTGACAGTCTATTCATGGGAACACTCAATAGTGAACTCTACTGTGTGCCCAATAGAGGCGCCCAGAAGGGGCCAATACGCATTGCTCGGGGGCTAAGCTGCTGTGATGGCTTGTGGGAGCTATCCGGTCGGGGTCTCATTCGGGTATTCTCCAGTACTCAAGGAAGATGCTGTGATCAAGCACTTATCGCGGCAATTCAACGCTGTTTTCAACTCATCCCCCATACCGCCCGATCATCATACCCATGTTTGTCCCATGCAGAGTAACTGAGTTAAGTTACACGGTGACAGCAACGCTTCTTCGGAGGTTATCATTCATTTAGCGTATTAACTACTGTAGTTAGGTTCTGACCAACCCTCAACCTTTTCTCATTTTTCCGATCTACAATTGCCTGGTGCGATGGAGACTAGATACTCTTGATTGTTCCCATCCGGGCCTCATATAACGCTCGTTAGGTTTATGTGAGAGAGTATTGTATTGGCGAGTATAACATGGGGACTGACGACGGAATTTTACCGCTGATTCAGTCCGGTCGAATAGAGTTGTACAGCGCTGATCCGAATAGGTCAAGATATGAACATAGGGAGGGTACCGAGCTCATTAGATTAGCAATGTGTAGGGCATTCGAATCATTTGAAAGACCGTTAGCCAGAAAACCGGCCGGGTTGAAAAAAATCCCTTGCGAGGTAGCGCGGGATAACTTTTCGAAATACACGTAGCGGTTCTATTTTCTCGATGAGAAGTGAGCTGCTCCACGAAGTTCGAAAGCTCTGAAAATTTCTGATCTAATATGTTCAGTACAAACCCTATATTCGCATTTTTAACTATTTAGATCGGCTCTGGACAACTCATTTTGACCGGAATGTATTGTCTTACACTCGTATAACACGAATCAGAGCTTCGCACAACGGTCCGATATCGCGGTGAGGGAGCCTTGACCTGGTCCTTGATCACATGTGCGTCGAGGAAACTGTCTGTATTCTACTCATGGTCCGCAAGGGCACTCTCCTTATCTCAACGGTGAGTCACACTCGTTAACAAATACTGGATCTTCAGGTGTACTGGAGACCGGTGATACTCTCTCGCGGATATTCCGTCTTGATTCGTCAATGTCAGTCAGAGTTATGCTCGCAATTAACTCTAGTTATCACTCCAATTCAAGGCACATATCACTTGTGTAGAAAAAATGTCTACGTCAATGTCATCTTGTCAATGTGTAAGACATTGACGAGTAGAATGGGACGAAGCCGGTGAAGTAGATCGTACCGAAGTCACCAAGACTTAGTAATCCGAGACGAATGAAATGCCTAAGTCGGATGCTGTACAGTACTCTCCATTGAAGAGTCTCCAATATAAATCACTGTCGTATGCTCTACAAAATAGAGATTGTGTTACACATCGTCATCAGAGGACTAAGTAATGGTATGAGTAACCGCGGACAAAGCCACCGGAATAGAACTGTAGCAATAGCGTTAAGCAGCTAAACATTAGCCAACACTGTCGACAGGCATTTGGCCTTGGAAGTTCAATTACAACTAGTGATGGAAATAGGAGGCGAATGGTACTGAGAGTATAATCAATTTACTGGATAGCCATTACTGTGTGTAGAATCAGGCGACAACGAAATGCAAATACGAGGTATCAGCAAGTACAACAGGTATGGGTAAATTCGAGGTGCTTATCCTGTTAGTACACCAGTTCGTGATGATTCTAAACGAGTCTCCATTCGTCGGGTTATAAAATGGTCCTACACAACATGAGGGTTCCTACAAGTCCACAGACTCAACTTCTTCCTTACCGGTCGTCCGTTACTCAATCCACGCTCAACATGCTCGTGCTTTCTATGACGACTCGATCTAGTTCTGGACGAATGTCTGCGATGACCTCTCGATCCTGCGAAGATACCGAAATGAGATCTAAGCATAACTGGGAGTATAACCTTGATATGTGGTCGAGAAGGGATGACGAGTACAATGCTCGACATGAGGATCACTATAATGATGATAGCGTCGACGAGCCGAGTGGGGTACGTGTGGAGACCTATGAGTTGTTGTGGTTTATAGGGAAACATGATAAATCAGTTATTTACCTCCAAGTAATGCTCCTTGTTCCCCATAGACTGCTAGGCTCCGATTGCGGCATGGTGGATACACCTGAGGGGTGATCATAATAGGCAGAACCCAGGGTTAGCCGCAAGCTACCAGTAGGAGGTGAGATAAGCTCGCCTGAAGTACGACTATCTTGACCTGTTTTGGTTGCCTCTGCAATTGAGAGAGGTCTTACTTCCCGACCTGGGGCATTTTTCGACCGACTGCCAGTGCAGCCCATATGATACAACAGGAAGAAGCGCAAACAATCGAAGCCTTAACTGGACTTCAATGAACTGCCTTAACCCCAATAATCCTCCTGTTTAACAAGACATAACATTGGCCACAGAGCTCTCCACTACCAGTATGCGGGCTCACTAGCACCAAGGCCACACCTTTCCCCACTCACAGTACCCAAATTGCCCCACGGTGTTCAACAAATCGGTCTCAAACATACGCAGGAATTGATTGTTTACATAACTACTAAAGTTATATCGGTGCGATCTATCTCTAGAAGCCTCACTAATGCTAGATAGATCAAATGAGCAAGTGTTACACAGGCATGGGGAAAATATCCCTGCCGCGACCAGTCTTCCTGCACTTTGCACAACCGTTTTCTTCGCACGCGTACGTGAGGTGAACGTCTCATAGTCATGCCGTGCCGGAGAGACGAGGGCGGGAAGCTATGTCGAAGTAGATTCACATCTCTCTATACCTTTCAGAAATCTTTTTGGCGGATTAGGCTACCGATTCAGCGGATAGGGAAGTCACCTTCGCGGATAGGGACATCAAATTGATGTCATCAATTTAGCGATGAGAGTCGAACAGGGAAATCAATTTCGCGAATAAAGACGTCGATTTCATGATTAAGGAATGCAATTTCACAAACAAGGACATCAATTTCGGGTTAGAGTTCCATGTACATGCAGATATTTCAAGCCATTAACAGTGCTTTTAATCGTACGTACCGCGGAATTTCGAGTTAATTTCCAGGGATCACCGCGATTCAAAAAACGTCAAGAAACGACGAAAATACAGGACGTGACTCACGGGCCCCGTGACACTTCTTGCGGCGTAATTATGGACCGCCGCAATGACCGGTTTGTACTTTTCGGATTTTGTCGTTCTTGCTTGGATTTTGTACATCACCCGTGGAATGCGCCCTCCTCGCAGCGGTCGCCGAACTCCAAACTGCGCATCCTGGGCGGGCGTTCATCTTGAACGTTATTTACCATAGCCAATGCAGCTTGTTTCATTTCCACATCTTCGTCTCGTCGGCGAAGTCATCCTTGAGCTCTCTATCTAGTTGCATATCAATGACCCTTGCAGTCTATCACAGGTTATGGGGTATGACCGAACAGTTTGCCGCCCGCAAGAAGTAGTCTCAACCCCCCTTCCAGCGATCTTGCCACTACCCTTTGTCAGATGGGGCTGGAGACAAGTCTATCATCGCATGCTGCCCTTCCAAATAGCCTTCTACCCTAGTTTGATGTGGTAGGTGTTGCTCACCCACTCGTGATGCAGACAAGCATTTCCCCCAGGTATCTCTTCGGCTGGTTCGATGATCCGTACAAGGAAGCAATGACACTCGGGATTTGGAACGTGTCAAAACGCTCACTGTAGGGTCCCTTTGGCTTACGCATATAACTTCTGATGCCATTTTCAGATACTTTTGGGATCCTTTACGTTCAGGCGGCGACAAGGGCTGGTATGTTGCGGGCACGTGTGAGATGGCGATGTCTCATTATTCAGGTATCCCTAGTTGGCTCTACCGCTACCGGACAACGTGTTGTTGGTTACCACGTTATGATGATACTTTTGTTTTTGCCCATCGATTGTTGAGTTCTGTGCAGGGTGGAAGCATCGATTGTTACAACCCCATATCACTCTCAGACGCAACGTTTAATGCAAAAGTATTCCGTCGAAATTCGGGTTTCAAGTATGCGAATAAGTTCTTGGCGATCACGCGTATTTCCGCGGAATTGTTAGGCCTTTGCAACCCTACCGTCCAAATTGTATGCTGTACAAGTTTATGGTGGCATGTGTCCCGATCTTAGCGTTGTTATTTCCCAACGGCTTTGGAGACTTCAGGAAGGTATATGCGTCTTGAGGGGAGTGAGTCTATAAGGCTAAATGGTTGGATCGAACCGGATACCTTCCAGATGCTGAGCAACATCCTTCTCGTGTTGAGCTGGTAGCAGATGAGGAATGCAGCACCTGAGAAACTACCCCGCAAGAGAATGACCAAGTCTCGTCACAGCAGCAGCAGGACCCCACCGCAGTAATTGCGACAAGGTCGAATCGCGCCTTCAAGATTCAGTCAATGCCAGGATTCGTCCGTGCGGAAGCCGATGATCGTGTCCATCCTCACATTGCTCATTTCGATTCCAGCTCTGGTAGGAAGTATGATGAGAATTAGCAGTGATATTTACATCGCTCCGCCATTTTCAGCTTGGCGCCTGATGTTGGCCCGTGCTCGTGTTTGGTCTATTGGGCCTCGCGAGCACAGCGGGATTGAACGGTTTCTCACATACTTTAACCTTCGGGCTCAACCTCGCCATCTTCACCAATCTCTGTCAATTTGTCTATGCTGGAACGAAGAGTCGGAGGAAACACATAAAGCCTCATGTGCGGAAATGGGGTCCCTTCTATTGCGTCCTCATTGCCACCATCGGGGTTATGATGGACCTCACTCGACATGTCCTTATTGACTCCAACAACTGGTTCATGACCGACGGTAAGTGGTGGTCTAATTGCCGTTTGTTGAGAACTCACGACCAAGACTCTTGTCATCTGTGGAAGCAGTAGATCATTCGGTGAAAAGCTCACGACACGTTCGCTTTGGAATTCAATACACTCGGATTCAGAGGGTCGGGCTCGAGCACATGGTTGATGTGTTTGCTCAGTCGCCAATGGGGACAGAGTGAAGTTCAACTTCGACGGTTGCAAGTACAGAATCGAACGAGTTGAAGGAACCCCTGGCGAGTGTGCTGACATTGGTCGTGGGCCTCTACAAGTTACTGAGGAAAACGCCCTGGGCGTGAGTGCTCCAATGTAAGGCATCGTCAACCAGCACTCAGCACTCGCTGAGGATCAATCAGGTACAACCCTGACGGCTCCTATTCCTTCTATGGGATATGGTTCACTCTAGTGGCGACATGGACGGGCTTCCTGATGATGTTTATTGGCATCCTTTGGTACACCGACCTCCCCCACAAGTTGGCCCTGCAGTGGCGACAGGTCTTTGGTGATAGGAGCAGCAACCGTGAACCTTTACTACCATGAAAAGCATCAATTCTGTTGGCGGATGACGAATGACTCGCCGGCGGTAAACTCTGTCTGTCGGCGCGGACATGTCAGACGTCTTGAGCAATCGTTGTAGTGATGCAGATTTTTTAATCGTCTAGAATGCCATTGTTGTGTTCATGCTTGAGTCAGTTATACAGTGAGTATGGTAGGTGTAGAATTACGAATAGCTCCCTATGGCAATGTTCGTCCCAAGACTAGAACACGATAACAAAAATACAAGAGAAGAGTTACAGACGTATTAAAGTACAGCGATCAGTTGGACTTGTCGTCATCATCATCATCAGTCCAACCTCCGATGTCCTCGAGTCGCACTACCCGCCGTACCTTTCTTGGAGGCTGCCTTACTTCAACTACAGACTCCTCCGACACCGACACACTCTCGGTCGTTTTGTCACTTTCTGTATCGGATTCGCTCGTGTCATTGAACAGTATCTGTCCCTTCTCTGGCGCCAGACTAGCAGCCTTTAACCCAGTGGTTACTACGTCCGCCCGAACCTTAGCCTTCAATCGCCTATCCAGCTTCGCTCGTGCGTCTATAAATCCCCTCCCTTGTCCTAGTAAGCCACTCACCAGCAACAGGCTCTGACCATTCCGCTCACCCGAGCATATGGTGAGGTAAGCGTTGTCGAAGGCTTGTATAACGTGAGGGTAGTCGAATGTGCCACGGCCGAGGTCGATAGAGGAATCTTCGGGACTTTCGATGCTGATAACCCATGATGGATTCTCTCGGGGGAAGAGGCTAGCCTGTTTAGCAGACCCATTCGGTGGACGTAAGCCGAGCTTCTTATAGTTCATATCGTTGGAGTAGAGACGGAAGAATTCGAACAGGAGGTGACCGAGTGAAGCCTTACGCCAATGTTCAGGACTTCTCGCACCTAATTAATTCGACCTCCCAGATACAACAATGGTAGAGCATTCACATAACAATCAAATGGTCCAAAGTTCTATTCCCGCATCCTCCCTATTACCATCGCTCAAATGTAATCCACATAGTAGCATCGTAAACAGCATGAAACTGCCGATGCCCCCTTTGTACGGCTCGCTCAAGCCTCGTATGGACAGAAACAGTTTAAGGAACTGCGAGGAGGAAGCCGATAACGCCTACCATAAAGAGACCCCCATTACCATCAAAAGAGGCTTCAGTTGAGGCATTTTCTGGCAATTGGCTACCACCCATTCTCCGCTCTTCGTGACAACTCCTTGCAGCCCAAAAGCCACGTCCACCGAAAAGCCGCTACGACGGTCGATGAACTTCACTATTGGCACTCGAGCGGTGTCGATAACGTGAATATGAGTGGCGATTTTAGACACATGAAGAGCCTTAGCGAACTGATTCATGAGTAACTTTAGATTCTCCCGAACATGGTTCGGTCCTGGCAAACGCTGAATCGCCAGATCGATATCACCATCAGGTAGATTCAAACCGGTCCAGCTAGAGCCAAACTCCACTACAACAGCCTCTGGCCACAGTGCGTTGGTGATGGCCCTCACGTCGAGAACGATCTTACGGCGCTCCTCCTTCTCTTGAGGTGTCGCGTCGAGCCACTTACCAAAGGCGACCAATTCCGAGTGTAAAGCCAGCATTGTAGGAAGGCTCGGATCGGGGGTCTTCCACGGCGCACCACCACCCTGCTCGAATTTATCGGCCGAGACGTAGTCAGGCGCGACGTCAGGAAATGAGGATTCGGAGGACGGTCGAGTGGACCGACGCCGCTCAGCTAATGCATGACGGAAATTGTCGTTGAAGACGATCTGAAGTTCATCGTCAAGTCAACGTCACTGCGCCACGAAATTACTACCTGTTTCTGCTGCCGCTTCAGATCGGCCTCCAGTACAGGATCGTGGAGCAAGTCATCGATAGAGGCCATCATCGTGCCAGGTATCAAGGAATTCAACAACAAGGCGTGCGAGAGGAGGAGGAGCTCGAATGGCGCATGATAAATCTCGCTCGCCCGAAATTAAGTCCCCACCCATCATCGATGGAATTTGTTGTTGATTTCAATTGACGATGATGTATGCATGCTGGTTGATGACGCTTGTCCGGTCGAGACATGTGACCGGCCCTTGCCTGCGGTCTTATTTGCTTAGTACCCTCATAGAGGGGTATAAGTTTAGGTATGACGTGCAAGTTCCCCAGTGACTATCGAACGAAAGAGTTAAACACGTAGAGACACCGTGATGGCTCCTGGCCCCGAAGGGGAAGAAAAGGCAGTAGAAAAAACAACACAGTTTACAGCCGTTCAATGGTTCAGCAAATGGCCTCCTCGCTATCATCGCTTATTATTCCTTGTCGACGATCGGAATAGGATATCCCTCAGCCTCGAGGCATGCTTAATGCCCTGTAAACGGTCCAGAGTGAATCTATCTATCTGGCTGCCAATACTAGCTCGACACTCCGGGACCACCGTAGCGAGGAGGAAGATGCACTGGAGGGCCTGAGAGGATGGCAGCGTGGTAGAGCAACTGCTGCCTGTCATGAGTTCATCACCTGTTCCGTTGCCGCATCTTCCTGTTCGAACTTGTGCGTTCGCAGTACTGATGTAAGCACGCTAAGGCCTCCATCGATCGCCAGGAAATCCCGACATAACTGGGAAAATAATTCCGAAAATTTCCTGTGTGAAAATCACCCACCTTGCTATCGTTGGTCATGAGTGTCAATAGAAGCCCGCAGGCATTCTTACAGATCTGCCGATCGTCCACTGAGTATCGGGCTAAGACCTGGACCAAGCTGGGCAGGAGGGCCGAGCCTGAGGGGACAATTTCGTGGCGCAGTGACGCTGACGATTACCTCCAGTGAGGATCGGATTGTCATGGGAATCCTCATTAAGAGATATGTTCCACATCGCGCCAAGCATTGCCCTCACTTCCTGCTGCATTTCCACCGATAGAGGGCATCTCGTAGAGGACTTCAACAACTAATGTGGCGGAAGTGTGGTATGCACGCATGCACATCATCATCGAGTCTCCTACCTCCTCCAGTTTGTCCGGCATACATGAGAAGGCCTTGAAAATAGTAGCCTTAGTGAGCAGAGGATTTCGAGGAAGAGCCGACGAGTCCCACGAAAAAGACACCACTTCCATCGTCTGAACAGAGGTCCCTGGTTCGATCCCTGCATCCGACATCATCCCCTACCTTGGCGAACGCTGATGCAACCATAGCGTCACTCGAAGCCGCTACTTCCTCTAAAGTCGTCCTGGCAGCCTCCGCCTCCTCCCTACTACTACATGACGGCACCGCGTAACGACAGTGGCTCGAGAGGTACTCCAATCGGGCTACCAGACCTGAGAAGGAGGAGGAGGCTAATCTAGACTAGACCCGAGGATAGATGAATCCTCACCTGTACTGCTATTGATTTCTGATAGTCTACTATCGTCCAGATCTAATCGTGAGGTGGCCGCCTCAGCTGGGGAATGCATTATAGTATTCTCATCATCATCATCACTGCCATACTCCTCCATAAGTCTATGGAAGGAGCGTGCAGGGGTATAACCCTGGCAACCATAGGCTTTACTACGGGATGACCTGTTGCTGCACAATCCAACAATACCATAATGAGGACTGACCCCTACTTGACCACCCGACTAGTCGAGGTCCTCTGAGTGCGGCTGATGGAGGAGGCAGGGGAGGAAGAGTCCAACTGCTGCTGCTGCTGTCGGTATTGTCGTCCATTACGGCCTCCTGGCATGAGGGTGCGAGAGCGTTGAGAGTAGACCGAGCCTGTCGACTCCAACCGAGAAGACTGGTACTGAGAGAAGACCCCACTAGGCTCATCTACCACCACACCTCCCTACCATCGCCTCCTCCTCCTTCGTCTTGGCTTTGATCAGGTTCTGCACGAATAAGAGGATATCCTCCCTATCTCGAGTACGGACGAAATCTGGCAAATCCTTGAGGATCCCCTCCACATCCTCCTCCCCATCAGCAGGGGCGGCCTTCGAGACCTCCTCCTCCGCTGTCTACATACAACAGGTGTCTCCCCAATACCTCCTCTACCTTACCTTCTTGACCAACTCCTCCAGCTGCCTTTGCTGATCCTTTACCCTCCCCCTCAACTCCGCATTAGCCTCCTTCTGTGTTTCCAACACTGTAGTCACCTCCTCCAGCTTAGCCTCCAACCGAGCAATGGTCTCTGAGCTTTCCTTAGATAACTTCTCGAAGGCTTGGCTCCCCTCGGACCTGTCAGGAAGGCTCTACTGAAGCCCCCAAGGTGAAGGAGGAGGCCTACATGCGTTCCTCTAAGGATTGTATCCTCCTGCTATGGTCTACTATCCTGGCACGATATGGACGGTCCAGCGATGGAAGGGGAGAATGAACTGGGGAAAAACATCACAGTTCCGGAACGATTCACCCAATTCTCACCCGGTGAGGGTGGCGGTCGCAAGGCACCACCTTCGTGACTGCTACCGATATGTGGCAGCAACAGCAGGTCTACGAGGGAACAAAAATGTGAAACAAGAATCGCTTCGCTCCGCCCCATACCAGCCGACATACTCCTCTGTCTACGGGAGTCTTCCTCCTCCTCCTCCCTCCCCCAAGGAGCTCTCGTTGCCACTATACTTGCCGTCTCCGCCACGTGTGGGACAGCTGCTGTTGGGTGTTCCTCTACATCAACAACACATACCATAAATCGATCATATCATAACCATCATCATCATCTCACCTATAGACTCTCCCAGATCACCACTACTCATCGAGGACTTCCTCCTCCCACCCTCAGAAGACCCCCTGGACGGGGCCTTAGGCGGCAAGGAGGACGACGACGACGGCACAAGAGCGGGAGAGGGCGCCTCAACCGCTGGAAATGAGGACATCATAATAGTCGGGCAGGGGCAGGTCCCCTCACCTGGTGAAGGCTCATGCTCTTCCCCTCCATCGTTCGTGTCGGGCTTCTCATCGGACTCGGCAGCTTTCTCTCCCAAAATCTCCTCAAAAAAGTCGATAGAAGTAGATCGTTTGGGTTCTTCACTGCCCGTTAAAACTATCAAGAGTCCATACCACTCCTCCGCCAACACCCCCCAACCACATACCTCCCTCCCCCTGTTCGTCCACCCCAGCCTTCTCCTCGACTGCCTCCTCAACAATGCCTAAGAGGACCCTCATTTCCCAACCCATGAATACCACCCTACAACTACTACCCTGGTCCTCTGAGACTTCATCTCTCTCCACTACTGGACTCTCCTCCTCCCCTCCCTCGGGGGATGCCGCGACGACCTCCTCCTCCTCGTCGTCGTCGTGATGGACCTCCACCACAGGGACAACTAAGAGCACAACCTACAGCCGCCTCCCTCCTCCCCTCCCTTAACCCTACCTCCCCCCTCCTTAGGACTTCCAACCCTCGTCTCGATGGGCAGGGTCGGTGAGGGAGGATCCCCACTACCATCATCGCGTTGAGTGGTATCGTCCGTATGTGTACAACCTATATATGTCCATACCTCAACCTAAGACCCTCCTCCTCCTACCTTCCTCCTGCTCCGTGGGCGTCACCACCATCCAGTCGCCTCCCTGCTCTCCCCACTCATCATGCGATAACAGTCCTCCCCATCCAACGTCCTCTCCCAATCCAACCCCCACCGGACTGACCGACTGAAAACGTTACAATAAAAAACGCTTCGCTCCGCCCACTGTAATATTATAACCTTCAAAGGGGACGCTGAAGCCGCCGCCTTCTCACTCGAAAACACCGCTGGGCTCTCGGGGACTTCCGCCTCCCTTTCCCGCAGTACTCCAGCGTCTTCTACCCCAACCCGTCTCTCCTCAGTTGTCCATGCGGATTCCCCCAATAGATCGTCATAGTCAAGCTCAACAGTGGGTGTCGAGACCGGCTCCTGACCCCATGTGGGGGCCTCCCAGACTTCCTCCGCCGTAGACTTCTCTTCCTCAATCTTGCTCTCTTGCATTTCCTCAACGCTACTACCTCCAGGAGTTGACAAAGGAGAGGTTCCGATACCATTGCTGACCGGTGGTGAGGGAGGTAGGACAGACTGTTTTGGAATTGGGGATTCCTGAAGATCCTCAAACTTGCGCACGCGGAAGATTTCACTAATCTCCCATAAGTACTTCCATTTCCCCTCCATCCAACTGACCAGTAGCCGCTAAGGGAGTCTGAGAGCTCTCTACCTGAACACGGCCCTGTATGATCATTCCGTCACGCGCCACAAAATTCCACCTGCCGTTCGTCCTCCACAGCGGAACGCATCGGGAGGGCCTAAGACCATCTCTACCACGCATAACTTCACAATATCATTTCTGTCAATGTCGCCCTCGTACACGGTCATCAACACGGAAAACGCAACGAGACGCCCAGCATAGCCCTTCGAAAATGGGCGATGCACTCCCCGCCGAAATCGATACTAAATTCGGACAGAATTTTTATGCAACTTTCCCAGCCTCAATTCCTCGTGCCCTCGGCCAACTACTCACGTCCGTAACTGCAGTATCTACCGGTTGCTCCTCCTCCTGCTTGGTTTCCGCTTCGACACTCTCTGGCAATACTGGGCTCGTTGTAAGCTGGGAAACACAATTTTACTACACCCACCAACGTTACCTCTACTACTACTACCTCTTTGGTGCTTTCAGGTGGTATCGGCATTGACACGGCGGTACCCTCCTCCTCCTCTCCCGAGGGCTTCTCTTCCGTCAGGACCGGGGGACCAGGTAGTAGACCTATACTGAGGGTGGAGGGGATGCAAGATGAGGTTAATACCTCCGAAGGGGTTGGGGGCCGGTAGGAGGTGTGGTGGACCCTTCTTGGGTGATGTCGACTTTGCGGTGGAGCCGCCACTCATACTGGTGAATGGGTCGACGAAACGAGATCGAGCTGAGATGCAGAAATAGCTACTACTGTTACTACTACTGTTACTACTACTACTACTACTACTACTACTACTACTACTACTACTACTACTACTACTACTACTACTACTACTACTACTACCACTACTACTACTACTACCACTACTACTACTACCACTACTTTTACTACTACTACTACTACTACTACTACTACTACTACTACTACTACTACTACTACTACTACTACTACTACTACTACTACTACCACTACTAGTACTACTAGTACTACTACTACTACTACTACTACTACTACCACTACTAGTACTACTAGTACTACTACTACTACTACCACTACTACTACTACTACTACTACTACGTGTCGGACGCACGGTGTAAACCGGTACGAAAGCTCCTAGGAATAAATCCTAACAGCTTTCAGATCAACATTGCGGCACGAGGCAAGCAATGAGATCAATACATCCTTTTCATGTACCCAGTAAAGGGCCTCCTAAAACACGCCTCACGATATGCATAGTACTGATACTAGCAACTCGCTGGCATGTTTTGATGTCCACACCCACAAGCAGCGCATTTTTCAGCACCCTAGGGAGAGACTTCGACACTGCACCCGTCACACCTATCACTATAGGCACTATCTTAATTGAAAACCCCGGATATAACACAGCCAACTCTTGGAGTAAGGCCTGATATTTCGACCTTTTCTCCTCTTCTTTACGCAACACTGAGAGGTCAGCACATACAGCGACCTCTCCAACAATAACAACTTTTCTTTCATTGAGTACACATACAATATCAGGTTTATAATGTTCAATCTTATTGGGAGTAGGGATTACTTGATCCCAAAAAAGACTACCACTGATATTACTGATACAAGGTGGTCTACAAGTCCACCAATGGTTCTCAAAATCGACATTCAACAAATCACAACAAGCTTTATAGACCAATCTGCATACACGGTTGTGACGATCTAGATATTCTGCACCAGCTAACGTGGAACACGACGATGCCACATGGTACAACGTCTCTTTCTCCTTCCCACAAAGTCGACATAGAGGATCTTGTGCCTGTACTGGGAAAGCATTAGTTGGAATAGCCAAGGTGCGGAACGCAAGTATATCACTCTCCAACTGAGGAGTGATATTAGCCGACCCAAACCAATTCAAAGAAGCTTCTAAGTCAAGACCATCACTCGCCAACGCCAAAATTTTGTTATACCACATTCCCGCGGCTGGCATTGCTCTAAATCTCGCCAATCGCAACTGCTTCAATTTCATGAATACATTATGCGGGAAATTACTATCATCATGAATTTGCAAACCTACTTTTATTTTATCCCTCCTCCTCAGAATTTTTCCCAGCGGATTAGTTTCGTTAATATTTGGTATTATACCACTAAGATGATTTGCTACATATTCTCCCATACTTATTGTGATTTTATTCCATGCGTCTTCAATGCTAATCAATCCCCTCCCCCCTTCATTCCTAGCAATATATAATAAATCAGTGCAAGAGTTATAATCATGCGCATGTGCCTGCCTAAGTTTGTTTCTTATTCTGGTGTCTAGTTCTGCTGCCTCTGATTTACTAAATAGACCAACTTGAATGGGATAATAAGCTACCGATATACACCACGAGTTGATGGCTTTTATAGTGTTATTCCCTGAGAGTTTAGTTTTAAGCACTCGTTGCACACGCCCAAGGATTATTCTTCCTGCATTCGCCTTGACCTCACTCTTTTCTGGTAGCATGTTCTGTGGTATTCCGAGATATGTGTATGTACCTCGATCACCTAGATATCTGATGCTCCTCAAACTTTCAGGAATTCTCTGTGGACATTCCGTTGATACCCCTCTACTAATATTCAGCCAAGCACATTTCTGTAGTCCAAATTTCAATCCCGCAAACTCTCCCACTTTCTGTGTACATTCTATTTGTGTTCCTAATTCCTTTGGGTTCCTCGCGAACAATTTTAAATCATCAACGAACAGAAGGTGGTCAATTCTACTACTCCTATGTCTCACATTTCCAAAATAATATCCAGCCTCTAACTGTTTTAACGCCTCTGAAATCGGTTGTGTGCCGATTATGAAAAGACATGGCGATAAAGAATCTCCCTGATAAATGCCTTTCCTTACCTCAACATTCCCTCCCTCTACCGCCACTCCATTGACATGGAGAGCTAGCTTCCAGTTTTCCATACATCTACTAATGAAATTGATAATATTCTCACCTACGCCGAATTCCTTGAGCCATATTTTAATCCAACTATGCGCTAACGAGTCATACGCCTTCGCAAAGTCTACCCACCCACATGCCAGGTTGTGATAAGAAGTTCGAACGTGGTGTGACACTGCATGATCAATCAACAGTTGATGGACACATCCACGTCTACCAGCACGACAACCTAACTGCTCCTTAGCGATAATGTCATTCATTTCGAGATGCGATGTGAGCTTTGTAGCTATGATACTAGTGAGAAATTTGTACATAGTGCATAGACAGGTAATTGGTCTGTAATCGCTAGCCCTTCTGCACCGGTTCTCCCTGAGCGGTTTCTCCAATAAATGTGTAGTTCCGTGATAGAACCAATCTGGAGGATCATGCTCTCCGGTTAGGATTTTCGTGAAGGCTACTGCTAGTTTTTCATGGATCCTAGGGAATAATTTGAACCAGTAAGTCTTCAGCTTATCAGGTCCCGCTGCCTTCCACGGGCGCGCTTTCCCGATTGCTTCCTTAACTTGTTCTTGCGATATCATAGTGAGTCCTAATGGACTAATGTTCTTCCTTCTCAACTTGTTACGATACTCGATATACCATGTTTCATTTTCAAATCCTGGTGTGTTTTGATAAGCCCATACATTTTTCCAGAATCTCCCTAACTCTTCCCCATTTACTGTTTCCTCCCCCTCATGTGTTTGGTCTTCACTGTGAGACAGATCTCTGTATAATTGCTTCTGGTCGGAGTTCATCAACCTCTCAAGCTTTGTTCTCTCCTCTTTAATATTCCACTTTCTCAGCTTGGCACTCACATTCTTGAGACTGAGTGTTAGTTTACCTTGCAGATTCAATAACGCCGATTTGGAGTGGCCATGTTTGTTTCTGAGCTCCTTAGTGATCATTTTCAGCCTCCTGCTAGGATTTTCATAATGCTGTAAATATGCAGTTATCCTGCCAAGATCCTTGCGTGTGGCTTTGAGTTTGCTTTCTAATCGACGTTTCGCTGGGAGTTTGCCCTTTTTCTTTTTCACTTGCTTGGTGCTCACTCCTTGTTCCGAAAGAAGTACCCTAGCGGCGGCGAATATTATGTGGTTAATCATTTCCGCCGTAGGTTCTTCTCCACATTCTTCTAACATTGCCTCTTCTATCACTCTGGCTCTTTCCTTGATCAGGTTCATCTTATCTTTCATGTCAGGCAATCTCTCTCTCTCTGATATAGAGAGATTTTTAACCACTCTCAGCTCTTCGCGAAAATTCGCGATGAGTCTCCTCTCAGGCTCTGTTCGTGGATCGTCCGGGCCTTTGGGTCTTCCACATTGCCGCCTCGGACCCTGTGGTTCACCCTGCCCCGGACTTTGCACTTGGGATAGCCTATCCTGCCAGTTCTCTTGGTTTCCATTCTGCGTTCTGTTCAATTCCTCTGCTTGACCCTGCTCGTTTGTGTTCTGCACAGCACATGCGCTCCTCTCGCTATCAATAATTCCACATGCATTGCGTTTTAATTCTGCATATTCCGGTGATCGAGATAATTTGTACAAGTACGATGCTAATTGCTCCCCCGTTTTCCCTACCAGACCACTCCTTTTCTCAAATTCTACCTTGAGAATACTCCCTTTACTACCCTTACAACACTCCCTATGTTTCTCCCAATGGGCTTCGGCTTCACACAAGGCTTGTTTATCAGCCAAGGACCATTGGTGCCTTGCAGTGGCGGGCCGAATTTCGGCAACGCCTCTGCTTCCATCCCTGCTCGCTGTCTCCTGCCTCTGTTGAGGGAGGGCCAATCCAAGTCGCTGCCTCTCGTCGGCGCGGCGGGTTCGGCGTGGAGACGGTGGCGAAGGCATTCAGCTTATGCCACACGATGAAAAAAGGAAACCTCTACTACTACTACTACTACTACTACTACTACTACTACTACTACTACTACTACTACTACTACTACTACTACTACTACCACTACTACTACCACTACTACTACTACCACTACTACTACTGCTACTACTACTACTACTACTACTACTACTACTACTACTACTACTACTACCACTACTACTACCACTACTACTACTACTACTACTACTACTACTACTACTACTACTACTACCACTACTACTACTACTACTACTACTACTACTACTACTACTACTACCACTACTACTACTACTACTACTACTACTACTACTACTACTACTACTACCTGCCCCAAGAGCAACTGGTCGTGTCATCTGAGCCATGAAGTCGTTGCTGCTGCTACTAGACGTCGAAGGGTCCGCTGCTGGGGTCTAGGAGATCGTCGATATTAATAAGAAGGGTTGGGTGCCGTCGAGACTTACTTCGCGCTTGGTGAAGGCCATAGGAGGCGGCTTCAACTCCTCGTCCTCTTCTAACTCATCTTCCTTACCTCGCTCTACCCATCGTTTACGTTGCTCATCATAGTACCTATGGATGATGGCACATTTTCCGACCTATTTCGTATCTTACGTGGTGAACCTAAAGATACTCTATTACATTGTATTGGCCCCACCCATGTGAGCCACCGTTGCCGGCTCCTCATCTTCCTCTGATGACGATTTCCCGCTCAGTCGAGCAAGCCAAGACGCCATAATAATATCAACAAACTAGGGTGATCAATGAAGGCGCTTCCGTCACGAATTTAATTGACATAAAACTGACCATCGTGGGATTCGAACCGGGGACCTCTCAATGTCTCTATTGATTCTGTGCTAGTTGCGTCTCAGGGCGATCTCAGTAGTGTATCACTTCAGCATCAGTAGGCTTTTTTAACTCTCATAATAATGCCACCAACTACTAGAAGGAACCGACACAGAGCCTCTGAAGGTCAACGTCGGGTGAACTCCTCCTCTACTGAGGACTCTAGGCAGTTCATAAGCTCCTCTAAAGAGCTCATAATACGACTCTTGATACCTACGGTGCCGATGCTGTTGGTATGGATATGGAAGATGTGGTTGAGGGAGTGGTGGCTATCTACAACCTTGGGGAACAACAAGGGGTTACCTCTCGAGGACAGGATGAGGCTCTCCTCTGTTGAGCTATCGGATGAATCTAAGGTCGATGGTGTCGTTACAGGAGGCTTGGCGTTACTATTAGCGGCAGTGTCGCCTTATATTATGCTGGCTATGCATTGGAATAAAACTGCTGATGATAAACTTAGGAAACCGTTCAGTAAGTTAGGCCACATGCGGACCTATTTTGTATCTTGTCCGCTCAACCTTAAGATTCCTCCTCTCAGTCCCCTATCCCTTCCTTCTAGCCGGCCTCATCGGTCTACAGTCCTCCATATTGTTGTCGAGCTCCACTGACGAGTTGGTCCATCGGCTGCTCATCTCCTCGGAGCCCCCAAGGGCCTTCGAACCTCTTTGGACCCCACCAGGAGCTCCGGAGTCCCTGCATTGGCCAACACACATACAAACGATGAGTGTTGTACTGGTCGGGAGGAATGAACATAAATACCTCTATCGTAACAGGTTACCTCTTCTACAGCTATGTAAGATTCAGTACAGGTACGGTGGACTCAATCATTAGGAATACCCCGAGTCGTCGATTAAAGGAGATCATCCTTGTTGATGATGGATCGATCCCCCCTATGGAACCTCTACTGGCCGACTATCGTGATAAGGTACTATCGATTGTCCTAGGGCAACGACGCCAAGTGGTACTGCCAGTCTCTGTGGTGGTGGATGCTGCTATAGGGTGTATATATATAGTCTGGGTGGATTTCGATCTGGTGTGGTATGCTTGTAGACCTACTTCGAATCTTGCTTAGGTGAGGCTTATTCGCCATGAGCAATCCCAAGGGCTCATCAGAGCTAGAATGGCCGGTGCCAATGCGGCTGTTGGTGATATGGTAATGTGGGGATGGCCGAGTGTTCTTCCGTGGATCCATCTGGTCTTTTCTATGCGGAAGTTTTCACCGCGCCACGAAATTCCTCTCAGGTGATGTTTTTGGATTGTCACGTGAAACCAGAGCCCGGGTGGGAGAGAGCGATGTTCAAGAATACGAATGAGAACTACAAGCGGCTGGTGGTGCCTCTCATACCCAAGCTGGATGGTGACACTTGGGAGGTGACTGGGGCCAATTAAGACGTTTATGTAACATGCGTTATATACTCCGAATTCGGACTTCTGAGGGAACGTTTTGAGGAGGTATATAGATCTTTTGCGGGCGTGTTGTTAAGGGAATTGAATGCTGTACCGCTCGGAAGAGCGAGTGAGATTATGTGTAGTTGTGGGGTGGAGGATTCGAAATTATAGTGGTGTAGGTCCTCGGTGATGAACCCGGTGTGAAGATGATGTTCGACTGGGGTCTGCAGTTCGATTGGTTCGAGGACGGCAATGATGAGGTGAGTATAAATATCGATCCCAGGATTCGAACCTGGGTCGATAGGATGGCAGTTGAGTGACAGACCTCGTTGAGCTGTTTAGGTTCCTGTTATGAGTGGTGGCCTTTATGCCATCACTAAGAAGTGGTGGCATGAATCTGGAGAATATGATTATAACATGCTCCTCTACGGCGCTGAGAACATCGAGCAGTCGGTAAGAAAATGGATCACAGCGGAGCGAAGCAGATTTTGTTTTCTGCCAGGTTCGTGTTTGGATGTGTGGTGGCGAAATAGTCGTTGCCCGGAATAGCCGAGTGGCGCATCTTTTCCGACCGAAGTTCCCCTATAAAGTTAACGACACCACAGTGTATGTGAACAAGATTCGTAATAATAGGAATTTCGTGGCGCGTGACGGATCGTTGATTGTCGGCAGGTACTGTGGAGGTATGGTTCGATGAGTGGAAAGACAGGTAAGCTGTGATTTTCGAACACGTATGAATTTGACAAATTATGGTAATATAAGATACTACCAAACTGATGAGCATGCGTACAAGGTTTTGGGCGGCATGGGAGATGTGACCAAGAGGAAGGCCCTGCGACAGGAGCTCAACTGCAAGTCCTTCAACTGGTTCCTCGATCGCTTCCAGGACGTGTTTAAGTCTAGGAACTTACTACCAATGGGTAATCGAAAGGTCTCGGGTTCGAACCCCACAGTGGATGTTTTTTGTTAGATTATAATACTTCCCGGAGTTTGGAGGCGTACGCTTATGAGTGATGGATTTCGTGGGCTCGAAAGTGTCGGAGCTAGCAGTTTCTCATATTGAGAATTTGTTCAGTTTATTAATACGATGTGGCGGGATTGATCCAGGGACCTATTCCGAGGAAAATCGCGCAGCTACCACTTGAGTAATTTCACTTATGGATAGTCGCGGCTACAGTCGGATAGAGGAGGGACGATCCCGTGAAGAAGACAGACAGAGGTTGATGGACTCTACAGAGATGTATGTTAACACCCTTCCAGCACTTGTATGCGTGAGATGCTCTTCAGGCTGCGGGATAGTTCCAACCAATTACGCGATGCCAAGAGGACGGCTCTCGAGACGGAGGACATCGCTGTGGGGGTTATGTCCGATTTACGGTAGTACCTCGTATCAGTAACTTTGCCTTATGTTGATTCCTGTGTCGGGTCTCTTTGATAATCATTGAAGCCAGCCTCCGATCTGAGCTTGTCAGGTCCCAACGTGAGGTCATCTCCCGTACCGGTAACAGCCTGAATGAGATAGACTCCAACTTGAGCACTGCTCGTCGAACCATCAGTAGCATGGCTCGTCGGGCCATGGCTAACCGTATGGTCCTCACGGCCATTGCTATCGCCATTGGCCTTGCTGTTTTGTACATCTTGTATCGAAAGGTCGCTGGTTGAAAGCAGTCAACCTCTCATATCAACAGTTGGTGTAATATTATCCGCCATACAGTACCATTTTTACACCCGTCCTGTTGCTGTGTTCAGTTGTGCGGAAAAGACCAATCAGGGGTATCGAATTTTCAAGTATCGTCTATACTTGAGTTCTATTGTCAAGTTGACGGACTTCTGAAAGTGTCAACAGTAGTGGTATTGAGTTGTGGAACCCTAGGCCTGTGGGGAGAGGGGAGTTTCCTCCTCAACAGATGATACTATACTATTGCCGTTAGAGGCGGCTGGCGAGGTCCACGCCATGATACTTCATACCATTGCGGTTGATGCCTCGTCCTCGAGTTGGAGGATATTTGATATACGTTGATGAGTTATCAGAAATGGGCCTAACGTGGCGATCCGAACGAGCCTCCTTCGTCTCACAATCCCTACTGTTACGGAACATACCCTTCACTGTTATCATCATCACAGATACTATGGTTCATAAAGAGACCTTAGGACGTCATTAGTGTCTTAGGTGATTAGTAGTAACAACTACTGCCGGTAGGGTAACCCTTGCATCATAGGATCGGGTGGTATGACTATTTCAACGCATAGCTGGTGATAATACTGAAATCATTGATAGCATCACAACATACCCGGTGCCCCCTTCCTAAGCTGCCGCCTTAGGCTGTTCAATGGGGCTGCCGACTTCTACCATGTCGGGGGAGTTCTCAGAATATATTATCTAAAGACCACCATCGTGAAGTAGGGTCCCATCAAGAGCACATGGACTAGAACAGTGGCAATACCCTTACTGTTGGGGTGGACTGTCGTGATCGTGGTGTACGACGTCGCCTTTTCCCTTCCCCCCTAGGCCCATTGAGGATCTTCCAAGCGTTCATATAAAGGTCCTACCAACACCTGGGCCCCCTCACCCCTCATCACCCCTTACCGTGATGAAGTCGGCGAAGTGATTGCTTTGCTCCAGACCATACTCCAGTAGAGAGCCTCTTCCTCCTCTTCCTCCTCCTACTCCACAACAAGAGGAGGAGTTTTGTGTGGTGTGACCAGGCGATGACGGTGTTGTTGTTGACCCCTCAGGGGATGGTGGGGCCTCTGGTTCCTCTTCCTCCACCTCGAGCTCTCGCTGCCTTTCCATTAACGCTTCTCGTATCTATACAGGCCTCCTTGGGAATCTACTAACCGGACGTTTAAAGAAGTGGGTGAAAAACTCCGGATCAGTTCGCCCCCTCCCCACCTTAACATGGGTGTTGTCTTCTTCCTCATCACTGCTCATATCGATCGGCTGCCTTGTCCGGCCTCCAGAGCTTCGTCTCCGACCCGTCTCCAAATCGCCATCATGTAGAATACCAAGTTCTGAGGATCCCTTCAAACTGCTCCTCCCCCTTCCTCCTCCTCCTCCTTACCTCCCCTCAGCACCTCCTTAGCCTCCTTATTGACCTCGAACGCCAAGCCCTGACCTATGCCTCGAGGACGGGTCGGTAGCAACCAAGTGATCATGTTGTGGCCTATCGAAGGGGAGCTGCCCTCTCCTGTAGGGAGGACTCTCACCCATCACAGCCTGCCAGTTTCGTATGAGGCCGACGTCATAAGGGGACCTCTGCGGCATTCGGGCGACTATGTTTTTCGATAACTCTCCTGCCTCCCCTCCTCCACCGTCCCGGCGCTTCTCACAGTACCTGTAGTTTATGCAACTTTACCATGTATAATTATTTTCCACCAAACTCACTCGACTGTGGTGACGTTAGTTGATATCAGCCATGCATGGAAAGCGAAGAATGGCGTGACGATGACAGAGAGGAGTCCAGAGATGCTGAAGCCCTCCAGCAGGAAGAGTAGTTGACCTACTCAATAGAGGCATCAATAGCATACAGGAGGAGGGAGGGGGCGTCGCACCCGGGTTGGCGGCGAAACCCCCCGCGACGTGAGCCAGGGCGTGCAGGATTTGGCAGGTGACCGTGTTGCAGGCTATGACGACGTAGAGGAGGAAGAGGAAGAAGTATCTGAGGTGTGGTATGGGAGGCCGGCTGAGGAGGGGGGGGGTGATGGAGATGACTTATGGTTGTAGAATCCGACACTGTTGGCGAGCCAGGGGCAGTAGTGGTCCATTCGGAGGACATTGCGGCCCATAGGGGAACAGAAATGCGCTCGGTCGGGTTTGAACTTGTGCTCTTTATTGCAATACCTGCGAGGAGTTATCCACGAGTTGACAAAGGAGTGGTACGATAAGCAGGACCCCTACCTTATGCTTCCATCCTTGCCCTTCCTCTCGTAGAGGTGTGGAGGAGGAGGCCCTTGAGGAGAGGGGGAGGACCATAAGCCCCCTGTATCGGGTATCTTGCCGGGATCGGTGACCACCGCCTAAGGGGAGATTATGCAACCAGTAGGGTGGTCACTTACCTTGTAGTAGGACACCATAGCAAGTAGAGAACAGAGATGGAAGGTGATGGAGGAGAAGCTCGAGAGGGATATACCCAGTAGAGGCATCACACAGAATACGTATCTGATAGGGTATCTTATAGGTTGAGTTGGTAAGATACGGATTAGGTCGGTTTTTGAACAGGATTCTTATCATATGATGCACCTAGCCATAGCGATCTAGATAGCCACTATCGTATTCAGTGGGATGCTCCCTCCGAATGGCAGTCGAAATGGAAGTAGGTCGACCCCGGGGGGCCTCTACCATGAGCCTACTCCAGTAGGAGTGCCAATGAGTTCAAGTAGTATGCATGAAGTGTCGGAGTTACGGTATGGGCTTACACGATATAGAGAAGCATGATGATGTTGCAGACGAACATAAGGGGGAGGACCATGGCTAAGGGGCGGCCTTTGAAGGTGTTGAGGATCTGAGATGTGGCCGAGGAGTGGTATGGGAAGTGGGGGAGGAAGCTCACCTCTGGAGTGGGGAATATCCATTTAAAGGGCCATGCTATGGCCTTGACTAGTTCCACCATGAGTATACCAAGATGCCTGAAGAAGTATCTTTAGGTTGACCATGTAAGATACAGAATAGGTCAGGATGAGTAACACGCCATATAAGCCTACTCCAGAGCAGTATCAAGAGCATCCCCCGTAGCTGACAAACAGGTTAGTAGAATTCCATAAGTCGCCTTTAGGAACCTGGCAGCAACCTCGAGGCCCCCCTCCCTACCCAGGCGACCAACACGAACCTCTTTATCCTCCTTAGAGTGCGATAAGCCAACCCCTGTTGGTGTTCACTCGATCGTCTTCGCCCACTGCTACTACTAGTACCAGTGGAGGGTCCCCCGTCGGTACTACTAGGTGGAGCCCCTCGGTATAAAGGCATCTACTCTTTTGAATGACGGTGACTTATGACTACTAACACAATAGTATCTTAGATTCCTGATGGTTGGATACAGAATAGGCCCATCATGAGCATGGTAACTTCATAGTAACGTAAGATACGCAGCAACGATAATACTATACTGAAGTGCCTCAACCTCCTTATAGACCTCGAGCGGCTACTTCACAGCTCACTCACTTCACTCCGGGGGGGGGTATCTGTATGATATCAGCGAGATAGTCTCCATACTCCTAGCATAGGATTAGTCTTAGCCCCTTGTAGAGGACCTCGAAGGACGAGTATAGTGGGAGGGTCATAGATCATCCTATCTAGGGTCTAGACAGCTACTCAAGAGCAATAGGAGGATGGGAAGCTACTGTATTCCTGTCACTATACACAAGGCTTGATACGGTGGCGACATGAAATGATTCGACGCGATTTGACGTTAATTGTATCAGAATTCCTCCTCTGGCTCATCATGAACCTCATCTCTGCCCTTAACAGCAGCTCTAACTTCCCCCTGTATCTCCCTCAGGAGATCCTCCTGGTTACCAGCTAGTAGTATCTACGACCATCAACCTATACCAGTGTTGAAATACATCTTCGACCTTCCTCAGCTCAGCTCGGAAGTTCACATACGAATTCGGGTAGAAATCATTATAGTGGTTTCCAATGAGAATTTCCCAATTTTTTTCAGAATTACCACGTCGTCAGCAACCAATGCAGTTGACCATGTGCAGAATATGCCAGCCTGGCCTGCGCTCATTTGGCCGATATCCGAACCCACCTTCTCAGCATTCTCCAACTCCCCCCTAGCCTTGAGAATCTGAACGGATTCTTCGCTGTGCGCATCTTCGAGATCGTCGGCCTGTGGGTGATGGGAAGACTCATGTGAATGGAAATGTGGCGGAGTTACGGTATGGGAGGGAAAGCTGCCGTCGTTGAGCATAGAGAAAAGAGCCTTGTATGCCGCCACGAACTGCTCATGGACCTACTCGACGAGGTATCTTAGGTTCAAGCGTGTAAGATACAAAACAGGTTACCACTGGACCCATATCCTGTGTTTCCTTGATAACATCATCCATATGTTTCAAATCTGCCGCAAGGACCTCCTCCTCCCCTCCGCGTTGAAGCCTCTCCCTCCTCTTCATCCTGAGTCGGTCTTCCTCATCACGATAGTACCTCCAAAGGCGAGCGTATCTTCGAGTATCTTAATCGATTTAAGAAGTCCTACTTAGCATCTTTTATTATCCTTTTAAGAGCATTACAAGCAACATACAGCTTCTTAGCTCTCGAGTCCTTCGGAGGCCCACAAGGAGGCTTCCTACTACCTTCTGGAGTACTCTGTTCTGTTGTCATCAAGGCTGATCCTAGTGATCGAGATGATGCTCAATTTAAATCGATCACAATGGCGCGCGCGGTTTCTTCTGCGGCAGCGATCCCTCATACTCGACCGTCACGCACATAGTGGTTAAGAGGCAGGTGTGTAGCCTCTCTGGAGAGGGAAAGGGCCTTGGAAGGGCATTGATGGTAGGGATCAGAAGTAGTAGAGAAATCTCAGCGGAGCGAAGCAGTTATTGTTGGTGGGTAGAAGAGGGAATACACTAGGGTAGTATATAGGGTTTATTATTACATCGATTAAAATGCAGAGTGGAGTAGTAGTGAACAGTACGACCGCTACTGAGCCTTCGAATGCTGATCCTGAGGACTCTGGCAAATATGAGAAAGTTAAAGTAGCTGTTGAGGGGGTCCTCTCGAAGGAATACTTGAAGGTAGTAATAATAAGATGGTCAAAGTGTGTGGAGTTGATGCTTCGTAGAGCAACCCTTCCTTCGCCTCTCGTATGAATGCCCAGATGTATATGAGCTTGGACAGCCTATTCAAGTAATAGGGGTATGGTAGGAAGGAGTTGTATGTGTGGTGGTAGTGTGAAGGCTATTGAAGACCTTAACACGACCGTTGAGGAGATCGCTGATGCGATATCATCGTTGGGGTCGTCGAAGGTGGCATTGGACTCGACTCGGACTTTGATTAAGCCGGTCATACCTGAGTTGCAGCGGAGAACAACACTCATTGTGAGGTAGTGTATGGGGATTTGGTGTAGTGGTATGTATATGGTTGAGGAATCGGGAGGTCGTCGGTTCTATTCGAGGTGAGTCATCATCGAGTTTATTTCAGAGACGTCGATTCGAAGTCCCTATCAATAGAGGACTTTAAGACTGAGGTATTGAAGGATGCCCCGTGTGATAAGGATGCTATACTTGATATCCGCCCTGATGTTAACGACCATTGGTACTACTACTACTACTGCCAACAACAACACCCCCGACTATCACTCATTAGGTATGTCCGATTCACTACAGAGGATGCGTGTGAGGATGTCGCATTATGGTTAAGGAATAAGAAGTATAATGACAAGCCGATACATACAGCTGTTAAGGCTGAGCATTTCATGCTTACACTCTTCCCTAACCTTGACAAGACTTCCGAGGCTTCCCGCTCCCCTGCTTTGAGTAAGCCTCTTTCCTCCTCCTCCTCCACTCCACGTCACTACTACTCATCATCATCAATCCATCAGGTGCCAGCAGCCCCGCGTTCGTCCCTAGCTCTCCTGGGACCCCGTATCAAGGGTAAGCCGACCATTAGCAGTTGTAATGATGAGGTGGACCTCGTTCTCCACGTGTTTAGGTATTCTTCTTTCAACCCCTACGCCGGTGTGGACCAGTATGGATATTATCATCCAGCTGGTTCGAAAGGGAAGGGTAAAGGCAAGGGTAGTAGTAGTAATGATGATGATATGACTCATACAACTACTCCTTTTCTGTTGCTTAGGTAAGGGAGGTCGAGGGCGTAGACGTATGAGTAGCAGTGGGGCAGCGTCGATTGGCGGTTGTTCTATAGTGGAGGAGGTAGGTACCCTTTGGTGGGGCTCCTGTTGGGGCTAACTTACTAGTGTCAGATGATTAACCCGGCGGACCTAGCAGGTGATGAGACGAAGTATAAGTATGAGTATAGGAAGTATACCAAAAATGAGATACAACACCTATGCGAGGGGATGCCAGCGGAGGCACTTTACAAACCAGAAGGGATGGTGAAGGTAACTGGACTGTTACGGAACGTCGATGGTGAACGTGAGCTCCTCCTTCCTCTCCTCAGGCTGAGAAAGAAGTCGGTGAGGGTCTTATTAGAGATACTCCTAATAGGTAGGTAGTTGCTACCTTCTTGGGTTACCTTCTACTTCCGACTTAGGGAATGGATAGTTGAGGGAAGTCCCATGGGGGGCGGACGAAAAGCATCGACGGCAACAGCAGCAACAGCAGCAGCAGCGAAGTGATTACATGAAGCCGCTCCTTTGTATAGTTATTATCAGCTTAATGAACTACAGTCGTTGGCTTACTGATACCACGCTTCCGCCACATCGTCACGATTAGGTTGTCGAAGTTGTGTCGCTCTACTACTACTACTTACTACCCTCTTGACCTCTGATGGTAGTAAGACTAGTAGTAGTAGTAGTAGTAGTAGTAGTAGTAGTAGTAGTAGTAGCCATTGTTGCTAAGGTTTCATCTCAATCATTATACTACCAGGGAATAGTAATACTACCGATTCAACAATAACAATAACACTGAAGAAGAATATTTTCAATCAAATGCCTTGTGTAGAAGTATTGGTCGAAGGAATGGAATCGATCGTGTGGGCGCGCGCGGTTGTGTTTTCTTGTCGTGGTCTTTGTTTGCTGATGTTGGTATCTTGAGGTCGAGCGTGATAGATGCAGAATAGGTCCGGGAATTGGTGAGCAGAGTAGTGTCCTCATGTTGTTGTATCTTAAGTACATTTTGGAGCCTCTTATTATTCTTCCCGCTCCTCCTCCTCCTCCTCTCGTGTGCTCCTTTTAACAACCTACTACTAATAGTACTCCTACACTACTAACAAAAACGACAAGAAGTATGGAAAATACCAATAATAGTACGAATGCAGGGTCGTCGCCCACTGAAGATGCGGATAAGGTGAAGAAGGATGAGCTTATCAAAACAACAGTGGAACGTGTTCTCTCTAAAGACAACTTACGGGTAAGCAGCTGTAATGGGGAGGTCCTCTTGTTGTGCATCATTATCATCATCAATGACGACCTTTTAGAAAGAGCCCACCCTGGTGTCTAACATGACCTCTCAAATGTACCTGCCTATAGCGATTCTATTCAAGTAAGTGTTGTTGTAGTAGTAGTCCTATAATGGTGGTCATGTATGGTCCTTAGTCTTGGTGCTGTCTCTGAGCTTAATACAACCCCTGAAGAGTTGGCTTCTGCTATAGCCTCCCTTGGGTCGGACAAGGTGACATTGGACCCTACCAAGACTCTTATTAAGCCTTGCTTACCGGAACTACAACAAAGGACTACTCTGATTGTCAGGTAGGTGCTCTTGTTGATGATTGTGGTTTAGTGATGCTGCTGATTTCAGAGACGTCGATTCGAAGTCCCTATCAATAGAGGACTTTAAGGCTGAGGTATTGAAGGATGCTCCGTGTGATAAGGATGCTATACTTGATATCCGTCCTGATGTTAACGACCATTGGTACTACTACTACTGCCAACAACAACACCCCCGACTATCACTCATTAGGTATGTCCGATTCACTACAGAGGATGCGTGTGAGGATGTCGCATTATGGTTAAGGAATAAGAAGTATAATGACAAGCCGATACATACAGCTGTTAAGGCTGAGCATTTCATGCTTACACTCTTCCCTAACCTTGACAAGACCCCTGTGGCTCGTACCCCTACGAGTAGGTGTGGAATTTCGTGGCGCGGTGAAGTTTTTTCTCGGTAGGTGCTCTAGGGTATGGCAAACCGCAAAGTGTCCAGCAGAGGTAAGATGTCGGCGATTACTATCAGGTCGGACGGATTTTGAACAGTTACAACCCTTATTCCGGTGTGGACGAGTTTGGTTATTACCACACCAAAGGGAAAGGGAAGGGAAAAGGTAGGAGGGGCCCTCAAGGGAGGGACTATTGTTGGTCCTTAGGTAAGGGCAAGGGCAAAGGGAAAGGTGGTAGGCGTATGAATGGTCCAGTGGAACAGGTAGGAGCAGAAGTTGTGGAAGGTGTGGTATTGGCTTGTTTTCAGTACGGCAGTAGAATTTCCGTGGTTGAGGTGGACTCGGCAGTGGTCTCTTATGGTTTGAAGTATCCCCCGCAGGTCAGTTTCGGACCTATTTTGAATCTTTGAGTATCTTATTATTATTGTAGGCGGCTCCTAGTGGTGGTATGTCGGCGGTCGAGATGGACTCTGCTATTGTATCGTACAGTCTGAGCACGCCTACTCCTACTCCTCCTGCTACTGCCGAGCGTAAGAGCTCGGCAGCTGGCCCCATTAGCATGCCCGAATCGGAGAAGGAAATCAAGGTAGGGTAGTGGTTGGATGAGGCTGTGAGCCTTATTCATTTAGTATGTTATCGTCATTTACTGTCGTTTTCTGATGTGATATTATTTTCTAATGAAGATATGATTGGAGTATTATGTTTATTATAGCATATCTTCGCTGGTCACTCTATTTCAGGAAAAGTACCCTGATATCACTGGTGATGAAACTAAATACAGCTACGAGTATCGTAAGTATTCCCGTAAAGAGATAGAGGCGATCTGTGATAAGATGCCGGCAGCCGCCCTGTACATGCCCGATGGTATGGTGAAGGTGAGTGGGGTCCCTTGAGGTTGTATAGAGTAGTATGTATTAGATTGAACGACAGCTTGGGGAAGGTGTCTTCCGTAAGACCCCATATAGGGAATGGTTACGTCAACAGCCGAGTAAGAAGGCAACAGCAGTTACGACGAGCAGTAAAGAGGGGAAGGCCGCCGCTGATGTGGTCACGACGACAGTAGCGGCATGATGATGGAGTTGCCTATGTAATCGTTACTAGCATTATTCCTGCTATTAAGAGGGTTAATGATGCCATAATTGTGATTTACTTTTCTTCTACCACTCCCTGTTGAAAATATCTATCTTTTTACAATGCCACAACATGCTGTACTGGTGGGATGGTTGTACCAGGCCTCGTCCTCAATGTCACGGTAATAATAATAATAGAAGTATCTTAGGTTGATGATGGAAGATTCAAATTAGGTCCGTAATCGACACAAGAGTGGAGTAATTGAGAGGATCATAATAGTAAATCCTCGACCCATTTCGAGCGGAAGTCTCCTCCTCCTCCTACTTTCACTTGTATAGTCTTGAGTTATATATATACCTTTAACACAGTTATAAGAGATTAACTTGGGGAGTGGTAGTTAATATTGTGAACTTCGCAATGTCCTCAACGCTAGTATTCGACGGAAGTGTGGTATGATATGTATGACATTGTGTGGGCAGAGACTAAGTTGATGATGATGAGATTGGGTGTTATGCATGGTGAAGGAGAAGTTTGTATTGATAGAGCTGGGCAAAGCAGCAGGAGGAGGCATTGTTAGTTGGATGCTGCTGCTGCTGCTCATGAAGTTGCTATTGTTGATTCGTCAACCATGTCGCTATTATGAAGTACACATTGAGAGTTGTATAGGATGCTCGCTTAGTTGTAGGATTGGCGGTTGGTGGCTCTCCTCGAGGCCATTATGAGCTGCTCTGGGTCTTGGCACTTATATCTACTTCTTTCCGGAGAAGGAGATGCTGAGATTTTGAGGATCTATGGGTCAATTTGCAATTGTTTCAAAGGTTTTTGAGTGAACTTGCTCATCAGTTGGGCGGAGCGAAGCAGTAGGGTGGGTTTGATATTTTCTCACTTCCCCTGGCTTGATAAGGGACGGCGAGGTTGGTGCCTGGGGGATTTTCTGGCAATTCTGAGGCAGTTGGAGTGAAGAGGCCGAAGTGGCATGTTTGAAGTTTCTATCTATCATGTGCATGCGTGCTAAAAGATATGACGTCGTTTGTATCAAGTTTGGTTGAGTTGAGGATAGCGGACTGGGCGAGGCTTTGGGAAGGAAGACGTCGTTTTCTGATGGAAAAACCGAAAACTGCGGACCGAATAGAGGCTCTAGCAGAAGAGGTCATTGACATGCTTGGGCAAGTGAGGGTCTCGACTGAAGAGGAGGAGGAGACTGATTGGACCGCTGAGACTCGTAATGTGGCATTCCTCCGTCACGCGCCACGAAATTATTCAGGAAAATGTCTGTCGTTGATGGCCGGTAATGTAGCAGCCTCAATGGGAGAGGCGACTACAGTAGAGGTCGCCGCGGCTGTACAGAGGAAATTGGAGGGGCATCGGACGGTGGAGGAGGGGGACAGGAGCCCGTCGATAGCAGTAGAGGAGGAGGAGGAAGGGTTTTGCCAAGATGGATTTTTCTCGGAGGTGAGGACACTTCTTTTATTGCAGTCCCGAAGAGGTGTTGGTATCGTGAATAGTTACCTCTATCGGTGAACTTACGAGTCTTGAATTACCTCGATCCAACTGAAGGGGAGTATAACACCTTTGCTGGGGTGTGTCGGGCTGCTTGTGTGGCTACTAATATGCAGCTTGAGTGAGTCTCTCAGGAGGAGGGGCGTGAAAGTACTTTATCATTGCCAGATACATTTACTTGATCGTGCGTATTATCCGATTCGTGGTATTTGGTCCTAGTGTTGAAGAAGATGATGAGGAAGAACCGTCGGGCTCGACAGCAGCTTCTGATGATTTACTTTCCTAAGAAGTGTTGTTGAGTTGATGGGATCGTTTAGTGTATCGCAGTAGTTGATTTCAAATGGTACAGAGGCCACTAGGGAAGAAGAAAGCCGGCAAGTCCGCCACCCAAAGGGTTAATAAACCCAAACAGGGTAAGGCTAAGTCCGTGGCAGAGAAGATAATGCATGTAATAGGGGGTCGGTGTTGGGAGAATGTGTTCGCTTTCCTCAGATCAGCTCAGGAGTTTCCTCACTAACTATAGAGTCTTGAAATCAAGAAGAATTTCCGAAAAAATTCCATCTGAAGTTTCATATTATCACCATCACATGTGGTTGACCACACTGCTAGGGGGAAGCAGGAGGAGGGTATTTACTTTGTGCTTGTGTAGAGGATCGGTGGCACTCGACAAAGAGTGATGGAAGCCCAGTTGGCGGCTGAGGCAACACAGACGAATGCAGCACAAGGAAGCACTGATCTCGGCCTGGGAGGAGGGGCTCGTCCTAGTGTCGTTAAGGTAGTAGTAGGAGGAGGACATGGACGTAGTAGAACCCAGAACTGCAAAAGTTGGATGAAGATCTCGAAAATATGTTCGCTCTCCTCAGCTGCTGAGCTGATGAGTTATCTCACTAATCACAGGAGTTTGTTAACGAGTTGGGTTTGAGGTTCACAGGAGCCAGCAATAATTCCTGCGAATTTCCTCTCAGAATTGTCATATTGTCACCAACACATGTGGTTGTTGACCATGTGCAATTTTTATCACACTTCTGGTTTAATAATGATGATGAGCTTGGTTATGTTGTTGTTGTTAGGTTGATAAGCAGCTGTTGGGGTCGGCTAAGGCGATGAAGAGGAAAGGAGGAGGAGGAGGGTCACAGAAGAGGAAGTCGGGTGGCGGAGGAAAACAGTCGAAGAAATAATCAACGTATTACTACTACTACCAATAGCGATAAACATGTTTTGAGTTGAAGTCCGTCCAAAGGCAACAAGAACCATCGACGACGATGGTAAGGTGGGAGATCTGTTTTATGCGACTTTACTGACTGCAATTAATTCCTCCATGATAATATCTATTATCCCCCTTAATAGAGAATGAGATCCACTACCATAGTAGAGAACACTGCTTTTCATGGGCTTCATTACACGCGGCAGACACTAAGCCTCTATAGTGTATTCATCATACTGCACGGCGAGCGCTACCTAGGACGCTAATATCAAAATACGCGCCACTCTGCAGGTGGTAGAAGTGTGTGGCGGCAGCTATACGCGTTTACGTTTCAGTTGAAACATGCCAAGGAAAGAGGTATGTTCACAAGAGGTTATTATCATTAATATGAAGGTGGTTATCTTACTCGTATTTCCTTTAACATTACGGAGCCATCGAGCGGCTGGTGTTGGTGCTCCTATGGGATTCATTATCAAACTCGTAGTCGTTTGAAAAGACGATGCTAAACCTCGTCTGAGAACTACATGTAGTAGGAGAGACATGCACGGATTAGGAAGAGGAGGAGGAGGAGTTATGAAGGATGATGATGAGGGGACTGGTAGAAAGGAAGTCATAGCACGCCGAGAGCTGCCTTGTCGGCATTGATGATGTACAGCGGTTAAAATAGGAGGACCCGGGGATCGAACTTGGGACCTTTAGCTTAACAAGTATAACGAGACCTCTGCTCGGTCGAAGATCCCAATATGTTAACTTCAATCACAGCAGCCATCCCTCCAGAGACACTCCTCCCGATCAACGTGACCATATCACAGTAGCTGTGACTCTGCTCGAATCTTGCACGCTTACGGCATCTTGGATTTCCTCAACGGTGGTGTAGTTCTCTTCGAAGTGATTCCTTTACGCTCGACGCTTGAGTGCTGTAGTCGGTAGTATCAGCACCTGCGCCCTCATCATCATCGCAACTATGGTGGTGGGGAGGCAAATGCTCGTTTGACGGTATATCGATTTTCGTTTTGCTGTTCTTGTCACTTGTCGCGCACGCGGAAGGATTTGGATATCATAGCAATCAGGTCCTGTGGGAGCTACCCCCCAAGTGATATTGACAACGAACTGTTTTAGGGTCTCTCGAGGGTGGATGGGGTTAGTATTAATAGTATCACTTGAAAGAGACAGGAATAGTCGACTATGGGAGAGTTGATTAAGCCATGTGATGGTATGGGGTGGATTAGGTGTACTCCCTGATAGGTTCAAGCTTAAGGACTGTTGTTGTCGTCTGCCACATGTACGAGGAGGATCAGTAGTGATGGAGGAGGCTAAGGGTAGTAGGAGGATGTGTATGTCTTCGTACCACTCCTTCTTCAATTCTCTCAGTGGACACCTTCTGACCATCTCAGTTAACTGTGCCCAGCTGATAGTATACAACAACCAGTTGTTGACGAAGGGAAGGATGTTGAGAGGCTCGGGATGATGATGTCCCCGGCGGAGTGTAATATCTAGTGAGTTTGGTCTCTTAGATAGTGCCGCGGTTCCCTATCGGGAAGGTCTCTGGTTCAAGTCCCTGCGAATAGCTTTTGTAAGTTCTGGTTCCATCCCATGTCTGCTGTCATCGCTCCTATCGACAGCGGTGAACCCAAGACTCTAATGAGAACCCCAGGTGAGAAGTGATACCCCATAGTGACGAGCAGCGACCCATTAAGCTTTGAGAGACAACGTTTTGATAACAATAAGGAAATGCTCCCAATGTGATGATACTCACATGGGGAACTGATTGAAGAATGTGCCCAGAGCCATGTGGAAAACTCAAGATGAGTTCCCCCCTTGGGTGGTGTCCTGGCAGTGACCAACAGTCTCCTCTTCCTCCTCCTTGCGATGTTGCTCGCATTTCTTCACAGAGTATTCGGTAGTAGGTATGTCCCTGTTATTTATGTTATGGGAGTTTCACCGGTGATATGAAAAACACTTGTGAAAAAAAAACGCATTTCACGACTACTGTGTAGCGCGAATATCGCGTTTTTCACCGAGTTTTACGCTACCTCACGGAAAACGGCTGAGACTCCATTGTTTTTATCGTTAAACGATCTACATATGAATAGTATCGATATTGAAGTAGTATACGTAATATTACAGAAATTGAATCTATGTGGTATGAATATGTCGATGACACGGGGGAATAAAGCGTCGTGAAAGGTAGTTGGTTTTTGTTCTAATGCCAGCATTGACGGAGGAGTTGATCAGAAAACGCGCGGAACACAACGAGGGCATCTTGGCAGATCTCGAGGAAGTAGTAGATTATCATTACCAATTAGGTTGACTCTAATGTGAACTCTCCTAACCGCGTGCCGTGAAATTGCATTCATGGTTTTAGATAGCTTTGCACCAGGAGGAGATTGAGAAAATAGAGAAGTGTCTGGGCGAGCGCTGTCGTCGTATAAAGATACTCCTACTGCAGAACAATGTGATTGGAAAGTTGGAAAATCTCAATAAACTTAAGGAGTTGGAGTACCTCAATGTGGCAGTGAATAACATTGAAAAAATTGAAGGTAATAGTGTCTGTGGAAGGGATCGAACCTGGGTACTCTGGCGGTTTCTATTATCGAGCGTCCTGGGGGTAATTTCGTGGCGCGTGACGGTTGTTGAGTAGTAGGTTTGGAACGCTGCGAGAGTCTGAGGAAGCTGGATCTTACGGTGAACTTCATTGACATTGAGAATCTTAAAGGCTCTATTACTAATTTGGAGGTATCTTTTGCACGCATGCGCACGATGGATTCCATTGGTGATGTTTTTAGGGTAACTACAATCTCGAGGATTTATATCTTCTTGGGAATCCTTGCATGGACTGGTCTAAGGCGAGGTAGAGGGTTAATACCACATTTCTTTCACTTTGTGTTTGAATGCCTCCTTCGCTAGGCAGTATGTAGTAGCGAGACTGCCTAGCTTGCTCCAACTTGACGGTACTCTGGTCACTCCCACCGAGAGGATACAGGTATCTATCTGCACGCATGCGCAAGGGTATCTTAGGTTGACCATGGTTTAGGCTAGACGAGAGCTTCCAAAGCTGGAGGAGGAGTTGGAGAGGCTTTCGGACTTCTCTATTAAGAGAAAGAATTATGAGAGGGAACACGGGATAACACCAAGCGAAGGTGGTGGCATTTCCAGCGTTGTTATTTTCGGATATCCAAAGGCGAATTTGCACATATGTAGTCGTATATAGTCTCTTCTTGTGAGGCATGCGCCTACATATTTATAGTAGCTCTCGTCCATAACAGAAAGCATGTTTGGGTGATAGGCTTCGTAGTAGTGTTGGTTTGCCATGCATGTTTATGGAACCTCCATTGTGATAGGAAGAGGCAGGGATGGAGAGTTGTCTGTATATTCGGCGTAGATAGGGGGGAAGGAAAATACCATGGTAGATGCCTATACCAAGGAGTCCCGACTGGAGATGTATAGGGAACAGGGTGCCGCTAAGGAGGAGAAGAAGAGGAGGGAAAGGAAGAGGCTAGGTGATCATCATCATCGGATAATGGCCGCATCGCTCCGCTGTTGAGAATTTACTAATAATAGGTTTGGAAGCGAAACCTCCTCGGAAGGTGCCGGAAGTGATGAATCAGCGAGGGGAGGTGGGGAAGTGAGGGTAGCCTAGAATTGTGGTATCGAGGATCGTAGTGTGAGGGAAAAGGCACAATCTCGTTACAAGCGTAGTGGCGTCGTTAAGGGCATTTTCCATGGGTTGCCGTATTCGAAGTGATAGTGCCATATATTGTGTGCATGTCCATGAGGAAGTAGGGCGTGGAATCGAGTGTTCGATCTGGTGCTTCATTTGCTAATTTTAATGTTCATTTAGATGAGACATGTTGTTGCTAGGGATCGATCCGGGGACCTTTGGGTTTAGATACGTCAGTGTAATGAAGGGAAGTATAACTTCCATATTGATGAGTTTGGTACTCCTGGGATGGTGGTTATGGAGATAGACATACCGGCTTTCATGGACACGAGTTTTATCGATGTGGACATCCAACCTAATTATGTTAGGTATCTCTTGTGCACGCGTGCATACCGCAATTCTTTCAACTCGTAGTTGTTCATGGCAGGTGTGTTATCAAGGAGAAGCTGACGCAGTTGCGAACGCCGTGTGAGGTCGTGGTCCATGCGTCTACAGTGAAGAGAAGCAGCACGACGGGCGCTCTAAGGTGAGGATACGTTAACGGGTTAGTATGTCATACTCCATAGGGAGTGGTTGTCCGTTCGATCCCGTCAAGTGACATATTGTATTGTTTAGAATAGAAATGCCCCGTGCTGATCAATCAGGAATGCTAAGAGTGAAAGAAAAAGAGGAGAAACCCAAGCAGGTGAGCAATCCTTCGTTAAGGAATCAGGTTGGAGAGCAAGTGGTCGGAAGTCTCATCCTTAGACTACTACATCGTCTCGTGTGAGAGGGAGCGACGGAAAAGAATCAAGCGGAGCGAAGTTTTTGCCGTTGAGCAAGAGTGTTTCTCTGAGGATCGTTAGGGATGTTGAAGGGGATACTCTGATGAAGGAAGTGCATGATGAATATGATGAATCAGATGTGCCGCCCTTGGAGGCTATTTCGGCCTATTACTAGCCTTATCGAGTTTACAGCGGGGAGGGGGGCAGCAGTGGATTTTGTGGCGCGTGACGCTTTACAGTTATTGGTCGTTATTTATATGGAGCCCCTTCTCGGTCAGCGGTGAGTGACAGCAAGCATGTGTTTCGTGTGGTCTGCTATGAGAAGTTGATTGTCGAGTTCTAGTGAGGATAATGGTGGGAGGATATCTTCGGGTTGACTCTGTCGTCATTTGACAGGTTCATAACATATGCAACATGAGTCGGCATCACCGACAGGGAGGCTGCCTACAGGTAGTGACTTTTATCCTCACGGTTGCCGCCCTCGTATTGGGAATGTAATATATCGTGGTAAAAGGGTCTGTCGTTTACTATACCAACAATAGGTAGGTAGGAGTAGTGCTCATCAGTAGTGGTGGTGGTTGGAGGCATCTGCATTGCCCTAAACGGGAAGGGTTATTCACTATAGTGTGTGTGGCAGTTTGAAGTCCAACACCGTCGTCGGCTTTGAGTTGTTGTCGATCTGAAAGCAAGTCGATGAGTTTATAATGGCAGTTTACTTTTCTCCCAGCCACAGAATTAATGCTGGAAAATTCGAGTTTTTCTTTCACACGTATAATTGTGATTCACCTGAGGTCTGTGACTGTTGTTGACCGTGTTTGAATGTTGTCGCCGACAACCTTAGGTGCATGCCGCGAGGTAGAGAAGCTCTTGAAGACTTACTATGGACCTCAGCCTTCCGTGTCGAGACTGGGCCGCTGGCGGGTGTGGCGGAAATCTTCGCTGTGCGCAGTAGGATATCTTGGATAGCAATGGATAGGTGATGATGGTGATGGGCAGGCGAGCTCATCTGTGGTAGTGACTGATGCAGTGTTTGATCGACTTGTGGAGACTGTGCGGGAAGAGGCAGCTTTCGATGAATGGAGTTTGGAGAGGTGAGGATGGGGTAAAGTGATGATGACAGTACTATCCAAATGGCTATAAAGAATAATAATTTATTATCACACGTATGATGATCATACATATGAGTATGATTTTAACATGAATATCGAGATATATGAGGAAGATGAGGACGGTATTAAGTAGCGCTTCTGATGGTAGCAGTCGAGTGTATTACATTTCTCTGTCGTATTACTTTCGCCTCGCTACTTGAGGGGTTCCTCAGTGCTATAATGGTGATGGTCGGCAACGTTATATCTGCTGATGGGTCGCCCCCGGTCTACTCCAACCAACATCGTTCTGGAGAAGGCAGCATATCTTGTTTCTCTAAGGAGGCTATGGATGGCCTAGTGGATATCCTACAGAAGAGGTTGTTGAGGCTGTTGGTGAGATTGGGAGTAATGGAAGTGCTCGCAAGTGTTGCTGTTGTCAGTACGTGTCAGGACAGTAGACTTTTTAGTGAGCAGCTGTGGTTGTCAGTCCGACCAGCTCGAGAGTATAGCACTCCCTGTCCGTCCCTCTGGCGTCAACCTGTTGTATTGCAATCAAGGGAGTTGTGGGAGATATCTTACGTGGCAGTGGCGAGGGAGATGAGGGGGTGCATCAAGAGCATCCAGGAAGACCCTCCACCGTCATTGGCCATCGAGAGTAGTGCGAGATCGGTGTTGCTATCGCTTGCTGGTATCCCTCCTGTACTCACCGAGATGAAGGCAATTTCGTGGCGCGCGGTAGAATATGTGCCTTGTGATGTAGAGAAGCACCACTTGAGGGAGCTTAAGTCGTTGCCAAGACCTCATCCGGTCATCCACTTGATTGTGTCGATTGTCCCCATGCTGCTCTGGGGCGTCGACACATTCCTTCCATGGCAAACACTAAGGCAGGAGGTCCTTGGCCTGGCTGATGAGCTCATATTAGAGATGGCAATGTTCTGTCCGAGAAATAATGAGAAATCCGACGGAGCGATACGAGCTGTGATAAATGATCTTAAAGGGCGTGGGCTGGAGAGCCCATCGGATGTCGGCCCGATTCATACTGCGGCAGCTGTGCTCTTCGAGTGGGTCTTATTGGCGTATGAGAAGAAGAAGACAACGACACGAAGTAGCCGAGAGATGGTAGGGGATGCGGCAGGAGCAGGCTGATGATACATTGCCCATGGCTCGTGGTGACGACCCTCTTGTTGAGTTGATGTGGGCTATCTCACGTGGTCGTGGTAGTTGTTGTAGTTTTAACCTTCCCTCCTCCTCCTTCTCCTCCTCGAAGATATGCTCAGTAAAGCTTGTATGATGCGGCCTGGATCGTCGTCGTCGGCGGCATTCGTTAGTCAGTTGTCCGCAAGTAGTGTCATAGTTAGTCGCACTGCCACCCGGTCGCCGCCGGTCTTCATCATGCCTCGGCGAAATGAATCATCGTTTATCCGACAGGTAGAGCATGTGGTTACTAATGCATAGGCCGTGGGTTCAATTCAATGTCGATCCTTTTTTCATCCCAGGTTATGGAGCAAGTACGGAAGGACGCCGAGAACGATCCAGCACTAAAGAAGGCTTTGGACGATATGGACAAGACCAAAACACGAGTAGTATCAATTTCGTGGCGCGTGACGGAGATCGTCATGACAGAGTCGTTGGTCTGATGGATACTTTTATCGCGGGCTATTCAATTCAGAGTCTTCGGTGTCGTTTGAATTTGGTGGCGCGTGACGCTTGGCTATGCTTTCACCATTGTGAATGTCCCTCAGGTATCGGATACAGGAGAGCAGTTGCGTACGCGTGCAGAGGCCCAGGAGGCTCGGATGCGTGCCATGCGGCAACATATGTCGAATGCGCAGTAATGATGTAAAGGAGGTGCCAACCTCAATCGTGTTGGGCTTGTCAGGCAGCGTACAAAGAATCTTTTTGAAGAACTCAGAAAACAGATGCCCCATGGCAAGGCCGAGGAAGAAGAAGAAGTGAAACCATCAAGATTGAGCCAATGTAATAATAAATGTTGTGCTCGAAGCTGGTCGAAGCTCAGTGTAGAATGATGATGGTAGGGGGGAGTCCAGTCAGCGTTGGGACGATCTCAGCAGTGGTGGGGTCTTCTTTCTTCGGTCCTGGCATGTCTTCGCAGCAATATACACGTGTCAGTGACAATATGGAAGCTCTGGGGAACTTTTGGGAAAATTTCGCTGGTTCCTGGCCGAATTCTTATATAGCGCCCTATAATTAGTGAGGGAACTCTCGAGCTTAGCTTAGGAGAGCGAAAGTATTTTTCAATGACGCTGTTGCTTCACACTGTAAAGATTTGCTTTTATGGATTCTTCTGGTTCTCCTCAGTGCATGTTCCTGATTGGATGAAGACGGCAGGAGAGAGTGCTAAGCAGGTTGGAGTTAAGGTAGTGATCTCGGAGGTCCCGGGTTCGATCCCTAGGGGGCGCACTTTTCTACCTAGGCATTGGACCGCACAACAGCGTTTGTTAATATGATGACGAAGGAGAGCAAGGAAGGCACCGCCAAGCGGCAGGAGGAATTCTACCGCTCCCAAGAGGTGCATATCATCATCAATCGTTTCAATGTCGGTATTCATGTGTCTCTCAGGCGGCCCGACAGGCTGCCAAGGACGAGGCGATACGGGAGGCAGCTGCTGAGGACCCCAACGTAAGGAGGAGGAGAATTCAGCGCCCCACTGACTTCGAATGTCACTGATTGTGCTCTTAGGCTGAGCCCATCCCTGAACACCCCCACGCCAATGCGTTGGTCGTCTCGGATAAGCAGCGGTCGACTTGGGAGCGATTCGGCTTCAACACGAGTGATTCTGAGGATTCGAAATTCCTAGGTGGCTTTTTTGAGAACCCCATGCTTGACAGGTAGGCCGCCTTTAATTGGATGCTCTTTTCGTTGTGCTGGACTAACTCGGTTGTCAAATCGGGCACTAGTTACGGATGGGAATCGGGGAAGTGTCCTCCCTGGGGGAGTTATTGCAAATACCGGAATGATGGGTCAGTGAAGTTTGAGAGTGCAACCTAATATATGGGAGTCCAACTGGTTTTGTAGATACTAATGATCAACTTCCTGTCCAGTGTTGGGGAATATGAACATAGTCGGTTTCATGTGTTAGTAACACTATAGAAATTCCGAGGAAATTTCTGGGGAATTCTTATTGGTTTCTGTACACTTTTACCAGACTTCGTATGAAACTTTCGAGCTCAGCCGAGCAAAGCAAACATCTTTTCCAACAAGTTGGTTCCTGTCACTTCAGAGTCTTCGGCGAGACGGAGATCGCTCAATCGATTCGGGAGATGAAGGAAACTGATCCTCATTTCCGATTGTCCCAACTTGTGGAGGATGTGGAGAATGTCGTAGCACCGAGCATCATCAGGTGGTTCCTCGAGGTGAGCTGCTCCCGACTGTTATAGTCCATCGAGGAAGACTCTTCTATCAGGGCGACGCTGAGGACCTGAAGCTCCACTGTGGAGAGGCTGCCTTTGCTGCTGTCAATGCCTCAATTGATGCCAGAAGGAATCAGAAGCTCAGTTTGGACCCCACCATACTGCAGGTGAGGGTTGAAGCGGCGACGGGCATGCTTACTTGGGGAGTTGTCGGGTCAGGGGCCGGAGGACTTGGAATTGAAGGGCGCTAAGTCTGGTGGCGAAGTCGACTCGCCTTGCTTCATATTCACCTTCAGCACGCAGCAGATCAATTGCCTTCGCAATGAAGCCGGTAAGGGAGGAATCTATCACAGCAACTTGACTGGTGGTTTTCAGGGGAAGTGGTAGAAGGCGCTATCGATGATATCCGACAGGTTTTCTACGCGATGGCTGTTCAGAAACACCCCGAACCAAACACTACTGTAGGCGGGAGGATTGGTCAGTTTGGTGCTCCACAGAGCGGTGGTGTCTTCAGGGTCTCAAATTCCCCTGGAGGATGCAGGAAATTGCCATCCTTGGTAATCAGCCCTGTTGGTGAGGCCGCGATTGATAACGATTGATCGAAGGCGAGAGGGGAAGAATAAACACCCACGTTAGTCTCTGCTGCTGTCGGCCTGGTGAATTTAAATGCTGCATGGCTGGATTGAACCAGAGACCTTCCGCATGAAAGGCTAACGCGTAACAATAGATTGTGACTTATTTTCTCCTATACTACTTGCCATCACCGTGTTGGTGTGTTCATTACTGTCTATCGTTGTTCCACTCTACTCATTGATTCAACCAACCCTCTTCCTCTTGTGTTCATCGATGGAGTAATCATCAACAATCCTTAACGCATACGTCATCCTAGCGGCAACTGAATTTGGCATACAATACTGTCAGTGATCGAAGCCGGATACGGAAAATGTCGGGCGTGTGGTATCAAAAAGATGGTAAGGAGAAAGGATAAAGTGTGAACTTGAATCTTGGTACTGCCAAACATTGTTACTGCAACTGCCACCATAATGAAGTGTTATCAAAGCTCATAAAAAAGACCAAGAAAGATTGGTAACTCGATTGCGGCAGTAGCGGCATGCGAAGATTTTCAGAGAGGGCGTGTTTAGAATACACCCTCTAGTTCTGGTCGTGAGAACCACAGAAACATGGAGGTTCGCAGAGAGGTTTGACTGCCGAATGAGGTCTTCATAAATGGAAAGACGATGCCCCGAGACGACTCACTCTCTACCAACCGGCTGACTCAGAGGGGAGTTCACCAGGTAACGTGTAACCAATAACATCATAACAACAGTTTCGCGGAACTGTTGGTCGGATCAGAGCGCGAGGATCCTTCCAGTCGTTAGGGTAAGTTTTCTGATTCCCCCGTGGCTGATAACAAGGGTCCAGTGAGAGAATGTGTATGCGTGCATACCATTCCTACTCCACTTCCTAGAGCAATCGATCTCGGATACTCTTATCTGCAGCACCCTTTGATGGGACTTCAAGAACTTGGGAAGAACAGTCTTCCGTAGCAGTCAATACTGCGGAGCAATGAATCCTTCAGGTACCACCGAAAGGTCGTTGGTTCGATTCCTGCACATGTCAAATTCAACGCAAATTCCAACGTTCGAAATGAAACACTCATGAACTTTCGAGAGAAGTCTCGTACTCGGCCGCCATCTTCCCCACTATAACCATAAGGACGAACCAAATCACCACAAAGGATGCACAGTAGATGGCAAAACCCAGACGGGCGTGGCCGATAACAACTCCTAAGAGGTAATTGATACACAGGAAGCCGTGGGAGATGTACACTAGGGCTCGATATCGACGGGCCTTCATATGAGTCCTGAGGGGAGAAGTGAGCCTAAGGCTGCTGGGAAGGGGCATACCATTGTTGCTGACTACCGGCAACTCCGAATACGCCTGTGAGGATTATCAATGCGAAACTAACAAGACCTAGGTCGAACGGAACCTTTCCGGTGAGGGTGTTGAGGAGGGCCCTGAGGAAGACTGTAGAAGAGGAGGAGGAGGTGTTCGAAGTGGACCATACCATATCCAAAAGAATATCCCAACTAGTATGATGATGGCTGAATAACGACGCAGTTTCAAGAGGAGGTCGGGCCGGCACACCACTCTCGATGATGATGATAACATTACGGAATTGAGAGCCTCCATAAGGAGGGTTACTGTCGAAAGAAACATGTAATACTCAATGGCATTCCTCGGAGGAAGGCGAGTTGAGACGTAAGTTAATTTATTGCTTGTCAACGACAGGAAGATGTTCCACGATAGAAGGCGGTTGGTTATTACATACTGATCTCGACGACGGGCCTCTCTCCTTTGTGAAATTTGAATGCCGTTCAATGAATGGTTCCAGGGTTGACGAGAGCGAAGGCGGGCTTTGTGGAGACCATCGCGACGGCGTTGCCTATTGTTGGTTACACACACCAATAGGAAGTCGTTCTGTTCTCAAACTTCTCCTAGCGATCGAGAGAGTTCCGAGCTCATCACCTCCAGCATTCCTTCGAGGCTTCTGATGGGCTCTTCCCCCATCAGAAACTACTCAAGACGACCATTTGAGCAGCTGTAGTCATTGAGATAAACTCAACAACTACAATGAGGAGGTGAAACCACCATATGAGTACACGTTAGGGTGTGAGGAGGAACTATAGCAGTTTCAGTTGTCCCGTAACGTTATCAATAGCACTCTCAGGCCCCGGACCAAATGCTGCAACAGTCTTCGACCCAGCAGCGATCTGCGTCCGACCGGCATCACGTATAGTGCTGACCAGAAGGCCAGCCTCCCGACCAGCAGCCACCACCTCATTCAGGACTTCTTCATTCGGTACCTGAACTTTGGTACAGTTTATTGTCAACAAGTAGCAGAGGATTTACTCGATTTCCTCACCTTCACAACAACCTTCCTCTGACCACCATTTTCCCATGCTTCCTTCACGCGGGTCCAATAGGCATCACTTGCTGGGTCACCGGCTAATGTTAAAGCTAGGAGATAAATAGCACCCGAACATTACTTGGTGTGCAGAGCTTCTGGTAGCTTCTTACTGCGGCGTGACAACACTGTGCTGCTATCTGAACGAGGAAAGGTCAAGGTTACTGATTCAACGACCAAAGTTCAAATCAACCTGATGACATCCCATCAGCACCAGGCTTATCACCAAGAATAATTTTCGCATTTTTACCCCAGCTTGCGCTCCGATGAATCCATGCACAAATGGTAAGCAGCTGCACCCAGGTTCGATTCCCAGGCCCACCATTTTACCTTCCCCTTCCCCATTTGCAAATCCATCCGCACAGCAATAACCATCTTCAACTCTTCGCCATTAATTTCGCCATCACTATAAACAGACGAGCTCTCGCTGCACTCACTGGAAACGCTCGACGGGAGTCTAGGCCGACCAGCCCCTACCCTGGGAGGTGCCTTCTAACTACAACATAAGACCAGATGATTCCTCAGGGGCACCTACCTGAGCATCGTGGCCACCCAACATCTGAGCCACTCGTCGAAGGGCCAGGTGGCCTGTCGGTCCAGTTATGAATTTGGTAATGCCGAAAACCAATATTAACCTGGAGTAAGTTTATGAATGTCTCACAGTCGAGCAGACTTACGTCCACCAAGGGAAGTTGGTTACACTATCGATGACTCCTTCGGAAGGAGCGGAAGAAGGCATGGCTGAAAACCCTTGAGTGCAATTTCGTGGTGCAGTGACGGTTCCGTTAGAAAACAACACCGAGCTAGACATGCCAGAAACGTGTCATCTGCACTCATGTTCTCGGTTTCTATCGCGCTCTTCTAGACCCTCCCGTATCTTTTCCTGTTCATCGAACATATTCCGTATCTTGTCACCTGGCAACCATCGGAATCATGCCCCATATTTGATTTCTACCACGATTCCCTTAAGTTGGAGCTTAATCTACATAAACTACCTTCAACAGAAAAAGGAAAATTTCCGGCTGTAAAATTTGGCGACTGAAAACGCGAAAGTAGTCCCACCATTATCCCATATAAACTTCATTTCCTCTTTAGTGAAGTATTCCAGAATTTTATTCTGACCTCCTTTCGCGAAACATACCAAAGTGAGCTCAACCTTCTCGGGAGGGTCTCGGGATCGCCTGAGGTCCGTCATTCGTAAGTAAGTGCCCCTTAGGGACGCTACCGTCGGGTTAAGAGTTCGGGATACCACCACCCGTTGGCAACAAAAAAGACCTTCCGATAGGGCTGTAGGAGCCACAGTCTCGATCGATTCTTAGGAGGATACTCCATCTTAAACTGAAGTGGAAGACTGTGTTATTGATGGCACCGACCTATTTGGTATTTCAAGATAGTACCTCTCTAGAATACTTGTGGCTTAGCTTGGAAACCCATCGCCGACTGCCATCGGCTCTTGGCAATGATGGCCGGGACCAAAGAAGCGTGTTGTATTGTAGTATCATCGCTGGTGGACGGATAGCCAATATGCTGCCAGAATTTGGCGATTGTGCATTCAGTCGAAGTAGTCTCGCTCGCCCTGTGTCCCAGAACTGGGCGTTCGGCACTGCCGAATCGGCAGTAGTGTTCGTGACTTACCCTAGGCGATGAGTTAGACAGACTGTGACTCCATCTCTACTTTCTCCGTACCCCTCTATCATCGAAAACCACTGCGTTGCCAGTTCGGCTAGAGGTGTCAGAGCCCTCCGTGTGCCCCGGCTACAGGATTCGTAGTGCTCGAGTTACGTGACGAAGAAAGATGCCGAGGTCCTCGGCCCGAGGACTCTCTTCGCGTGAGAACCGGCAAGAAGATGACGACGAAAGGCTCAAGTGTGCTGAAAGGTGGGACGGTTGTGTGCCAATATGCGAAGATGGTTGGATTTGCCTGTCCCTATACAGCTCAAATTGAACTCCAAAAGTCGAAATGGAAGATTTGGTTACCTCAAGCACCTCATGATGTTCATGATCGTCAACCTCTGCCGGGCACTGAGATAGCGCACCCTCACTCTATCTCATCCGAATGTGCCAAAAACATCATCATTCAGGAAAAGCGTGATGATAGGAGACCACGCCATACTTCTCGGTCATTAAGAGAGAGGACTGATACCGGATAATATAAGCGGCCACGACGTCATCAAGGCTATTTATCGAGTCCGCAGTGCTGCCAACAAACAGTCTGAAGCTCCAGCACGAGCAGGTTCCACGGTGGCAGCCATTAAAGCTTCCGCTGAGGTTAGTTTGGTTATACCTGATGATTCAAACACTGCCTTCTGCCTCTACATGGAACTAATTCCGAATCGAGAGTGCGGTAACTTACCGCGCTCTCGATTTTTTTGTGAGGTTGTGTCCGCATCGGTGACTCGGGTCTTGTAACTTGATTACTCCGTAACCATCACATAACCCACTGAAAAACGAGACCGGTTGTGGGATCATTATCTACTATGTAGATGACCGTGGATTGTGGATCCAAAAACATGTTGCGAGTCGCACTTGCGACATGTTTATTCAGTCAGTCGCAGTTAATGTTTGGTTGCCAGTGTCCTCGGGATCGTCTCTCACTCCAAAGATGTGTTGTTACGGAGGCCACTGGCTCACGTAATGGGTAGCCGTTTACTCTGCGACGGAACGACCAGAGTAGAACTCTAGGCGTGAGTCACGCAGCGTGACTCACGATGCGTCGGGGTGGTTTATGGGCGTGTATTCGTCTTTTTCGGTGAACGCTCCAATGCCAATGATCGGTATAAAATGGGCCATTTCTCGTAGCACAAGTAGAGAAGCTTTGTGGGCTTTCAAAAAAATCTTTTCAGCGATATCACTCCATCGTCATGCATTTCGTCTGTAAGGCACTCGCCAGAACGATAGTGTTTAATTAGTACGGGATCTAACACGTGTGACAGATTCCGACAATTTGGCGGAATGCAATTCGGACAACGAGTTACACCTAATTTTGACTACGACATGAAGGAATCACTGAAATTGGCCAAATCTGCCATCACCATTATTTTTCCAAAGTTGCCAATGGTGAATGTTGTCAATGAACACATTTTGCCATTTTCCCAAAATCGCACGAGATTTTGAGCAAGCGGAATTTCCACGTGTACTCACTAATTGGATAGCGCCAATGCTGCATCATATCATCTTCATCTTCACCCTCGTCACCGAATGGGGTTGGGGCATGTCTACCTCGATAGACGCTCCTATCTCGACTTCTATCGAGACTCCCCCGACTGACTGCGAGGTTACTTGGGAGAGCGCTAAGGACACTAGAAAGGTTAAAGTGGAAGCCTTCGTCTATACTCCAAAGGCGCCGCTCTACCACGGCAAGAGATCTGTACGCATCAAGTCTATAACGTTCACTTCTGAGTAAGTTATTAACATGAACACGCGACAGTCACTACAGCGCATCCTAGGTCTAAGCCTCCAAGAGTCTTTTCTGGTACGGATGTTGTTCATTTGATCGACCCCGACTTAGTCCGCGCTATGAGAGGAAGCACCTTTCCAGATGACATGAACAACCGGGATTTCTGTATCAAGGCGTTGATGACCTTCGGCAGCTACATGCATGAATCTTCCCCAAGATATCAACAGGATGCGCTAGACCTACACATTCCCACAGGCAGCAGCGCTTTCGTCGCTTGGAGCATCTTTAATTTGATGTTGGAGGATAGTTACACTAACTTTCGTCTTGACCCTTCAGGGGACGATTGGGTAATTGCATCAGTATCGGCATGGTAGTTGATTATAACGCTAATTTCTCTTTGGTAGGCTTGTGAACTCACGGCGTCACTTTGCGTGGTAAAGAGGCAACAACTAAAACCATCGAAATGCGAACCTCGCGATGTGAGCATTACAGCAGGCTTTGTTCCTCTTCTCAAAAAGGCATACATCAAGAACTTCACGACAAAAAAGTGAGTACTCAGAGCCCAACGCGAGAAAAAATGCTCCTATTGTTTCTCAGGAGGGAGAGGTCGAATAAACGCGTAGTAAAGCAGCTGAATGATTATCTAAGCTCTATGCCGCACTATGTGACCACCGAAAACGTTCCAGATTTCCAAGTGTTACCGGAATATTGTCGCCGATACCTACTTTTCAAGGCCTGGGAGCTGAAGCAAAACCTGGGTGATGAGGACCCGCTATCGCCGCGGATCACACTTCCCCCTGACCACGGCCAACAGGCTTCGATAGACTCTGATGTTTGTATGACATATCTACGCTGGTTTACCCACAGTTAGTCGTAGACGACTCTGGCCATGTTGGATGTTCAGATGTGATCCACTGATTTTAGTTATTGATGTTACCCATATATGACTCCTTTCGTTATAGTAAAAGTGCACTCTCCCCTTTGACTTGAGCCCTTTTAGTCTGTACGCGAGATTTTTTCCATACATCTCTTCAAACCTCAGGGAGTTAACGACATGGTCCGAGTTTGAAAAGCAGTAGATGCTGAGAGGAACAATGTTCCTACTCCATCCTGATTGTCTCGCATTGTAGTTTTCATTCGTTATGGTAGTATCCCTAAACAGTGGTGCCTATCACGCACTTACTCACAACCTCCACAATTGAAGGAACAGTGCTTCAATCAATGCTGGACGCGGCGTTGTCAACACGTTTCGGGAATTGTTCCCGAAGTCGTGCCTGACGTTATCATAACGGCAGGCACGACTCCTTATACAGCATAATGCTGTGTAACGAAAGAAGTCTGGACACACCCGATGGGTGAGTGAAACCTTTCAACATCACGCGAGCCTGCGATGACAACCTGTAGCTTGATACAGCAGGATCCGTCAGTGTAAGTGTTGAGAGCCGTCAATAGTGTGAAGAAGTGTGCCTCTTCAACTCAACAAGGGGAAGATGTAGAGAGAATGCTATTATGATTATAGCTCCCTGTAAGACGAAACCCTTCCCACGATAATTGTCAATATGTCCCCAAAGGAGTCGGGAAACGGCATATGAAGGTTTACAAGTCGTCGTCATCATCATCAATAGCCTGGTCCTGGGCAGCCTGGAGCTCTCTCTCGTGCTGGGCGACGAGCTCGGGGTTGATCTGGAACTCGGGAGCCTTGGCGAACTCACCCTAACGAGAAAAGAATGCTATCCGATAGATTCGAACCGACAACCATCTGGATGGCAGACAGCCACAAATCCCATTGAACTAATTCTACCTGGAAGACAAGCTGAGGCTGGTTGGTCAGCCTCCTAGCAAGCCAAAGGAAGGGCTTTTCAAAATTGTAGTTGGACCGAGCTGAGAGATCGTAGTACTGAAGGTTGCGCTTGCGGTGGAACTGAATATTCCGGGCCTTGACCTGACCAACACACAATAGCATAAAAGATGCTCATCAATCTCCATCACACGGTACCTGCCTGTCCTTAACGTCGACTTTGTTACCAACGAGGACGATGGGGATGTTCTCGCAGACTCTGACGATATCTCTGTGCCAGTTGGGAACATTCTTATACGTAATTCGAGATGTGACGTCGAACATGATGATGGCGCATTGACCCTGAACATAGGAAGGAATTCACCACGATGGAAAGGGCTGCTACTCACTTGGATGTAGTAACCATCACGGAGACCACCGAATTTCTCCTGACCAGCAGTATCCCACACGTTGAAGATGATCTCGCCACAGTTAGTCATGAACTTCAGTGGGTGAACCTGAGGAAGAAAGCGTATCTATGGTTGTCGCTGGTAAGATACAAAACAGGTCCAGAAGGAGACCACTCGGGTAGCTACCTCAACCCCGAGCGTCGGGATGTACTTCTTCTCGAACTCTCCTGTGAGATGGCGTTTAACCAGTGTGGTTTTGCCCACACCACCATCACCAACCAGAAGCAACTTGAACTCGGGAACGCCACCTTGCTGAGCCATTGAGAGGTTCCAATGTTCTGGCAACAACGATTATGCGCTAGGCGTTTTAGAGCGGGATATATCATAGCGATGGAGGCGAGCGAGAGCAACGTTTTAACCCACTTTTGACGAAACGATTATGTCGGACAATTTTTCCCATTCAATGTTCACTGCCATTTTTTATATATCTTAAATTCTCAGAGCTCGTGAGTGGCCCGCCGGTTCTTTGAGAAAACCTATCCATATCTTCCGGACGTTCTTCACCTATTTCCCGCAGTGAATGCGGCCCTTATTAACCAAATTTGAAGAGTGTTCACCACCCAGATCCTTTTTTCGTTCTTAGCCATGCCTGCCATTGCTAATCTCGGTCGTTTATTGGACTCGGCTGTGCTTGCCATGATAACTGTGGTACTCGCTGGAGCTGCCTTGTAGGAATATGGGGATTTGGTGTAGTGGATGGATCGTCGTTCCTTCCGATTTAGCATCCCGGTTCGATTCCCTCGGCTGTCGATTAAGTTTTCTGCAGGTACTGTATCGGTCTGGCCCATCACATGATCGTCATCACGGAGAGGAATAAATTGGGTGCTTTCGGCAATCTAGTGGCCAACGCGCTGCCTTTCAAGGTTATACCATGGGCGATGGATGCTCTTTCTATCGGAATTTTTCACTCAATAACGACTCTGGGGATAAACGTCTGTGATGAAGTTTGATAGTGGAAGATAAAGCAATCGAGGAAGTCCATACGCAGGTCAAAGAACTTTCAATAGAGTGAAGCGTATTCACCGCAAAGCTCCGAAGCTCAATTGTCGTGCTTCCATGAGAAGTTCCTTTTATGTGTTTGTATTGTTATTCAGGGTAATAGATTCGAATTCAACCTGACCCATGTACTGCTGTATGCAATACTATGCGTATTGCTCTCGCTAAGTCATCATAAGTATTTGGATGCCCAGAGTAAGCGCTTGGAGAAGGAGGAGAAGAAGCAACAGCAGAAGGGGAAGAAGAATGAGTAACTGTTCGAGAGTACTCTCATTGGAATTGGAGTTTATATTTCAAAAGGCTATGGAGTGTCTTGTTACTTGAGTGATATAGAGTAGCAGTATTCGGACCTAGTTTGTATCTTACTGAGTCGGACCTAAGATTCTACTCGAGAGAGTTGTGGTTTTTACACTATGGGCGCCTCTTCCTCGTCCCCGTCCTCCTCTCCTCCATCTCCTACTCCTCCCCCAACCGAACAAGACTTGCCTTGCCAACCTGAGATGGATGCCTTTGTGGCTTGCGTCAAAGCGTAATAATGCCTTTGGTTTTTCACAACGGAATGTACAGCTACTTTCTGGGCGCACTCTGTTCGTTCGCGGTTGAAAGAACTTGGTCATCGCGAAGAAGTTACCTTTGTTAACCAGAAATTCAGTGGCTGTTTTCGAACTCATCTCGGCTTCGTATTTATTACTTGCAGGAAGCCGGAAGGTCTGAGGGCTACGGATTGTGAGGAGCTGAGAGATCGATACAAGCTGTGCATGGTGGAATATAAGGCGACTAAGGACGGCAGTGTAGGAAAGCGAGGATGAGAAGTCATGCATGATGCTGAGATGATGATAGTACTGTTTCCGATGAAGGAAGCTTGCGATGAAGGAGTTTGCGTTGATAGTTTCTATATTGGTTCACCCCGTGGCGGGTTGTGATCGTCTGGTCCGGTTATGTGGAAGTAAACCATCTTCGTATAATACGTTCTTGGTAGTGCTCATCAATAACAACAGCTTAACGTTAATGGTGAATATATTTGCATTATAGGATAAGTTGTGAACTCACATCGGAAGGTTATATACGATCGTTGGTGTGTTTTAATAGTAGAAATTATCGGCGTATTTATTATCTATTAGTATTGAGTAATTGTATAAGGTACGCAACGTTGAGACACATCACATTGGGACAAAGTCGGAGTTTATTTCGCAATGCCGTCTCTCAGCTTTCTTTATGTCTTCTTCTTCGGTCTCATCGAGTCATCATCATCAACATCGAGAGGCGAAGAGAGCGAAGACGAGGGAGGCTGAGTTGAGTACTTCTCTTGGTTATACCAATGAGAGCAACCCTTTCGGGGACTCCAACTTGACCTCGACCTTCCGGTGGGTTTGACTGGCGACCGGTGGGGTGAGGAATAGGTTGTGTTTAGATGGAAGAAGAAAGAACAGTTTCAAGAGGCCGCTGGAGTTCGGCCGTTGAAGGCCAGTGAGGCTAGGGAACAGGCGAGGTAGTGGTGATTTGGTGGAATGGGGATGTGGGTGGTTTCGCCATCATGTGGTTGTCGGATCAATCCCTGCTTCGGGCTCTATATTATCTTACTATAGGGTCAACTTGAATGAAGTGGTCCAAATACGGCAGAGACGGGAAGAGCGAGCGGCTGAGGAGAGTTTATTGGAACAACAGCGGAGCGAGAGGGAGAGGGAAATTATGGAGGACGAATATCGAGACTGGCTGGCCAAAGAGGAAATGTTTGATATTGTACTATTTCACTGCAAGATATGTCTTCCCAAAATCTTCCGCGTGCGTGTTTGGTCGCTGGGTTTCACTGTGTTGGTTGTGTCAGTCGCAAGCGGCATTGCGATGTTCGCTCCGTATCAAGACTAATACGGAGCATCTTGAGGACTACCTCTACAAGGAGTTGTTGCTGGCTAGCAAGGGGGTAGAGAAGTACCCATATGATGACTGTACGATATTGGAGTCGCCACTGGTGACTGATACTATTGCGGTAGGATATAGAGATGGTCGTGGGTTCGATCCTCGCGAGTGGCGTTTTTAATATCACTCTATTGAACTGCATTGACCCATATTTTCCCCAGAGTCTACCACCGAGTGAGCTGGCGACCTCAGCTGTCCATATCGGCGACTTAGAGCGAGCGGCTCGAGACAGAGGGCGAGGCGAGGAGGCAGATTATTGGCACTGCGTATTGGCTCTAGTGAAGGAACAATTAGCTGCTAAGACCGAGGCTGGACCCAAACGTAGTTATGGGATAATAGGGAAGGGGGATTTTTTTGGTGTGAAGACTTCTTACCCCACTAGTCCGAGGTGTGGTTCGAGACGTGTCTGGTAGTGCTACCTTACCACACCAATCTCATTCTTCATCAGTGGCTCCAACGAGTGGCCTCGGAGTAGAGGATGCCTCTATAGAAGGCCTCTTGGGAGATATACAGTCGGCTGAGGTATTGCGAGGGGTGGAGGATGAGCTCAAGTGGCTCTTGAATAGCAAGGTAGGCATGGTTACTGGTATCTAGTAATTTCGTGGCGCGCGGTCACAACTGGATCATGCACTGTTGCTGAGCGGCTTGATGATAGGCTTGGTGACAGTTAGGAGATTATGAGGAAACTTGGGGAGAACTCTTGCTGGTCTCCGTAAATGTCGACCCGAATTCGTATGCGATCTTGTATAGTTAATGAAGGAGTATACATTCCAATACTGCTTGTGAATATCTTGTCGTTGTTCAGGACACTGGAGGGCCGGCTGAAGAGGTTGATGAGGAGTTCATAACAGCGGCTTTGGAGAAGTAGTATTTACGGGGGTATCTTGTAAATCTTCGCTGTGCGTGGATAGCTTCTTACTGCAGCTGAGTTGGAAGTGAAAATCTTCGCTGTGCGTGGATAGCTTCCTACTACATCTGAGTTGGAAGTGAAAATCTTCGCTGTGCGTGGATAGCTTCTTACTGCAGCTGAGTTGGGAGTGAAAATCTTCGCTGTGCGTGGATAGCTTTCTACTACAGCTGAGTTGGAAGTGAAAATCTTCGCTGTGCGCTGTGTTTGGGAGTGTAAATATCTTTGGAATCAGGATTCCTCACTACGTCTCGCGACTACGAGTAGATGACATCCATCGAAAAGCTCGTAAGGTGGTGGAAAAGGTAGCCGCCTCGATGGAGGATGAGGAGGAGGAGGAAGAGAATAAGAGGTAGTGGAACTGTGCCCATACCATCTTTCCGTCAAATCGTCATGGTCAGCTCACCGATCGCAGACGATACGGCAGCTCCCTCAGTGACTTCAGAGAATTCAACAGAAGGTGAAGTTATCGCGAGTCTGTGAGATGTCGTAGTAGATCCTCATTCAGATCCTCGGCGTGGGCAGCCGTCACGTAGGAGGGCGGTATCCCCTGTCCCCATCGATCGAGGGACTTCAGCGTTGGAGCCTATCACTGAGGAGGCTAGTCGATCGGAGATGGTGGATATGCGGAGGAAGATCGTGGAGCAGTGGAATAGGACAGACAGGAGCGCCAAGGCCGAGGTGATGCCAGCAGGGATAAGCGCCTTCGATAGACTTGTCACTACGTATGATTTACATGAGTTTTTGGTGGAACTGTCTGATCGTAGGGGAAGGGTTTTGGCTAGGACTACCGAGAGCTCGTCGTAGTAATAGGCCTAAATATGCCCACGGTATTTAAATCGATCACGTGATCGATTACCATTGCAATAGCAATAGGGGGAGGTTGAATTGCAAATTTTGGTTTTATGAATATTCTCATATAGTCGGATTTAGTGATGATGGGTATCATCAGGCCAACCTGTTGACGGCAGCTGAGAAGCGGCTATTGGCTGAGGAGAGGAATCGAAAGGTGGATGATGGAGATGTCACGGAGGAGATGTTCAACGAACTTTATGTCGACCCTGGAGAGGCTAATAAGACCTATGCTTGGGAGAATAAGTGAGTTAAAACGGCGCGATGATGTCGTCTTTGGGTATCGAACTCACGTCCGATGGATGGGGAGCCGTGAGTTCTCCCTATTGAGCTAGAGAGGTTTGTTGATGTTAAGGTACCGGCCTCGCAAGCCGAAGTTCTACAATAAAGTTAAGACTGGTTTCGATTGGAATAAATATAACCAGACACATTACGACAAGGAGACGCCTCCTCCTAAGAGGGTCATGGGCTATCGATTCAACATCCTCTACCCCGATCTCATCGACATGCGGAAGACTCCTCAAGTGAGTACACTAGATGGAGGAGTTGGAGGAATTATGGTATCTGTTCTCAGTACCACCAAGAGGCCTCCCCGACTCCTGGTACGATTATCCTGCGTTTCTCTGCGGGACCACCGTATGAGGATATCGCTTTCAAGATTGCGAATAAAGAGTGGGACTATGACCGAAGGAGTGGCTTTAAGGCAGCCTTTGAGAGGGGAATGTTGCAGTTGCACTTCAACTTCAAACGTGATAGATATAGACGATGATGATGATGATTTGGGCATAAGTTGGATTTCGGTATCAATTTTCATGCTGTTTTCTGTTGTTAATAATCCTGCGGAGAGGCCCCTCCCGAGAGGGTTTTGGCAATAGAGTGTGTGTGAAGAGCTACACTTGCTAACCTTTGTCTGATCGCAATGCGAGAACTCATGTAAAGCGAGTGTATAGTAGGGATGGGCATTGGAAGCAATCAGCTCGTATCGCTCTAGCATTGCCCAAACTTGCTCTAGAATTGCTGCTGACGTTTGACACATGCAAGGCAGTTGTAAGGCTCAGTCGCATCGAAGAGATGCTGCACGTCTGGTTCGATGGTCGTGAATCGATTCATAGTGAGTAGCTCTTGCAAGACGGCGCGTTACAGCAGCGAGGGGTCCTAACAGTATCATGAGAGTCGTAGATCTAATTCCAAGATGACAGGGTGTGCCACGAAGGAGATCTGTACGGTGATTGGTGACACAGTTTTCATAATACCTGAGAAAGTCTGCCTACAAGTCATACTCATGGAGTTACTGTAGCATGAGTTTCGATATTGAGCTCGGACTAAGTGGTGTGAGTGATGGGGAAATTAAATGCTGAAATCGTCCGTACTGGGAAGCCTCAACGATCGCGTAGTAGAACACACTCGGAGTGCTGCCATGCTCGACCACTGACTACTGCGTTTAGAATCATGAGACCATTGTTTCAATCGAGTAGTGAGTAGAGGTATCCAGCGGGGAGGAGGAGATGGCTACACTGTATGGTATTAGTAAACACCATAGCTTATGATGTACTCCTCCTGTCCATGGCTGCTTATTATCATAACAACAACAGCAGCAGCACAGTTAAACGCCGCTGGCAACAATGGTTTGATTACCGGCATCGTCGAAGGCCTACTTGGGGATATCTTTCGTCAAATCCCCATATTGACAGCGTCCTGCATTGGAGGGCAAGCTGAATGCCTCATCGACATCCCCACTGGCTTCTCACGTTCAACTTCATCCTTCTACGTCTACTTAGTGGCCGCCGACGAGGGCATGTGTGGCGGCGCCCAGTCCGACGCTCATAAATACGTCGGTGCTACTCTTGCTCTCGATGAAACACTGTCCGAGGGGAACGGCACTCTGTCGAACCTCTTCAGACTCCATTTTGTTCAAGACAAGCCACCGATAGGCTCTCACAAGGTTGGTCTTCATCATCATCGTGAGGAGGTATCGCCCCTTTGGTCAGGTATGCATCTGTTTAATGTTCTTCTCTTCTTGTCTCAATCCGTTGGAGATATGGACTACCCAGACGGCTGAGCAGCGGGCTGGACTCATCCGCTGCGATGCTGAAGAGGTCCGCACTGGGGCCTACTCGATCGTAAACTTTACGATCGATTTAGCCTACTACCATCTTCTTTTACTCATCATCATAGGCTGTTGGTCATCGTCCCCCTGTGTAGGTTTCTGATTCCTACGGGCTTTGTATGTGCCTCCCCAATTGTCCAGCGGGACAGATCGTGGCCCAAGACTACGCTGTCACTCTCGGCAACGTAGACATCATTGGACCCACGGGGAACCAGTCTTTCAACTGTTTTCCGGTGAACGCCCGCTGTCTCTTGTGAGCTCAGCGCAGTTGTCAATAGGATCGTAATTGCAGCTTCGTCATCAGAGGCCATGGCTTGTCGAAATACGATACCTTGGCCGTTGTGACTGAGGCCGACCCAAGCCACTGTGGGGTAAGTCACATGTGACAGTGTTGTTGCATCCAGTATGTGAGTGTGATTTTTCTGAGGTTTCTGACACCACCTCGCTGCTCGAGAGTCTGAGTGTTGGAGAAGTAGACGAGGATGGCCAGTGGGTATCGATGATGCTGCTCGAGGAGAAGGGTCTACCAAGTGTCGGTGAGGTGTCCGACCCGGAAAGGGCCTTCAACTCGGTCTGTGGCTCGGCCTCAGGCGCTTACTGGCTTTGCTGGTGCACACCGGTGCTGCCGTCTGGGTGCATACATCCGGCCCAGTTCACAGTGCCTGTCGGGTCATTCAGCGTCATCGGACCTCGTGCATCACAGCATTTCGTCTGTACCCTCGGCATTCCATGCGACATCACCATCCGCGGGTCAGCACCCTAATGTGGCCATTGGAGGGAGCCAATACTCCGACAGGTTCCGATTGTCCCCACTGGATCGGCTCACTATAAAGGCATCCCCTTCCTCTTGTGTTAACTCAACGCCTCTGGCCTTCGAAGTATTCCCCTCTCAACCTTTCAACGTTTCTCGGATGCAATTGGTGAGTAGGCCTGTATAGTCATCTGAGAGCCGTTCCATTGCAGACCTCGGCCCAGGCCAGCACAGGCTTCGATCTATCTGCACCACTCAGAGTTGGTGTATTCTCGTTATGCTACTGCATAAACTCACGGACAGGGTGTGACTCATCAGAGGAGTTCATTTCTCTAGTGGGAAGTGTGTCAGTGAATGGGCTTCGTGGGAATCAAACGTAAGAATAACCCCGGCGGGACTTGAACCCGCAACCTTCGGCTCCGGAAACCGACGCGCTTCCATTGCGCCACGAGGTCGATGTTGTGAAGTTACATTTCGCTCACTCACACCCTTGGCAGGTTCGAATGCACCCCAAACTCGGAGTGTAGAATGCGGATCGCTGGTATTGGGCTCGTTAAGGAGACAGACCGGCTGCTCATCACTAAAGGGTCACTCTGCGCACCGAACAGCAGTGACGTCATTCCTGATGATCAACCAGCACCAGAGCAAGGTGCGACTGACCGGACCTTCCTTATGATAGTCTCCTCAGAACATGTGGTCATCACTGGATATACGACCCTTACCCCTTCCCCGGGCACGTTCCTCAATCCGTACCGCCTCAGCGTGCTTGGCACGTACACAGTATGTGTCTGCGCCGCATTCACGGCCGCTACCGAGCCGTCGGATCGGGGTCTAGGACGAGAAGTCTGCTCCACGACTGAAGACTTTACGTTGAACGCAGGCGTGGTTCGGTCTATCGGTGTCGTCTGGTCCTCGGGGGATCCGGTTACTTGCGGTGCCATGGACGCGAACTGCGTCTTTAACTTCACCGGTGAGAGCTTCGGCATGAACCCTCGTGATCGCGTTACCCTCGCTACCGCTGCCTCGTGCAATGGTTTACCGAGACGCAAAGTTGCTATTAGTTTTCCCGTCTACACTTACCCCGGCGCCTCGGTAGAGTGGGGAGCTCTGGTTCCTCCACGAGCTATCCCGACTGGCGCCAATTTCAGTGTTTGTTATTGCGCAGCGGGCCTCGACGACAGTGACTGTGGCGTTGAATCCTCCTTCCACCTCCGTGCCGGCGAACTCATCGTCTCGGGTGCGATAGAAGCATCCGTCAACCATTCTTGTGTACCAGGGGAGACCTGTGTGGTATCCATAAGAGGCCTCAGTCTGCACTCCCGAGACAGGCTCAAGGTCCTCAACAGTCTCAGTCGTCAATGCAGTAACATTGTGGTCGACAAATTTGGTGACAAAGTCGTCAACGTGTCCGACTTGACCAACGACAGGCGTATGTCGACTTTCCGCATATCCTCTTTCAAAACAGCGGACAGCTACGTCCTCTGCTACTGTCCATTCACCGGCCTTCCGGATTGGATAGAGGACCCTTGCTCGGCTCGAACACCCCATAGTGCTGGCAAGCTGTACATTGAGGGGATCATGCCTTCCCCCGAGGATAGCGCTCCCGCCTTAGGGCGATACAAGGGGACAGTGACGTTACCCGTGAGGATGATAGGCAGGCCCAGTGAGAACTGGAAGGTCGGACTCAGGCCTGGTGACGGTCTCCAATGCAACGACAGTAGCCTCGCTGATGATGTTGTGGTCTCTGAGGTGGACCTTCGGACGGACAACCACCTGGTCGTAGACGTGAGTCGCCTGCCACAGGGTAGATACCGAGCGTGCGGCTGTATGGGTGAATGCGACGAGAGAGACTCTTATGAAACTTCAGTCGACCTCGGCACGATCGACATAATTAGCCCAGCCCTGAATGTAAGTAGGGAAAACTCGACACCTTCGTATGTTCGCTGTGCTGCTGGCCAACCCTGTGAGGTCTCCGGCGTTGGCGATATTCAAGGTGCCGAGATTTTCTTAACGACCCTGTCCCTTCCCCCCGACACCCAGCGAGCCACGATCGCCTCGATGCCAGCCAAGGAAGCTGTTTGCGGGGAGTTCGAGGAGGAGGTTTTTGACACTCCTGTTGAACGAAGCCATCAGGGGACCTTCGCCTTGCCACGGTATTCGTTTGGATCCATTCGGAGCATCTGTGCGTGCATGAAGATTGATGGCAGTCTGGACGGTTGGGATTGCAGTAAATCCGAACATTTCAATATCGCTATTGGGCGGATGGTCGTCTCTGGCCCATCGAGGTCATCAGATAATCTTCGATGTCCGGTACAGTCGGAGTGCCGTGTAGAAATAGAAGGTGTACTTCTCAAGGAAGGGGACCGCGCCGTGCTCTTGACGGAAGGCCAATGCGGTCAGAACAGTGCCAACCCGAAGGACGAACCAGCCGAGATCAAACTCAATAAGGACAAGTCTGTCGGTGAGTTCAATTTCGGCAAATCTGGCTCGGCCGTGGAAACCTACAAGATCTGCTATTGTCACGATGCGGCTTCTCAAGGCTGTCACGAGATGGAGGAGTTCACCCTCGCTATGGCGCCGCTGGACATCTATTTTCGTCTCAACGCTTTCCACGTGCTCGGTATCATTCTTGGCTGTCTCTTCCTTATGCTCATCCTCCGGTATGTTTGGGTGAAACTCCGACGTCGGAGGTTCGCCACAGGAGCTCATCAGCTCGATTTTGACAAAGCGGGCAAGGGTAAAATTGGCTACGAATACACCACAGAGGTTGGCGGTCGTCGAGGAGGTCGTACAAAAACAAGAGTAGCCGAATAAATCTGGTCGGACGAGCGCTAAGCAATCTTAGGTGATATGGCGACCGAAGGATCAGGATGCCGAGAAGGCCGCTTTGGACACCCTTCGGAATCAACTCCCTGAACGCGTAGATGAGCCAACCGAAGACGATGACGATATGGCTGAGGATGGTGATGTGTTTCACGTTCCAGAGGATGACGAAGAAGGTGGCGAGAAGCTGCAGGGCTACTACGACCTCAATGGTAAGCTGAAGGCGATCTAATGCTGATACTTTTATATGAAGGCTCAAGTATCCGCCGTAGCGCTATGAAGGTGCCGAGGGCTCGGACGTGTTTGGAAGTGTGGGAAGAAGTGGAAGGACCATTGAGCGATGGAGGAGACGATACTCGGGCTGAGCTCATGCGGGGAGGGAGCAGCACCAACAACAGCTCCAGCAGGAACTCGCTGCATTGGAGGCCCAACCGTTCACCACGTCGATTAAGTGAGGTCGTTTGTACACGCTGTAGCTACTATGTTATTTCTCGATGGCAGATAGCCGTGTTGGCAGGGTGGATAAGATCTCTCTCGAGCAGAGGGTAAATCGTCATGATGACGACAATCCCAGCGTGTGTGGAACGACAGCACCCCACACGCCTGAGGAGACCAAGGAGAGCCTTTGACGACTATTCACCATGCCACGATCATTACATGAGTCTGTGTGAAATGTTTCTCATTTGCGAGTAGAAGTGTCAGTTACCAGTAAAAGGTAGCGATTGAGTGAGAGTTGATCACAGTTCCATATTGCCAAAGTAGAATCGGCAATTTCATCACTATATAGGAAATACATTTTCAGCAGCAGACACCATCCATCTGCTTCGCAGCTAGGCCGAAAATTTTATCGCAATTTGCTGGACAACCCGTTGCCCCCTTCTGAGAGCGATACGGCCAATGAACGCGGAGCCCAGGAGTCAAAGTCTGTCGATCTCTATGGTGGGCATAGCTTTTTCAAAGCGAGTTCAATTGGGCACAACGGTGAAAGCATCCCACTGTCCGCGGTCCCACAATACGCCTTCCCTCAACACCATGTAAATACTACTGTAATCTTCGTTGCGTATATCAGCTATGACTAGAAATACGTAACTCAAAAGCCCATCGTAAGACAAGAAAATGCTTCCATCACTGCGACTAGGATGGTACTAATACTCCCGAGAATTGTCGTTGGTACGGTGGCATCCACCACTTCAAGGAAATGACAGGACAGCAGTGGCATTGGATACATAGCGGCACTCATGCTAGTGTCTTCAGCTTTCGATCACCAAGACCGGCCTCATGGGTCATCCCCAATGCTCTCGCCATATTCGTAGCAGCTCGGACCTCCTCCTTGGTACTGGCGCGTCGGAGCTTCTCTCGAATAGATTGAGCCAAGCTGAAAGTCAAGACAGGTGCTTCCGGAGAACTATGAGAGTACTTACTCGTTATCATGAGGAGCCGCCTCAGCTCCCTTCTTATGACCATTCCTGCTGCCTTGCTGCTGACGCCGTCCTTGTGGAGGGGCAGAGGCCATACCCAACATACTCTTCAACTGAGTCTCAGCAACAGCTTTAGACTTATTACTACCTACAACACTACCAATTCACAACAATGTACGTCACTCAATGTCACTACGTCTATTGTTCTGCCCTTGTTGCTGCTGTACCCGAGTCCCAGTAGAAGCGGCTACCCTGCTGTTCTTATTCCCACCCTTACTCTGCTGCTGCGAGCGCTCCTCACTTGCGGAACGAGTCGGAGCATAAGCCGCGTCAACGACCTCTTCACGGACCCCCTCAGGGATCACCTTATCCAGCTAACAAAGAGAGTCTCCTCCAAAGCCCACATGACTATCATCCTTCTACCTCTGTCTTGGTCGGCTTCTGGCCCTCGCGCTTACTCAATTTCATCAACTCCTTGACAGCACTGCGGAGCTCCTCAACCTCCTTAGTAAGATCAGCCAGCTGCTTCGAATCAGACTTCATCATGCGCTGAAGAATGACCTCACCCCGAACCTGATGCTGTTGCCAGCCAAGTACATTAAGGTTCGCCAACTGGTCCTTGAGCGCCTTATTCTTGGTCCGAGGGTTAACCATGTCAGCAGCAGCACCACTGGGACTAGCCGAGGCTTGTTGTTGCTTTTTAGGAGCCATCAAAGGGATGATATGCGGATTACTATAACAAACTAGTGATGGAATCAATAACACCAACTCATGCCCACCAACACAATTTCCCAAAGCCAGCTGGTGGCGTTAAATATGCATGTATAAAAAGGGTATTAGAAACTGTACAAAACACTACATAGGAGTGACCCTCACTCGGCCCCTGCGAGAGGAGAAGAGATACCCGCAAAGAGACCACTACCAGACGGAGCGTGTAGCCGTGACAACTGAGCAACGTCAGCCAGGAAACTGAAAAAACATCACCATGAAATTTCCGAAATATGTAACATTACCTTTTGGAATTATGAATGGTACTGCCTCCCAAGACAATTGCAGGCTGCATGCCCATAGACTGGGAAGGCGTACCACCTCCAGCTGTAGTAGAAGCAGTGACCAGTTGCTCGTTGAGAGTGTGGAAGTCTCGGGCCTCTTCGAAAGTGCAACCACCAACCATGAACACTAGTAGTAAGGACGGCCTAAACATAACTTATACGATGGTAGTTAGCAAAGACAAGTACCTCATATTTTCCACTCCATTCAGTCGTCCTTTACTGCCAACTACAGCGACATAGTCCTGCTCCTTAACCCTACCCTTCAAAGCTTGCTCAGCTGTTATCGATATGGGAGATCTGTGCTGAGTATAGACGTTAGTGGTGGCACCAGTGAACCCCAATCGACGAGCCAAGGCCGCGGCAGCTCCTGATGCAGACGGGTAAGGTAGTCGGGACGCTGAACCAAAGTGGTCTAGCATAGTAGAGATCAATCCAACCTGGCACCAGCATCACTGAAACTGCTTGTAAAGCCGGTTCACTACCTGTTCGGGAGGGACACCCTTCTGTTCCAGGAGACCCTTGAGCTCTCGAATGCCGCTCGTGTCCGTCTCGAACCTCAAGGCGTAGAGGATGCATATCTTGAGACGTTCCAGATTGGAATTGCGGGGATTCTCGACCATAGCTAAGATGACGACCCAGGTTCGATCCCTGGTAAGGACATTTCTCCTCACCTCTAACCCTCTTCAGTTGGTCATGCATACTCATATGCTCATCACAGGCTAAGCTTTGCTCCAACTCCGAACATTCAAGCAAATTGTACTTCTCCACCATTCTTGATATCTCATGGACCAACGCTACATGCTTCGACACGTTACCGCTAAGCTTACGATACTCGGGATACCTGGAAGAGGCGCAGGTTCGATCCCGGCACCCGACATCTTCTCCTGTTACTGATCCAGGAATCTTTGCATATCTTCAACATTGTCAACCTTAGCTTGATTCTTCGTCTGCTGTTGATAGAGCTCAACATACTCCTTTATGTGTATTCCAAGGTCACCGAAATTACTCAGCTGATCACAAGCCAACACTTCCAAGTGAACCCACGACGCTAAACTCACATAATTGTCTCTGAAGAACTTGTCAGTGTTGGTACTAAGGACAACCTCCACTCCTTCTGAGGCAGTAGCTCCCTCCCCAGCAACTGCCAACGGATGCATGACTCTGTTATTTTCCAACCCTAGTAGCTCGTGGACCTACACTAAGGACGATAATACTCAATCACCCGGACCCAGTATTATTACCATAGCTTGATACGTCCATTGTGTGAGTAGAGGCGTCACTGGGTCGTCCCTTCTATCGGCTACTAGGATGAGCATGCCCCCACCACTGTTAACAGGAGTTGCCGCCGAACCCGCAACGCTTTCGAAAAGACTCTCATCTTGCTCGAGCCGTTTTTGAAGTGCCAGAGCGACCTTCCTTGACAATGGTGATGCAGATGAATACCGAATAACAGGCAGGGTGAGGCCAGAGGAGTTAGCAGCAGTCACTGGTCCTGGACCTGACAGTTCCTTAACTGTGAATAGAGGTACAACAGACTTACCTCTTTTGACGCTACCAAGGGAAATTGAGGCGGCAAAGAGGCCATCGACTTGCCGTTGGAAGACGCTCTCCTCGAAAGCCGTCCACATCGACTGCTCACGATGAAGTTGAGCTACTGATTGTGAACCCAAGGAGAACAGACCAGAGTTGAGGGCGATGACATCGGCGTATCTAGAGGTCGCTGTTGAAAGATACGAATGAGGTTGGCTAAACTCACGCTTCTGTAACAGAGGCAACGCACTCATATTCATCGCAAGCTGCAAGCTGTGACAGACGACCATGAGGCACCACATTGGAGAAGACTGGGGAGACAACTCGAATCGTCCCTTAAGACCCGAGGTACTACATAGATGGTATTCACTATAAACCGGCTGACGAAGGACCTTCGAAAGGGCTAGGAAGTTCTGGTTGGTCGGTCGTAGGAAAACACATGCCTTCATATGGCGCATACTGGTCGTAGTCGACCCCTCGACCTCGTCGTCGTTGGGAGAGGCTATGGCCTCCTCTAGTGGCTCTACCTGATCGAAATGAACACAAGTCTTGGCAATAACTGTAGTCCGAATCCAAACACTAGTTGCCTCCAAAAACTCATCGGAGTAGAGACGATGCTGCTGATCATATGACCCCCCTATTACGAGGAAGACTTCCTTATTGAGTATTTCGGTTTGGGTCATGACAGTGCTGACAATGGGTAGAGTTTCCTTATCGACTAAGAGGGCCTTCATAACGCTTGGGCCTCCGACTCGGTCGAGCATGGAATTCACATAACGATTATTGGACGCCCATATTGAGTACCACACTTCTTCCTCTTTAGTCATGCAGGTGAAAACTATGAGTCAACAACGCTTAGTGCCTACGAGGACCTCGAGCCTTCGTCCAATCGGATTGATCTAGCGCGCGCCCATATGATCGATTGTCATTCGAGTCAGAAGACCGGACCGTGTCTTTTGCTCAAAATGGGTAAATTTGGCGGTGGCAACGAGAAGGCGCTAGCAGCTCGAGAGCGTAAGAAGGACCAACAGGCTCAGAAGGCTGCCGATGAGGTATGTGGAAGTCCATACCGGAAAATTGGGAAATTGTCGTTCGCCTTAGCACAAGCGTAAGGAAGATGCCTTGTGGAAAGATGACGATAAGACCAAAGCCGCTAAGGACGCGAGGACTCGGGCGAAGGTGAGGAGGGAACGGCGTCGGTATCGGGTAAGGTGATGTCCCTTTAGGAGGAAGCTCACGATGCTAAGCTGGAAAAAGATAAGGAAAAAAGGGAACTTCTTAAGGCTGAGGAAGAGGCCTTGAAGAATGTTGGGAAGTCTAAGAAACAACTGCAGGGCTCCAAAAAAGTCACGCGGCGTGATATACAGTCCCACGCGTTGATGGGGTTGTCGGCCCCTCCGACCAAGAAGAAATCTCACAAGCCGGCGACGGCGGCCCCTAAGGTCGTCACTGATGAGCCCTTGCAGGAGAATATAAATCACTTGCTGAGAGCTCAAGCAGAGAGAGGCGTCGAGATTGTCTCTGGCACTGGAATCGACAAGGCCCTTGGTGCCCTAGGGGGTGACGCTACTGCTACTGATGGGCAGGACCGGCATCCAGAGAAGAGGGCGAAGGCACTCTACGCTGCCTTTGAGGAGCGCATGATGGTTGAGATGAAGGAAGAGTATCCTGGGCTGAAGCGATCGCAATATAAAGACAAGATATTCAAAGAATGGCAGAAGTCGCCGGAAAATCCTCTGAGGGATATTAAGAATCAGTAAAATTACGGAAAGTCATTTCTCATGCCTTGTGATGTCGTGTTAGTGACAGGACGGATGTGTAGGGTCTCTCCCAGTGTACGTTGACTGCAGAGGATCGGTCTTTTTGACCGGCTAGGAGTAATAGTCGGTTAGTGTTGGACTCGCCACTCCAGTGTGTCTATGACTGGACGATCATCACAATCATACCCAGACGCCTATGGAGATCTTGGAGTTAGTCCCGACTAGACCGTAGGTAAGTTATTCATGTCAAAAATTGAATTAACTCCTTGTTGCGATGGTATCGTTTCGAGCGATTCACCTCTAGGAAGTTGCAGTAAGTTGGGTGATGGATGGTATCAGTGTGATGAAGTGAATGGACAGACCCGTAGGCCCTACCCGAGATCCGTCCTTATGGGTAATAGTGATGCGCAGCTGGTTTCACGCCAATTCATCGGAAGCGACCGCTACCTTGGTTATGGGTATTAGAGAGGTTCGCTGGATTGGCCTAATGATGCCGACGTGGGGGCTTCTTCCAGTCAGCGTCTACTTTTGCAGGAATGTTGCATATATCCTTTCGAGTGCATACCAGTGTCTTTATGTGGAAATCTATCCTGACGACCGGTGATATTCTGTCAGCTTGGGCATGTTGAGCAACAGCGGGAGGTACTGGGACTGCATTATCCTCGCCTCTATGAGTCGGCCCATTGATTCCATCAGTCCTTCTCTGACTATGGGCGCCCGGTCGAGCCTTACAGGTTACTCTCGTTTGTGTATGGATGGATTCTGTCACGTGTTTGAAATTTACTCGTGAGCTTAGTAGCTCGACGTGGGAGCGCTCACTGTTGAGTTCAAGTAAGATGGGAACGCGAGTGAGTCCCCGGGTTGATAGTTTCCCTCGATGGTTCGGAAACAGGATCCTCCCCGGGAAGCAGCGAATGCACCGGCCGATGATGATCCATTCGCGATGCTGGAGGCCCAGCACTTGAAGGAGAAGTCTGAGGCATGTTCGAAAGAGACTCCCGAGACTCGGCAGTTCAACAGTGAGTCGGACAGCACGTATGACTACATAGCCGACGCCTCAGACGATACAGCGGATATAGCACCATCACGGAACCGACGGTCACGACAGTCGAGTGCCGTCAGTGAGAGCGACTCAGAGGCTAGCGAGGATGAACGCTGGGCTCAAGAAAGGGAAGCTCGTCGGAAGGTAATAAGAAGCTCCTGGGATAGGGCAAGTCGATTACGATGCCATAGCTGAACGGGCTGTATTGTCAATATTCAAATCTGTATCGATGTGATGGCCTCGACGGGGCTTGATGATGGGTATGGTCTACTGTGTCGTGCTGTTCTCTAGCGTGCTCTGGAGGAGATAGACGAAGAGTACGAGAGCAGGGCCAAGCAGCGTGCAGTGATGGAGAAAAATGCTGAGGAGACATCACGAGTACAGGAGGCTGCGCTGCAGGCGGGGTGAGCTCGCTGATCTGATCTTAGCAATCGATTACTAGCAGTAGATGGAAAGGTTTTACCGTCAAAAGGGAATGTTGGTTTGAAGTCACCGAAGTATTGCAGGTTCACGCCTCTAGAACGATACATCCTCCGTTCGGGGGAAATTGCAGAAAAATACAGAGTCAGCGACCTCAAGATCAAAGAGAAGGTCGGAAGCAGAGATCGATCGGGAGAGGAGGCTCCACGCTGTGAGGATGACGCTTCATAGTTGCATTAATAGTGTTGAGTCTAGCAGTCACACTTGAACCTCTCCATGGGAATGAAAACGTCGCCAATCTCGAGTGATATCGAACGAGGAGATTGTCACGGAGTTGTAAGATTTTGCTGCTGCAAGGTATGTGCTGGTCGGTTTTTTGCTGAAGAGTGTGCTCTCACCGGGCATCGAGTCTAGGCAAGTATGGGAAACTCGCATGATCCCATGATGGAACGATCATTCACTGCAGTAAGTTATGTTCACACATAGCTATCAGGTAATTTGATACAACATCTGCGCTCGCCGGGAGTCGAACCCGGGATATGGGTTGATTGAACCATCCCATGATGGAACGATCATTCACTGCAGTAAGTTATGTTCACACATACCTATCAGGTAATTTGATACAACATCTGCGCTCGCCGGGAGTCGAACCCGGGACACAAGCATGGGAAGCTTGTATGATACCGTTACACTACGAGCGCTCGTAGTATATGTGTTGATTGAACCATCCCATGATGGAACGATCATTCACTGCAGTAAGTCATGTTCACACATAGCTATCAGGTAATTTGATACAACATCTGCGCTCGCCGGGAGTCGAACCCGGGACACAAGCATGGGAAGCTTGTATGATACCGTTACACTACGAGCGCTCGTAGTATATGTGTTGATTGAACCATCCTATGATGGAACGATCATTCACTGCAGTAAGTTATGTTCACACATCCCTATCAGGTAATTTGATACAACATCTGCGCTCGCCGGGAGTCGAACCCGGGACACAAGCATGGGAAGCTTGTATGATACCGTTACACTACGAGCGCTCGTAGTATATGTGTTGATTGAACCATCCCATGATGGAACGATCATTCACTGCAGTAAGTTATGTTCACACATAGCTATCAGGTAATTTGATACAACATCTGCGCTCGCCGGGAGTCGAACCCGGGACACAAGCATGGGAAGCTTGTATGATACCGTTACACTACGAGCGCTCGTAGTATATGTGTTGATTGAACCATCCCATGATGGAACGATCATTCACTGCAGTAAGTTATGTTCACACATACCTATCAGGTAATTTGATACAACATCTGCGCTCGCCGGGAGTCGAACCCGGGACACAAGCATGGGAAGCTTGTATGATACCGTTACACTACGAGCGCTCGTAGTATATGTGTTGATTGAACCATCCCATGATGGAACGATCATTCACTGCAGTAAGTTATGTTCACACATAGCTATCAGGTAATTTGATACAACATCTGCGCTCGCCGGGAGTCGAACCCGGGACACAAGCATGGGAAGCTTGTATGATACCGTTACACTACGAGCGCTCGTAGTATATGTGTTGATTGAACCATCCCATGATGGAACGATCATTCACTGCAGTAAGTTATGTTCACACATAGCTATCAGGTAATTTGATACAACATCTGCGCTCGCCGGGAGTCGAACCCGGGACACAAGCATGGGAAGCTTGTATGATACCGTTACACTACGAGCGCTCGTAGTATATGTGTTGATTGAACCATCCCATGATGGAACGATCATTCACTGCAGTAAGTTATGTTCACACATAGCTATCAGGTAATTTGATACAACATCTGCGCTCGCCGGGAGTCGAACCCGGGACACAAGCATGGGAAGCTTGTATGATACCGTTACACTACGAGCGCTCGTAGTATATGTGTTGATTGAACCATCCCATGATGGAACGATCATTCACTGCAGTAAGTTATGTTCACACATAGCTATCAGGTAATTTGATACAACATCTGCGCTCGCCGGGAGTCGAACCCGGGACACAAGCATGGGAAGCATAATACCGTTACACTACGAGCGCTCGTAGTATATGTGTTGATTGAACCATCCCATGATGGAGTGAAGGTCTCCCAAGAGAGCAAGTTCACGGATAGCCGAAAGACAGATGACGGAATTTCAAGAGAAAAGCAAGACGTCAAGTCGTTGCTAAAGCAGTGATCCAGTCTGATCACCTTCGGACCACACACCCAAGAACAGAGAAAGTTCCCCCAGAGTGCTTGAGAATTCCTGTTGGAAACCCTCAAGCACTCATAGTTAGGCGTCAGACGAGCTATCTTGGGTGTGACGGTGTTTATATTTTTTTTTCCTCTTTCTTTCTTCCTTTCAGTCTTCTTGGTTCTTTCCTTTCATCCCTTTGCTTCTTTTCTTCAGGTTCATCGAATATCGTGTATGAAGTGGCAGGTTTAAGACTAATTTTTCCATCATTGTGCTGTTTCACTTAATATGTTGTGTTTTAAGCACTGACTGGGACTTGGTAGGGAACCAACGTGGCCCAGTCATGTGCCGCCCTGAAGTGGCAGGTCAAATATAGGCTGGGATCCCTATCCCTACAGCACCGACCTATGGCGTAGGGTCCGAACCATTGGGACGTCAACGAATTGTTGATAGGTTATCAATGATAACAATATCACATGGTCGACACCATGATTGAGTCACTCCCTTAGTGGCTGGGTGGTGGGGTAAAGAACGACAAGCGGAAGCTGTCGTGACTCTCGAGGTGGTCTCGAGTAGTAGCCCTGCCGGGATCATCCCGGCGGGATGTTAGTCTCATCATGAGACCTGGGTTCTGTGCGTCTCTGTCTCGGGGTTAGAGTCTAACCGTTAGACCAAGCTGATACCCAGAGTTGATCGGGCTAGAGTGGCTCTACGAGTTTAGGACGGCCGCCTCGCGTGGCTGACCACTCGTCGACTTGCCTCCGTGTCCGCTCAATCTCTCGTTGCCCTAGAGACAGTGACTGCGACACTGTGTTCTCCACCGAGGCTCGGTGCCCGAGCTGAGGACCTTAGCTTAGCGTGCCAGGCTAGGCAGAAACTCCGCCACAGAATTCAGCTAGACGAGTACTGGGTCATGCTACGATTTACGTGAGCTGGTCGCAGATTGTTTTTATATGTCTACCACGTCCAGCACGCCCGACCTCTTCCGCGAAGTTTTCCCCGACTTGGCTGAGAAAGCGTCGACTGTTTGTGTCGACATGGGTATTAGTACTGTGGGTGTGCTCGAGGCGGCCCTGGAGGACAAGGAGCTGACCGACGAACTATTGAGAAGGTGTGCATATGGGGGACTCGACGGAGAGTCCGAAACAACCACTATGACGGAGGTAGCCGATGCGAAGTCTGCCAGCTCATCCACCAAAAGTCCCGGTACTGCCAGCGAAGTCGTCGGTTCCAACAAAAACTATGGTGGTGGTGGTGGTGTCGTCGTGGTCGAGATCTTCTCGAAGCTGAGGAAGGCACGGTTGCTTATCTGAGCCGGTTGCTCTGGTTAGCGAGGTCACGATCGTTCGAGGCAGCAGTCGAGTGTGATAAGGGTTACAGGCTGGGCTTGCCACAAGGGGTCACCCGCCTGCGGGACACTGACCCTTCTCTCCAAGTCGACTCTGCCCTCGGTACCTATTTAAGATCCAATCAGTCTCACGAGTTGATAGCTGTAGCCTTGGCTAAACCGGCGGTGAGCCAATCTGGCATACCCAGGCCACCTTCGGGCAAGGGTATACGTAGGCAAGGGAGCGCTATGCACTTCGGTGCTGACACTTGCTGTTTCACTCGCCAATCCTGTCCCTTCGGTAGGGATTGCCGTTATCGTAAACATTTTGGCGACCCCCAATCTAAGCCTTATTGGCAGAACGGTCAAGGTGGGGAGAAGGACACTGTCCTTAGGACAGTAGCTTCGGGTCTGATAAACGCCCTAGGACTGGGCAGGTGAAGGATGAACCATCAAGGAAGAACCCTAAGGACCAATAGCTGCGGCATTGGTTTGGTGCCAATCCAACACTGTTGAAGCTGAGTTTCCGCCATTTTCCGAAGTTTGATTATCACGTAGTCAAAACTGGTAGCTGTTGCGTTGCGTCAGTGCCGTTCCTAGTGGTCATAACACCATAAATGGGACGGAGGAAACGTCGTTCTCGGAACGACTGTCGTTCAGTTTGGTTCCCACTTAACAAAGAGACTCTTCTTTGGAAAATGCCACACGTGAGGTCTACCCAAGCGAAGAAACAGCGAGATAGGGGCAGAAAGTTGGGCAGCAAGCCTGAAGATCACCCTTGGAAGACGTCAACCCAGGAATTATCAGCCGCAGCGGTGGAGGGAAAGCCTCGAGATGGCTCCGGGTACTCAGGGCAGTGGGACAAGTTCGAGTTTCGAGAATCTGAGCTGCCATTAATAGAGAGTACTTCTGGGATTCTAATTAAGCACACAGAGAGGTTCTGTGCGGCCCGAAAGGACTTCTTAGATCGTTTCTTTGCCAGCTCTCGGGAAGAGCAATCCGCGATGAGTGTGGAGTGGAACGCCAATGATGGAGCTTCCCTCAATAGTGTGGCCAATGATCTCCTTGAGGACTTGACCACTTTCATCTCGGTCGCGAAAGACATCAATAAATCGGAGCTGGGAGAGCTGGCCGCCCCCCCCACCCCGTCCCCCCCTACGCGCTAGACTGCTAGAAGAACTCTGCCTCAGTATGGCCCCTGGTAAAGGAGCAACGACGGAGTCGCCCGGTGAAGACACGGATATCTGCCGGATGGTAGCTGAGGGAGCACCAATTGGCATCTTGATCCCGGTTCGAGTAAATGCGGAATGGCCAGCAATCGATACTGACAAGTTCGGCAAACCAAAGAAGGACGAGCCGTCCTTCGTGCGGTGGCCTGGCGAAAAACTCGAGGAGCTGAGGCTACGCGACTGGCCGCAGGGCAGCATTCCTCCAGATATGTATAGGCTGTTCGAAGAGCTCATAGCGAAGGAGCTTCGGCTAGGCCGGTTATCAGAGATTAATCCGACGAGTCCAGACTGCAAGGCGTTGTCGAAAGTTCATGTGATGTGGAAAAACGGGAAGGAATTTAAAGCCATCCGACAATTGGACGACTTCAGGAGGAGTGGTATCAATATTACCGTACGTACTGGAGCTCTACTCGAAAGCAAAGGCGAAGACGGTACTGTCCGTGAACTGAAAACATCCCGCTGTCTTCCTAGGTTCCGGG